GACGCTAAGGTCTCTTTGTCTGGCTTCTGGGTCTCTCTCCACAGGCCTGCTTCACGACCTGGGGAAGGACTAGTCCCTCAACGGTCCTTTTCTGGTACTACGTCACCACCAAATAGTTGGTCGCACTATTCCATTGAAGTCATGGACACAAGGGAAAGAGTTGAGCCTGCAGGATATTGTCTTCACGGCTTCGCTAGATACCAAGCGAGGTGAGCAGCAGGACACGGTTCCGCGAGCTTACACTTTGCAGCTCAACCGGTGTAGTCTTGGTCACCCACATCGAATGATGAGCCTGACCGAGAAAGTTGGTCGCAGTATGCTAGACCCCTTATTCGCCCTTACGTTAAGCACCACCGCTACGGGAGTCACCCTAGCTACACTATTGCAATGGCGGGTGCCCCCGTCAAACGCACAATCGAGGCCAGAATGTACAAGTTAAGGCCCGGACCACTGCGGCAAGGGAACAGGCTTCAGCGACACATTATTGCCAGATCAACCATTTAGCACATGCCCAACCTGTCGCTAGTCCTGCATCATGCAGCAATACACAGCCTGGACGAGGTCAGATGACAGAGAGCTGCATCATTTAGTTGCTGCACACAAATCCTCCCAAGATCAATTTTTGATTTTGGATGGAGAGACTCAAGTGGTGGATAACGCCGTCAACCACACCGCTTTCTCGAAAAAGGATTCGAGATGCACTCTCACACCGTCTGGGAGGGTCCTTTACTCTAGCCGTGATGGCGTGCCGGGAATCTGTCAACGCTGGCTCAGGACAAACCCAAGCGTCGACCTCGATACCACACGATGGTTTAAGAAATACCGTCACGGGTTTGGTGTCACCCGAGAACTGCTTGGAGCAAACAATTGACGGGGCAAGGCAGCGGAAAGCAGCGAACCGGACGAAAAAAGTCGACTAGGATCTGAGAGGGATGCAAATCCCTGGAAGCTGCATCCTCTAGGGCGCTGTCATATTCTTGCTCATTGCTTTTGATGTTGCACGGCAGACGGGATCTTCGATGCTGCTCACGCCGCGGATACGCGACGAAAGTTTGTCACCACTGTTGGGAATCCCTTTTCCCCCGATCCCTGACCTCAACCAAAAATCCCACGTTCAAAGGGACTCTCTCGGAGCTATGGCGAGTCAGGTACCCTTTTGGACGGACAAGGACGTGGACATGGAGCGTGCAACTGGAGAGGTAAGTCTGGCCTACCATTCTATGTATAAAACATGTACGGACATTTATGGGCGGAAGTACGGCATGTTACGCCCGAGGACGTATCGACTCTGTAAAATACTAGGCAATACGTCGAAAGAACTTGTTGGGAACAAGACAAACGGTCCGTCTTCTCAGCTGGACGGTTGGCCGCCCACGCCGCTCCAAGGAAAGGGGGATGTGCATCGTGCATGGGATGGTACTGCACTTACGCCTGCATCGACGGCGCCTTACATAGGCGTCCTCTAGTCTCCCTTCGACATTCCCTTGCGCATTGCATGATGGCTGCATGCTTCCTGGAGGGGCCGCTCCCCGAATTACGAAAATCTACTTGTGTCTACAAGTAAGGGTTGAGGGAGGGTAGCTCGCCTGGTATTAGGGTCTTGTCCAACACCTGAAGCCACGAGTCAGCATCTACTAGGATGCTGGTCCAGCAAAGAGACCGTGTTCAACTCTGATTGCAAGGCCCTTAGTACAGTGATTCGCAGTTTGGGGAAAAGCTTTGTCTCGCTCTAGCATCAGCATCGAGACGAGAAGCAACGGCCCGATCGACAGATAAGAGGGTTCGATAGACCTTGGTTTGTCGGCAGATTCGAAGCATCGATCTTCCAACTACTTTTCCTGTTGCTACAGCCTCTGGTTTTTCTGTTTCTGCGCATGGACTATCCTTTTGGCCACAAATATCAACCGAGGGCCACTCTCTCTACCAACAGACCTCGTATTCACGCCCTCACCATCTCCCAGCTCACAAGCACCCATCTTACGCAGCACACACCCTGCCCACCCCTATTCAGCTGGCTCCCTTTGAGCCTGGAGTGGCCTTGATTGACGGCTCCCCTTGCCAATTCGCACCGATTCGCACCGTATCAAACGGTGGATGACGGAACTTTGCGCATGGTCTTTCCCCTCCAAGAAAACCATCCTCTCCACAAAAAGAATTTCACATCACGAGTCGAACCTTTTTCGACGGCGACGACTCGGATTACTACCTCCTCCACAATCCCAGGACCACCCAGAATTTACGGTTTTGGTGGCCACTGGCCACGCGAAGCAAGTCATCCAGAAGGACTGATGCGAACCAATCGAGCCATTATCATCGATTATTGTACCTACTTGTATTGCACGCTCTCCGATGCCCCTCCGCCACGAGTCTGAGACTAGCGAGTGAATTGAGTGAGCAAAGTGACCAATTATTCCTCACAGCTGGTTGCGGCAACCCTATCCCTGTCCTGGATTTCTTTCCCCCTCCCAACTAAGGCCTGGGAAGTCAACAAGAAAGACTTACTCATCCACGAGAGAGTGACCCATTTCAGGATCCCAGCCAGAGGCACCAAAGGCACGTACCTAGCGGGGTCACCCTCGCTCGCACTTTAGCCTGGACGCATCTAGCATACGTTGACGGGGTTGACGGAACTGCCCTCCCATCTCCAGGGAACGAGAGCAAGGTTACAGGCTTTCCGGGCCCTTCCTGTCCTCTTTTTTTCTCCCTTCTCTATTTCTGACAAGCTGACTGGCATTTGCCCTCGCTTGGCTCCTAACTTTCCACGTCTGTGACTTGCGGATCCAGCTGGGAATCCATCTCCTTCCGTTTTTCTTCTCAATTGCCGTCTGCAGCTCCATCTGTCCCCGTCCGCCATCACGCCTCGCCATCATCCGAGGGGTGGAGCCGGCACTGGCGGCCGGTGACGAGCACTGCAGGACATCGAGTTCATCTTATTCGATTTCAGCTTCGACCAGGGGGTGGGGGACGCTCTGTCCAATAAAGACCGGAAAGGGCTGGATATCTTGTGGAACATTCGGATCGACTCGCCGTAACGCACAAACCTCAAGCAGCAAACGCGTTGGGCTTTTTTTTTTTGTTTTTTGGCTGCAAACGAGTTCTGCAGACCAGATTCCTCATCTCGGATCCGTCCTAGTAGGTTTCTCTCAAGCTCGCTACTAGCGAAAAGTCGATCGATTTTGTGACGACAAGGGTCAAAAAACAATATTCAGGCGGATATTACCTACAAGCTACCACCCATGACCATTATTTTCATCCCACTCCACCCAGAACGCTAATAACCGTGTGTCAAACGACGCAAGGAGAAAGAGAGGGGCAAGCACCAGGCATCCCGAAAGGTGTAACCCCGCCTCGCCATACACACAAGGGTGACAGGACAGCCCGTCACCGAAGTTGACAGGTCACACCAGAAGGAAGGGAGGTTTCCGTCTTCGTCTCGTTTCGGCCTGAGAATCCACCTGGAGAGGGTAAGAGGGTGTGCAATTCATTTTTGCGAAGGGTGTCACTTGGGGGTGGTATACCTCGTACGAGATACACCGAGACCAGTGGCCGGAGTTCCCCTTGCAGCAAGCATTACAGCATTTTTAACCTTGGGACGCTCGCCAACACCTTACGGATCTCGACAAAGTTCGGGCACTCAGTTGGGAACTGGCGGGGAAGGCCTCAGCTCAAGGGACTCGCCCAGCACCGCCCGCATCCAACCAGTGGTTTCCGTCAGGCAGCCGAAGAGGCCGAGCCACAAGGCACTTGCCGGACAAAGGTTCAAGGTCAAGTTCCCAGCTGCGGGAGGGCCTGGCGGCTCCGATTACGAGCAGCGGCGCTACTTGTCATTTTCCCACAAAAGTGGTGCAGGTGGCAGGTGGCAGCAGACCCCCCCAGCCGTGCCAGGCCAAGTTACCAGCCAGTGCCCAACCAAGTGCCAGGCTAAGGATCGTGAGAGAGAGAACCACAGGCAACCCACACCCCCAAAAAGCCTAACTAGCCGGGCTCCATTCCAAGCATCCCCACCTGGCGCCTGGCACCTGATGATCCCTGTCCTGCATCGCTAGTAGGCTCAATACCGCTTCTCCGGACCGTCTCCTTGGGTCACTACTCCCTTAGTGCCCTCTGGCCTTTGGGTGCTTTTAGGGGCTTCCAGAAAAACCCCCAAGGCATTAACTGTGTACATTTACCTTGGCTACTCTCCCGCCCGCAGCCCTAGCTCCCACCCCAAAATCTCTCCCTCCTTCGGTTGTGCCTGCAGCAGTTGAGAGCCTATAGCGACCGCTTGCCACTCTGTTCCAAGCAGCCCTTGGAGTCCTTGGACACAACACTCCATCCCCATCACACCCACCACCGTCTCCAATCATTCTTCATCAACCGCCTCTCCCTCCCATTATCGTCATCCTCAGCTCGTCACGTCCTCACCGACCTTGTCCACTCTCACATCGTCTCTCACCCTTCTCTCTCTCACCTCTCACACCTCTCACACCTCTCACCATCCCTTGGATCGCCTTCCTTTCGACGGGCTCTGACGCAGCCCTTCCGTCCGAACGCATACCCGCCCGCCTGCGAACACCTGATCATCTTTTCTGCCAGGGCCCGACACTTCGTACCATCTTACAAAGTTTTTTTTCCCTTTGTTGCCCGGACGCCTTCTAAGCAACTTAATATCTCAGCCCGGTCACCTCGCACACCCTTGCAGGAACTTCATCCCCTCTACTTACTTTCCTCCTCTCCCCCCTCGCACCGCAGTGCTTGACGACTGCGCCCGCGCCGCCTCACATCGACTCTCCCTCCCAACTGTTCGACCTCGAGCTGGTTCTGAGGTCGACGCTTTTTATCCTTCAGATTTCCTCGTACGCTCTGCGAGCAAGTCTCTGTTTGCTTTTCAACCAACGCCTCGACGGTCCTTCCCTTACCCGTTTTCCTATTAGCCTCGGTTGTTTCCTGGCCTGCGTCGACCCCCTTCGCTGGACCTGTGTCACCCACACACAATCTTTGGATAATTCATGGCGGCACAAATGGCGGATCCCCGGGATGCTCAACGTCCTCAGTACCCTCCTCCTCCGGACGACTCAATCCAGGGTGGCTACTACTCACAACAATCTCCCCAGCGTCCTCCTGCGAGGGATGACCGGAGCCCATATCCTCCTCCAGAACCCGCGAGACAGCAGTATCCAGATCCGAGGGCGGCTCATCCATATCCCCCTCCGCAGGCATGGCCAAGTCAACATGGTGCTTATCCTCACTACCCAGTAAGTCGCTCTTTTTCAAGTCGGGTCGAAATATGTTCAGCTGACAATCGGTAAACAAAAGGACCCTGCGCATCCAGCGTACGCATATCCCCCAAGGCCTGACCTGGGACAGCCCCCACCACCCATGCAACCGGATGCGTACCGCCTTCCACCAGTGTATGCGCATCCCCACGCAGGCTACTATGCTTCTCCCTACCCCCCGCCTGCTCCAGCTGCTGCGCCGCGACAACGTACCGCCATAGCCTGCAAGTACTGCCGGAAGAGAAAGGTATGCATGATATCTCTCGGCGCGAAGATAGTTGAGGGACATGCACTAATGTCAGATTAGATCCGGTGCTCAGGCTATGACAGTTCTCCGGATGGCCGCTGTCAAAACTGCGTGCGGTTCAACCAGCAGTGCTTGTTCCATCCTGTCTCGTCTCAGGCTGCCTTTGTCCCCGCCAACGCGGTTTATGGACCCAATGCTGCGCGGGCTCCCATCGCAGGTCAACCTGATGGTCGAGCCGGCCAAAATGGACACCATTATCCCCGGGAGGGTGACCCGCCGCCAATGCTCTATGGTGCCCACGGCCAACCTCTAGGACCCGCTGGACCTCATGGCCAACCCCAGTACAACTATCCACCGCCACCGCCACCTGGTTATCCTCCTGCGCCTTACCCCTACTCGTATCCTCCTGCTGGACCATCGTATGACGCACATGGGCAGGCTCAAGCTGCTCAGCATGATGAACGTGTCAGTCTTAAACGTCCCCCTCCTGATGATGACCCCCACAATGAGAATTCTCATGCATCCCAGTCTCCCCATCCCAGCTCGCGTGCGCGCAACAGTACATATGAGTCACGCCAAAACAGCAGTGGTAGCTATGATTATGCGGATCATACCCCCGGTGCGCCTACCTCGCCGGCTACGTCGACCATGAGCTATCAATCTTTCCCTCAACAGCCGGCTCGCTATCCCAATGGCACTCAATCTCAAAAGGGTAACGTGTCACCGTCTGGTCTGACGCCGCAGTCGGCGCAGAGCTACAATTCGCCCCATCAAGCGCCGACCTACGATGACGGCAGGACTCCGCCGCCTAATCAACCTGGTTCGGCAGGCTCCTCTGCCAACGGCAGAAGTGGCATGAAGGTGCATGAGATGCTTGAACACACCCGGACTGCAGCTCCGGACCTACGAGGCAAGAACGACAACGAGATGCTGAGCAAGCTGGATGGCAAGAAATAATGACAGCTTGCTTGTGCTCTCCGTCCCGCCTCTTTCGTCCTCTCCTCACAGAGGCCCTGGGATTTTCCAGCAAGAACCCAGCGGGCCCTCCTTTCCTCCCACAGGAGTTGGCTCGGAGAGCATACTCATCACCCCTGTTATCAACTCATCGTGCATGCGTGCACTTGGGCTTTCAGGACGTTCGTCGGGTCTCAGCGACATCGGATTACATGGATTTTTTTTTCGTTTTGCAAAACAATACACACCTCGGGGCGACCCACATCTCTTTATTTTCATCACTATCGGTCTTTACTGGAATTTCGCCAGTGAATCGGACGGAAAGGGCTAAAATGGGATAAGATAAACCATTGGGTGGCTGTTTGATCGAGTTCTCTTTCTCTCGGAAGATCGCAAAGCTGTTACGACTTTTTTGCCCCTTGGCCCTCGGCTATCAGAGCCCGATTCACCTTTTGCGAACGTTGAACGAAATGCAACATTGGGTGGCTATGTGAATTTTTTGTTTTTGACTTAATGCGCTACTGTACCTGGGAAGGCTGTCTGAATCCTTTTTGTTGTTTTGTTTTTTTCCAAGCAGAAAAGAAAACCAAACGCGCGTTACAACCTTGTGTACTCATAGTACTTTTTCACCACCTTTCTCGGGTCATCGGACAGCGGCTCTGTTTGAAGCCGGTCCTTCTCAAGCTCTCTGATCAAGACGGGTTCTTCAACAAATTTCGATGAGATCAAACGAGGGTGGACAGAGTGGGCGGCGGAACAAATCTACTGACTGAACGGGTAAGATGGGCGTTTGGAGACACTTGGAGTTGTTAATGGGCGAAGAGAAGAGGCAAGATGGTTCCGTCTGGGCTTGGACTCTGTGGCATCGGCCGCAACAACTGGCAAGAAACACTCAGCACAGCCTGACGATCCGGAGATGTTTGAGCTTGGTGGGATTCTTGTTTTGTGCCGGTACACTGGGAAAGGACGGGATGGAACAATGGAGGTTTGTCGAGCTTGTTTACTAGTGGTGCTAGTTTCTGAATGCTTAAAACCTTTGTTTAGTTTCTGGTCAGAGTGTCTTTTTGTCAGCGAGTACGAGTAGTCAGTCGGTCGGCTATGAGATCTGCCCAATCGCGTTTCCTACAGCGCTGAAAGGATGTGATCTCCTGGTTCCAGCTGGAACCAATCCGTAGCGGCGACTTGTGCGGGAGCAAGATGTCTGAAACCATGGCGATCAAGGGCTGCCTGAGCAGTGGTCTTGGGGCAAAGGTATTGGACGTGACGTGATTCCGTCGTTTGCCATCCACAAATAGCAATGTAGAGAGGGATGGTGAAACCGAGTACTTTTCAAGGCATGCATGCATGTATGCACGACATCAATTTTTTTTCCCCATGAACCGTTTTTGTTCTGAGGAGCAGGAGGGGGATCGGACGGGGGATGGGGGAGGGTTTTGCCCTATCGATTATCATTACCCGATTTCCGAAGTTCCGGCTTCACGAACGACGGGAGGAAGGGAGGGAGGGAGGGTATGCGATGCGCGTATGCACGCGTGCATGCAGGCATGCATGGCATGGCATGCACTGGATATGCAGGTTCGGGAGGGGGAGGGGCGGTGCGCGGGACGAGACTTTTTTTTATTCAATCGTTTTTCCTTTTTTTTTTTGGCCTCTCTTCGGGCTGAGTTTTTCTCCAGAGTTTGGGTTTTTGGTTTGGCTGCATTTCAGGTCGCATAACCGCATGGCCGCCACCGATACGATGCGATGCCGCGGCGGGCGGGCGCGCATTAACCCCCCCAATTTTTAGGTAATTGAACTTGACTTGCTCCGACCGACTGACTGACCGACCGACCAACCGACCGATTACCTTCCCGCCTGTCCGTTTTTGCCAATCTGCCCTGCATGCATTTTTGAGGTAACACCGCATACCCTACCAGCTACCAGTTTGCCAAGGGAGGGTCAGATTCGATTGTCGATAAGCGGGGATGGGGGTGTGTGGGAGTAGGAGTGTGGCAGGTGACTCGGAAATTTTTTGATCCTGTTGGTATTTGTAGAGGGGGGACTTCTAATATTACTCGGTAGAGGACGACGGAACGGAATAAAGAAAGGAACTGGACAAGGGAGTTTGGTCTCAGCTGAGGGGTAGAAACAACCATAACACTGCGATGCTGCTGACGATGGTTGATGGGGGGCCATTTGTCTGACTTTAACTGCCGTTTAGGTACCGTACCTATGGAGGGAGGGCTATAACTGGTACCTTTCTAGGTAAGCTTCCGGGTGCTTCTACTGTACCTACCCAGGGAGGTAGGTGGTCTTCTAGCTTGCCTACTTGGCTGCTTACCTAGCAGGCCTTACATTTACCTTAGTCGGTACCTGTGGTACTGTGTAGTGGTGCCTAACCTTGCTAATCTGTCCTATAGTAGGTAGCCACCCGGCAAAGGTACCCCTCTCACAATCCTGTACCGAGTACATTCACACATCCTCGTAACCATTTCGAACTGCGGCCACCCGCACAAGGCTGAAATACCTATCAACCCCCTTTTCGTGCCTCCTGAATCGCTCACTTGAGCAGCGTACGAGGTACTCGGGTACAACACCCTCAACGCCTCATCAATATACGACACAACACCAAAAAACACAGTACAGTGTATACAACACCAAGCAAGACACAATGGAATTTAAAAAAAAAACCTAAAACTCAAATGGGAATGGGAATGGGAATGGGAATGGAAGAGGGAACGCTGAGGGGTCAGTGTCAAGTCCCTGGTGAGTGAATCGGTAGAGCTCTTTGCTATTGCTATCGCCAGTGCTATGGCCATTGACTGCCTTGATTTGCCATGCCATGCCATGCTATTGCTTGTCCTTCTCCATGTTCATGCACTTGCTTGCCATCCATGGACTCTGTCTTTCTCGCATGCATGCACCACCTTCCATCCAGTTCATCAGTCATGCCCATAGTCAGAAAAAGCACAGCGACTCGGTCTGGACCTTTTGCCCTCGTGCAAACGCACTGCCCCAAGTCATGTCCATGCTCAATACCTCATTCTCCTTCTGTGTTTTTCTTGATTTTTCGCTTTTGCGTTTTTCGTGTGCGTGTGAGAAATCTTTTTTTCTTTTCCCACCCTGTCGCCTTTTGCTCAAGGGGTTGGGTCGGGGGGTCTTTTCCGGTTCCTTGTTTTCCTCCAAAGTATACCTAGGTAGGTATCAATCCTTCAGCTCTGCACAACAGGTCGCTCGCTCAAGGGTAATGGGGGACAGATCCTTTTTTTTTTGTCTTGTTTCGTTTTCTGGTTTTTCTCTGTCGAGCACTTGTTCATCCATGATCCAGCCAACCATCCATCTCCAAGTGCAAGCTAGCTCTTCTCGCGAGTTGCGACGCATCTGGCATCGCGCGTTCCATACCCTCATAACAAGTCGTCACCATCATTCTTCTTATCATCCTTGACATGAATTCATTTCTGCCATCACACGACCAGCGCATCTCATCGCATTTCATTGCATTGTAGGCATTCTCGGTCCACCATTGTTATCCGGAAAAGTTGCATCTGATCATCTCTTTCTCACCATCGGTTTCACCTCTGTCTCGAAGGGCTAGAACGGTAACTGGCACCGAGTTGCTCAAGATTCGGAGGGCTCTTCATCAATCGTCTCATCAATGTGGAGCTGGAGGCGCTGGCCATGCAGGCGGTAACTGCGCTCGACAGCAGTGGTTTCGCTATTGGTGATGCGCTGAGGGTATGGAGATCCGACAAGATGGGTGCCAAAGCCGGGCGTGGTGAGACGGCGAGGACCTCGCTTGGGCGAGTAGTCAGTCTGAGGAACCGGCGAGTAACCTTCCCAGCCGGAGCCGGGGCCACGATCCTCGGGGGGACCTTGGACCACCGCCGTGTCTGGGCTGGAAGACGCGTCCGAGTAGCGGGTGTAGTTTGGAGAAGAGTGAGGCGCCGCCACTCCCGACCTGCTGACGACCTCGCCATCCTCGTCGTCTTCTTCGATAGGACCGATACCAGCGGAAGGCACACGACCCATGATGCGTCGCAAAGGAGAGCCCCGCGCAGTTGTTGGACTGTTGGTCGGAGTCATGATTGGACTACGCATAGCCGCACGCTCAGCTTGGGTGGTAGTTTCGCCAAAGAGACCATCCAAGAATTCGTCGATGCCGTCGGCACGGTTGGTGTTGGCATTGCGCGCGTCTCTCCCGGGAGACATTGTGTACGCATCAGGACCACCCGTGGTGCCGGCACCGGCGTCAAGAGCAGAAGTGGGTTGCAGGGTTGCGAAGAAGTTTCCGTCGTCAGGAGAACGAATGGTAACACCGCGACGCTCACGATAGTTGTTGGGTCCTTGAAACAAGCTCGGCTGCTCAGCAGCGGCATCAGTTCGACCAAAAGCAACGTTCAGAGGCGGCCCAAAGATTGCGGCAGCAGGTTGAAGGCGGATTCCTCCACCAGCAGTGGCGGTAGTAGCTGGTTCCTTACCTTTGCCTTTGTTGTTATTGTTCCGAGCAGTGCTGATTCTCTGCGGAGAAGTAAAGTCACCGTTTCCCAAGCCTGTGCCGCCGAAGACAGTGCTGGTGCCCAAGGTAGAGTCCGAGTTGCTGGGAGTATGACGGTGTCGCTGCTTCCAACCCGCCGGTGGCTCGAATGCTGGAGACTCTGGATTGAACGGCTGACTGAGAACAGTGCCTGAACGGGCGGTGCGCTGCTGAGGGAGCTCTCCGACAATCGTAGGTCCAGGCCCGTTGGTGGTGTTATTGTTGCTGATACCGGCCAACTCAATGTTCTGCAAACCAGCTCCCAACCCCTGGGTCTCTGCATCATACGCACCCTGTCTGTGCATGGGGACTTGCTGATCTGACGGTGGAGCCTCGCCAACCTGTCTGAGCACTTCGCGCATGGCCTTGAGTGCCTGCTCCGGATCGTCAATATTGTCAGCGTATTCTCCTTCTTCAATGTCGTCCTCTTCACAGAGAATATCGTCTGCATTCCACCCATCAGATGAATACTGATCTTGACTGCTGGAGGAATTCGCGGCGGGGACGCCGGAACCAGATTCTTGACCATTGTTGCTGAATGCACCACCGGAACGGTTGTTGCTGGTTGCAGTGCCAGTGAATGGATTGACAGGGTCGACATGAGCGGCACCAACGGTGAAGTCATTGCTGAAGTGGCCCGTACCAGGATACTGCTGATGCACGGGTGTCGGTGGGTCAACGCCCATCTGGCCCATGTAAGCGTTCCAGCCAACCGTCATCATATCGGCCATGATTCGCTTCTCCAACACGGAGAATTGCGCACGCTTCAGATCGAGACCGACCTCGGTAGGCATGAACAAGATATGGCCCTCCGGGTCACGGACGACTTCGAGATATGGCTCGATCCCGATGAGTTTGCGGGTCTGCGACTCCATGACACCCATGCCGATGTTCAAGATTTCAAACCACATTCCAATGTCCTGGTCCGACAGATGGGTAGGGTGGACAGACAAGGTCTGAAATGGCCAGTAACGGGCATGCTTGCTGATGCGGAACCCACACGACAACGCCTGAGAGGACTCGACGATATCTGCACGCTGGCGCTCCGAGAAGCCGGGGGCGTTGAGGCCGGCAAAGACGAAATCCATCAACAATTTGTTGTCCAGACCGACTTCGCGAGGAATGCCTCTGGAAGAGTCGACTTTGACAATCAGCACGTCAAGCTGCTTCTTATACGCGTCGAACATGGCCATGACCTGACGGACGGTGTAGAGTCTGACGGAAAACCAAGGGAACTGGAGATGTCATGGTCAGAAAGGGTCGTCTGTCTGGTGGGATGAATCAGTGCGAAATGGCTTACCTTGTACAAAGTACTGATCATGCTCTCAAAGGTGCGTTGCATGCTCCGATTCGCGAATTGGGACTGCATAAAAGCGGTCAGTTTTTGACTCATTGCGGCAGTTCAACTTTTTGAAGAGAGAGAAAACAAGAAATTCTAAAAAAGGCTCACCCGCTGTGGATATTCAGCATGACGGACCATGCAGGTGAGTTCCTCGTTGGTCATGAAGCCCTTGTAGCCCGACGAGAAGATGTCGCGGTTCGGCACCAACTTGGGGGCACCAGACTGCTCACTGTCAAAGTGGATGCACTTTGCGCGGGGGAACATGTCCTTCATCAACTCGCCCTGGTTACTCAGAAAGACCTCGACGTTGCGCTGGCCGATCTTGGGGATGCGCATGAGCTTCAGCCCGAAGCCGTGTTCCCAATCTTGCTCGGCCGTGCGTGGCGCTGTGAGCTCGACGTAGCAATCCATCGTCTTTCCAGTCGAGCGTTCCATGATGATGTGGATCGGGTACCCGGACACGTGCGGCTCGATCAGGTGGTTCGAGGGGATGTACTTGCAGATGAACTGCTGCATCTCGGCGACGCTGATCGTGTAGGGGATCTGAGTGGGGCAAGATGGGACATGGTGAGCACGAGTCCCATTTGCGAACGACTGATCCAAACATGCATGCAGATGGAGGCTTTTGCAGAAGAGGACGAGGAGAGGGGGAAGAAGGACAAAAAGCCAGCCATCTTTGTGAGCCACCACAGGACTTGCTTGCTCTCCATTGATGGTCTGGGGTTTTGCCCCAGAACAACACAGCACAGCACAAAGTGACGGGCAGGTAACGGATCACTCGACGAACGCGAAAGACACAAAATCAAAGAAAAAAGCAAAGGCAAAGCACATATCAGAAGAATAGGAAACAGAACTCACATTCATGATCTTGAGCACACCATGACGGCGTGGCATCAGCAGCTGTGCTCGATCAGCAAACGGTGGCGGTGTATTTGGGTCAAAGGGTACTGCCGGATCCGTCATGATGCGAAGAGGAACAGGTTGACTCGCTGGCAACGGCGGTGGTGCTTGATAAACAACGCCTGCTGAGAAGGGGTCGTTGTTTGGGATGTAGAAATTTGGAACTGAGGGTGTCGGCATGGTCAGGATTGGTGTTGCAGGCAGAGCCCCATTCATCCCAGCCATGGTCAAACCGTTCATGTTCATGCTGCCAACGCCAACACCGTGCTGCGGAGCAAGATGAATTCCTGGGTGGAAGTTGACAGGAGGAGGGGGAGGAGGCGCCAACGGTCCGATCGAGGGGTATGGAATTCGCACATGGCCAGAGGACGCGTGGTAGCCATGATCATCGTCATTTGGCACCGAACCGAAGCCCGACTGGCCTTCCATGGTGACAAGTTCTCAAAAGTAACGTTAAACACACATGAAAAAGGGGATGAGCAAGAGGGCGAGTGAGGAGGAAGAAGGAACAAATGAATCGAGAAAAGAAAGGTGTTGAAGGAGATGTTTGAGGAAGAAGAAGAGGAAGTGAGGAAGATGTCGAGAGAAAAGGCCCCTTGGAAGATTCAAAACAACAAAACAAAAGATGAACTGTCGAGGTCGAAAGCAAGAGTGAGAGAAGAGATTTCCTGGCCAGAAATCAGATCGACTGCCCTGTTTCTAGTCCGCCGCAAAATATGGTGACAGGTCGAAGGCGGTAAGTCGGTGTATTGATTCACGGCGAGCAAAAGGCCAAATTCTGGCCTCACTTTGCCGTCTCCCTATACAAATGAGAGACTCGCCTTGGCGCCTGCCACACCACACAGTGTAAAACCCCAGGAGAAAGTCACTGGCTGTATGTCAGCAGTGTCGTTGGCTCGGGTGGCCGCCAGTGGGAAAAGTCGTTGTCCATCGCTGCTCGCCGACCTGAGCATCAGCACAGGGAAGGACGAATAAACTGGGGGCCTTTAGACTCCCACCCGGTCTTTCAGAGGGATCCGTCTCGATCTAGTCATCACAAAACCATTTCTGTAACGTCAGCATATGGGAAAGAAGGTGGTTTCCGAACAATGAATATTGTATTCAGCATCTCCAGAGACCAGAATGATCAGAACCATGACACTAGTCCAGCAGCTCATTGTTCATCATCGGATATTGCCCATCGTTATCGCTAATGCTGCTCCAAACACTCTTTGTGACTGGAATGTCGTTGGATCGTAGTCACATGATCTCAGGGGTCGTGGTCCATCTGCAGCCTTGTGTGGCCTCAGCCAGAATGGCTGTCCTTGCATTGAGACCCGCCAACACGACCACTTGAGCACGATCCGCGCTCTTGCGCTGTTATATTGTCGACTCTTAAACCTAGTCGAACTGCACCCGGTCAATGATTGTGGAGTGGTTGACAACGAAAGGGGCTTACCGGAGTCAAGAATGATTCAGCCACAAAGCGAGCACGGGCGTTTAGCTGCACCCTGAATAAGTGTATGCCCGCAGACTGTATTGGGCGTTTATGACTTACGAAGAGCTTCATCTCTGAAATTTCTTTGTCGACTTCCTCCATGAATTGGATAATGAAGTCTACCAACTTATGCTTGAGCATTTCTTCCGTATGCGTGTTCGTGATCAAGAACGAGATATCGTAACCCTGCAGCTTGTCAGGTCGCAATCTTTTGGCGATGCCAATGCCACCCACCTTGACTGGCTTCCGTCGTAGAATGAAGAAGGATTCGGCACGCTGAGTAAGGAAACGCGTGAACTTATGGACCAGAATATTCTCAATCTCGTCGGCCTGCTTTATTCTGATGCTCACTCGTACACTGTTGACGCTGGGTTCTATCAGGACTTTCTCGTTCTCATTGCGGGCAATCGTCAGAGGGTTTAACAGGACTTCGGGCGAACTGGCTGCTTCGATCTCGGGGACATTGTGTCTTTCTGAGGCTTGAGAAGCGAAGTTGGAGAGAGAGAGAGCGGCGGTCAGAGAGGAACGGACACATTGAAGATAAGGCCGCAGTGATTGGGACTGATCTCAATAGTCAGCAATTTCCACAAGCCAGATATCGAGTTGAGATGGAGCAGGCACACCATCTTCAATGCGCTCGCTCAATTGAGATTGGGAGCAGAGCCAAAAAAAATTCACCGGTACATGGACACTGGGTTGGATATGGAGTCGAGACTGGTGTCCAGTGTGCTGTTTTAGTTCTTTGACATACAACTGGAGGTTTGTTGCCTTTGGACTCAAGTTGAATGTCAAAGGAACTGTTTGGAGGGGGACTGCCCGCAAGATCCGTCATCCGCAGGCACGGCTGGTGTCTCTGCGCTCACCTGCGGCTGCGAGGCTTGGCACTGGCCTTGTTTGGCGGGGAGGGGGTGACGTGCTGTTTTGTGCCTGACGAGCCTTGCGTCTTTCGCCGCCTTCTAACAATTTCCAAGCATTTTGTTTTCCTCTACTTGTCCTTGCACTTTCTCGCATAAGACTTCTCGTCTCCTTCCCTTCTTTTGTCTTGCAGAATAGACCTGCAGAATAGACCAGCACAAAGATGGCGACCATTCCTAGTAAGTTTTCTTGGGAGTGTCCCGTAAACAAAACCGCGGTTACTCACGACTCTCAGTTGTCATCAAGCACCAGGGCAAAAAGTACGATGTCGAGCTGGACCCCTCGTCGAACGGGGAGATGCTCAAGCTCCAACTCTTCTCTCTCACCGGCGTCGAACCTGAGCGACAGTCGGTCCTGATCAAAGGTGGAAAGCTAAAAGACGATACTGAGCTATCCAAGCTCAATGCCAAACCCGGCCAGATCTTCACCATGCTCGGTACCGCGTCTGGCGAGAGCAGTGCAGTCAACGCACCCGTCGAGAAACCGAAATTCGTTGAGGATATGACCGAGGCTGAAGCCGCCGCTCAAGAAGGTGCTATTCCAGCTGGCCTTCAGAATCTCGGCAACACGTGTTATCTAAACTCCACTCTGCAAGTTCTTCGCAGCATACCTGAGATGCAAGACTCGTTGCAGATATATAAAGCCGATAGGGCCACAGGCGTGAGCCTACAAGATCTGAGCCGTCTCGGCCTTAGTGGCATCAGCTCAAACAACGACCTGACTGCGCAACTCCGAGATCTCTACAAACAAATGTCCAAGACACAAGAAGGACTTCCACCCTTGGCATTTCTAAACACTCTGCGTAATGTCTATCCTCAGTTTGCCCAGAAAGCAAAGAACGGGCAAGGGTTTGCCCAGCAAGATGCCGAAGAGGCATGGTCCCAGATAATTCACCAGTTGAGACAAAAGCTCAAGATCACGGATAAAAGCACTCAAGAACAAAAAGATATCGCATTCATTGATCGATACATGGCCGGTTCATTCCACTCCTCACTCGCACCGCCTCCAGAAGTTGGAGACAGCGAGCCAGTTGTGGAGTCAGACGACCCCTTCCTGAAATTGGACTGTCATATTGACCAGTCAATCAATCATTTACGAGACGGTATCCTGGCGGCTTTGACCGAAGACATCGAGAAGCACTCGCCGACACTGGATCGAGATGCCAAATACATCAAGACCTCTCGCATATCCCGGCTTCCCCAGTACCTGACCGTACACTTTGTTCGATTCTTCTGGCGGAGAGACATACAGAAGAAAACCAAGATCATGCGGAAAGTCACTTTCCCCGAAGAACTCGACATCGTCGAATTTTGCACAGATGATCTGAAGAAGCGGCTGATTCCTGTTCGTGACAAGGTTCGTGATATTCGCAAGGATGAGGTGGATGTCGAGAGGGCCAGGAAGCGACAGAAGCTGGCTCACAAGCAGGAGGAAGATCGAAAGCATGATGAAGCGACGAAGGGTGTAGAGGCTGCTCCTATTGCAAAACTCCGTGAACAAAAGGAGAAAGAGGAAGGCAAGAAAAAGGAGCAAGGTGGCGAAATGGATGTTTATAAAACAGATGCAGAGTACGAGGCCGAACGAGCTGCTTCCATCAAGCAAGCCAAAAAAGAACTTTACGCTCTCATCGATCCGGAACTTGCAGCAGACGAAGGGTCGAACAAATCAGGATTGTACGAGCTCCGAGGCGTCATTACTCACCAAGGCGCAAGCGCTGACAGCGGCCATTACACCAGTTTTGTCAAGAAGCAAGGCAAGCTGGTAGATGATCCCAAAGCGCCTGGGGGCAAGCGCAGAGAAGAGGATGGCAAATGGTGGTGGTTCAATGACGACAAAGTCAGCGAAGTCGATTCGGACAGGATCATGTCTCTCTCTGGTGGCGGCGAGAGCGCTTCTGCACTCATTCTGCTTTACCGAGCCATCGATCTACCCACCGTGGATGAGATTGACGAGTAGCTGGGAAAGTCATGGACAGCCGCATTTTCTGGTTGCGAGCACCGATGTTGTATTAGCCTAAATCGACAACAGAGCATATTTAGACAATAGACTGCAAGCGCCGAGAGACAATGAACAACTTTTTCAGGGATTACCCTCCCATGACCCAGTAGGCCATCGTTAATACTTTTGAAGTGACACCCGTGACAACCTACCAGAATATATTGACGTTCCCGACTCACGTGCTTGGAAAACGCCTCTTACCTATTTAGGCTATTTCTTGGCGCCCACCAGTTGGAAACTTCAAATCCATCACCGTGGAACTGCGCCTTTGCCATCATTCATTCCATCAACGTCTACCCTTCAACCTGCGCTTGAAACCCTACAAACCATCCATCAGCTCAGTTGAAATCGACTCGCCATCATGGGTAAAGTTCACGGATCTCTCGCCCGTGCCGGCAAGGTCAAGTCTCAGACTCCCAAGGTGAGTAGCAATGAGCAACACTTCCTTCGACGCCGCAACGCCACTCCCAGTCAAATTTCATGTCGCCGCAAGCGGTGCGATTGGCAGCAAATATCAGACTTTGAGACTTACAAAATTTCTGTGCAGGTTGAAAAGCAAGAAAAGAAGAAGACGCCCAAGGGCCGCGCGAAGAAGAGAATCACATACACCAGACGGTTCGTTAACGTGACGATGACTGGTGGCAAGAGAAAGGTATGGATGCTATGGACACCGCAATGAGGATCGCGGCCAAAGAATGGGATGCTGATGGATGATTTCCTAGATGAACCCTAACCCGACATCATAAACGCCAATCTCCATACCCCGTGGTGGTCGATGCAAGCTGCCAGACGATGAAAACGATCACGCTGCCATGTGCAGTGCAGAAGTGATGTGAAAGAGGGAGCTGCAGTCTGCGAGGAAGCCAAATACGATGGAGAGGGCAAAATGGGTGGCATATTGTCACCTTCGGAAGTTCTGAATTGCATTACACGTGGATCAATGCATAGATTCCTTAGAGCCGAGAGCAAACCAACGCACCGGCTTGAAGATGGGATAATTGGCCATGGTGCTGATCAATAAGAGGCGTTTTTGATATGGGCTGGTACATATCGACGAATTATCCAAATTCTTGTCTCGGATTCCATCTCCCTGTTCCCGCTTTCCCTTCGTCTCAAGCCACGCATTCCACTGCATGGGCGTTTGCTGTGTTACCGCTTCCTCGAGCGTAAGATCGTTGTGGAAATCCCGCAGAAGAGCATGGTGATTGCGTGCCAGGACTGATTGCTTGCGCTTCATCATGTAACCCGTCACGGTATATCGTATTTAGAGAGCATACGATAAACTGTAAATGCATAGGTGTGATGGAGAACTGCCTCAGACCTTAAGACGGCCGCGTGAGAATCGTAGGTCTTGCGTATTTAGACGTTGTCGATGGCTCCAGCAATCCTCGTCGCCAAGGACAAATGGGCGCAGATTCGCGCTGTGCGACAACCACCAAATCTTTTTCCACTTGCCAACATACATAGACCTTTCCTACTGCTCCTTTTCCGAAGTCTGCTTGCTCCCCATAGAATAGTCTCGTCAATCAGCAAAACTTCTGATTTTTTTCTTTTTCTTTTCCCCTCGGTCCTTGCCTCCTCGTCTTAAATCTTTGCTCGCGCCTAGCTCCCTCGCGCGGGCGGGCAAGGAACGCCAAAAGCTCCTTCTGCCACGAACCCTCTTCCGATGCAGGCGCTTCGCCCTGTCCTGCTTCGTCGAGCAACGCGCGCATTTCCCACAAAGGGCATCGCTCGGCCCTCTCGCGCTGGCTGCTGGCTCAGTGGCCGGCGAGCCCAGCACGACCACCATGGCCCTCACAAAGAGTACTTCCAGACGCCCGGCCAGATGCCCGTCCCGGACTCGACGCCCTACACGCCCGGTCAGCCTTACACACCGCGGATCCAGACGGTGACGACGCCCGAGTCGAGGGCTGGGGGCATCTCGCTCTTGACGAGCTTCAGCCGGTCCGTCATCTGGGCGGTCCTCTTCGCATCCTTGGGCGTCACGGCCGGCACGGCTTTGATCACATGGGAGTACCTCCAGCCGCCCTTCGAGCCCGGGTCGCCCGCGGAACAGGAACTCTACGACGAAATCCTCGACGCGATGGAACTCCACCCCTTGGTCGATTCGCTGCGGCAGGCCAATTGGATAGAAGATAATTACTACGCTGCGGCTCACGGTGGCAGTCTTGGAGACGGCGGCGGATTCCAGAACAGAGGGTTACACCTCGTGGCCGAGACACTTCAGGGGACGCAAGGTGTGAGCATGAAGACATTCAAGCACCCGACTCAGGAATTCACCATCATGGTCTGCTTTCTGGGTTTCGGCGTCGAGGGTTGGCCGGACACAATTCATGGCGGGATGATTCTGACGATGATCGAGGAAGGCATTCAACGACAGATCCACAACTTCTACGACAATTATGGGAGTCGGGAACAGCAGAGCATCTCCATTGATTTCAAGAGACCGATGCGGCCTGGTGAAATATACGCCGTGGTTGTCCCTCCCGCCCAGTTGGAACCAGATTCGGAGACAATGAATCTCCAGATGATGCCCATGGTCGTGAGGATCGAGGCTCCCCCTAGGATCACGCCTGAGTTGCTCACCATCGAGTTGCCGTCAATTGATGAATTGCATGCAGTGGCGAATGTCCAGGTCCGACTCGTGCCAAACAAGAATGAAGAGGGGTCAGCGGAGCTCGAGGGGGTTGCCGCTTCGAAAAAGACCGACTGATTACACCGGAATCGAGGCAGTCCATCTCCTGTGTATTGAGGTTGTGGACAGCCATCAACTTCACACTTTCGACCAACAACTCAAGCGTCACGGGGAAGATTTGACACTAGAACCCCAGGTAAGCACTTGTTGTCTGCGCATTACACCGATTGGACTCTGGGCTCATGATTTGGAACAGATTTTCCCGACCTTCAAAGTCAGCGAGGTGGCCAGAGCATCTGGAACTACATCGAAAACATCTGGTCGGAGTGCCGGTCGTTCAGCGATCCGAGACAGCATAAATCTGGGACAATGTTCCTTGTACAGTTGGTTGCGAGTCATGACAGGACCCCCTGCCGAGGATGGCAAGCTATGTAGAACCCTCCTCATTTCCGTTGATCGCTGTTGGCGACAACTGGCGATGGTGTGAGGAACGATTCGATGCTCTCGACACGTGGTTTGCCCGAACTAGCGATCAAGAGGGCAGTCACACCTCCAGCTGAACTCGGGGTCACTTTCGCTCGCTGTGGGTTAACTACTCGGTACAGGTAAGGCTGGTGCCGCCAACGGACTGTGGGATCGTGCAAAAAGAGCGTGGCAAACGACCGGACTGGTGCCCAGATTAGGCGATCGCATGGGGAGAGTTTCGGATTTCTCCCTAAATGGGTGAAAAATTGTCGACCTGCATGAGACATACCGAGGCGCGCTCAGAGTCGGTAAATGACGACTGTGACAATCTGGCGCCCGGGAAATGGTATTTTCACAGTCTTTTGAGGGTTGAAACAGGTGTTTGGTGCTACAGGCGCCCGGGATAAGGGAAGATGCCCAGAAGCCCGTGATTCATGTTCTCAAAGCGATGTTGTGACGGTAAATTGAGGTCGAATATGGCTCGGAGTGTCGTTAAGGCATCGAGTCGCGTGCAATGTATCTTGTGTAAATCATGCTCCTCGAAGTCGGTCTTCCCCAGGATGGGCCTCGGTATCTGGCCGGCTATTCACTGGTAATAGTGCAAGAAGTTGCTTTACCGACTGTTGAACCAATTTGGATGTTTGTCCGTGAAGTAGATCGGCGACCGACCAGTGCTTGCCACCTCTTGTCACCTCCAGAATCACTTTTGCGGAGAAGTGGACCACGCTCTCATTTTGGCCCCCGTAGTGTCCCACTTTCGTGGATCCTTTGAGTTGTCCTCGTCTGCCATACCCCAGCATTCATTCCGCAACGTTGGGGTGGGTGGTGGAGAGTGACCGAGTCGATGATACCTACGAACCCCGAGGACAAGGCAGTGCGTGACGAACACGAATATGCTCGCACCGCTAGATAATAGGACTGGTTTGATTCGATTCGATGGCTGCGAAAGGGGTCACCATTTCCGAGGCCAGGGGTTGCATGATTCCAAGCGTTCAAAGCGCCACCTCCATCTCTTGTTCTGGCACCCCCGCGTCCCATTGGCGTTGCGGCGCAAATACCTGCTTTGGTGTGTCTTGCAGGTCGGCTAGGGGAGCCCGAAAACGAGGATTTGCCTCGTATCACCCTCAATGCCTGTGCAAACGGGTTGTAAACAGGCATCCCTTGGGCCTTGAGAAAGCCTAAACGGACCACACCGATAGCCGACGGAGGCTCAAAGATCCTCCCGACATCTCAGGGAGAACGTGGTCAAGTAGCGAGCCAAGCGAATCGAGCTTGTCCGGAGTATGAGGTAAACGGTTCGAGTTGAGCAAGGCTTGAGTTTGTGTGTTTGGGAGATGACAGAGCGCAGGCTGGGGAGACAAGAGTGACTGGGAAGAAGGAAAGAAGTGCCCTTCCCACCCCTTCCACAGGAGGTTCAACCGCCCAGAGGCTTCCGTGGTGCTCTTTCTCCAAGCTGCGGTGTGTCTCTGTTCCTTTTATTTTCTTGCCCTATTCTACTACTTGACCCCTAGTTCTCAATCAATTCCCAGTCTCAATTCAGTCACTCAGATTCTTGATCTTATTTTTCCCTTTCCTGGTGCGTCTGATTCATCCTGGTTGAAAAAGCACATAAGCTACTGCTAGTCCTGCAGTAACGCTTTGTGACTAACCATCCTCTTCCTTCTTCTTCCGCTTAAACCCAACCTTGTCTTTTCACGCCCTAGGGATGGCCCATGTGCTGAGTGCATATCACCACCGCCTTTGGCGTCTCCGTTGAGTTACAAAGCAAGAGTCAAGTCGAATCAAGGCGACCTACCGAGTACATGGCAACCCACCATCATCCTCGTCGTACAACTGCCAATCCCCACCCCGACACTGCGCCCCATCGTGTATCCGCCACAGAGACGAGTGAATGAATTCGACTTCTGCCTCTTTTCGCATCGATCCACCCTCCCACTGGCCCACTTCAAGACGCGGAGGACAATCCATTTCATGAGCCCTCCACACCCCACTGCTCTTTCCAGTATCGAGATTGGTAACTTCCAGTGCCTCCCCAGTCACCAGCAGATTTTAGTCGACAGGACTTTGACCTGGCTCAATGCTTCGGCTCCCTCCCCCATGCTCTGGCCACCCACTCTCCGCGGTTCCCGTACGAGTCTCGCCCACTCCAGCCGTCCTCCGACCCTCAATCCCCAACCCTCTCGAGATAAGTTGAAATAGGTCGTCGGAGAAGCGCATGAAGAAGCATACAGGGACTGCCGCGGTTGTGTGAACGCATGTTCCGACTCGATCGTCCTAGTCCCTCTTTCGCTCGCGAACTACATCAATCCTTCTCTTCCCCATCTCCTTGTCTGATTCCTGGCTTCCCTTCACCTCCCTGTCTGGTGTGTCCCAGTGTTGAATCCGCCTTGAACAATCCCTCTTTACCAACTCACTCACCTGCCTGTCTGCGTTGCCCATCATGACTGCTCAGGCAGACAGCTCAAGCGACAACATGCCTTCTCCTATCGACAAGGACCCTTCCTCCCATGTCGAGCAAATCCACACCAACGAGAGAGTACCAGGCCATCCTGGCTACTATGAGAAAGACGGTCTGCGGACCTATGGTGACGATGAAGACCATGACCACGAACCACCGGTGAGTGCAAGCCCGTGCCAGTCTTGTGGTGATCAACCCTGTCGATACTGACTGGCCCTCCGTTAGATGACCATTTCCAGGGGCCTCAGCTTGGTTGCCATGGCTTTCTTGTGGACTGGCTCCCAAATCCCAGTGTACATCCTCGGTGGTGTGCCACCATATATTTATGCCGATATTGGTGGTGTCGACCGCTGGATCTGGTTCGTCCTGGCTTACCTGCTGGCTTTGGCTGCTATCTGCCCCTTTGTCGGGTCGATTTCCGATCTCATTGGAAGACGGTGGGTGGCACTGGGAGGCTCCGGGTTGCTTGTCATTGCCATGATTATCTGCGGTACAGCGCACAGCATGGCGGTGTTTATCAGTAAGCATCAGTTGTCCCCCTTACCTTTATACCAGGAGTCTGACCAGCTCTCCTTTTCTAGTGGGCATGACTTTCTCTGGGATCGGAGCCGGCATCTGTGAACTTACCTCCCTTGCTGTCACATCCGAACTCGCCCCAACACGGAAGCGAGGGAAATATGTCTCCATCCTCGTCTTCACTATTATCCCTTTCTGCCCATCCGTCCTCTGGGGCCAGTTGATTGCCGCATACGCTGGCTGGAGATACTGCACCCTTCTCTGCGGACTATGGGCATGTGTCGGCTTCGTAGGCACCTTGTTCTTTTATTTTCCACCGCCGCGGCCCAACTCGCGGGGTCTTTCTAAGAAGGAGGTCATTTCCGAGATCGATTTCATCGGTGGTTTCCTCTCGATCACGGGTATGATCTTGTTCCTGGCTGGTCTGCAATGGGGCGGTTATCAGTACCCATGGCACTCCGCGCATGTTCTGGCACCTCTGATTATTGGTGGCTTTTTCCTCCTCATTGCATTCCCCATCTGGGAGATCAAGTTTGCGAAATTCCCAATGTTCCCGTCACGGATGAAACAGGAAGCCAGAATCCTCACACTCACTCTGATCATCACCGCTATCTCGGGAGCAAACTTCTTCTCCGTCATCATGTTCTGGCCTACCCAGGCCTTCAACGTCTATGGCCATGATCCGATCGGAGTTGGCGTTCGAGGTATCCCCATTGGCTTCAGCATTCTCGCGGGCGCCTGCATCGTGCTATGGCTCCTTTCCGTCTTCCGGGGCCATAATCGCGAGTTGATGATCATCTCCTCGGTGCTCATGACTGCCGGTTGCGGCGCGCTTGCAGTCGCTACTCGAGATAACCTGCACACTCTCTGGGGTCTTCTGGTTCTGGCCGGGCTCGGTATCGGCGGTATCGTCGTGCCTGCATCAATCATGACCACGATCATCTGCCCGGACGACATCATCGCCACTGTTGCCGCGCTTACCTTGTCAATCCGTGTGATTGGCGGCTGTATTGGGTACACCGTCTACTACAACGTCTTCCTCAACAAGTTCGTCCCTAACGCCACAAAATATATTGGTGGCACCATGGCACTTGAGCTCGGCATAACGAACGTTACATATATTGGCGAAGCCATCGAATATACTGCAGCGAGTCTCCTGCCTCTGCTCAAGACAATTCCTGGAATCGCCGGTAACGACACCGCTTACGAAATGGTCGTCGTGGCTGGCCAGGTTGCCTATGCCGAGTCATACAAGTACGTGTACTTGACGAGTATCGCATTTGGCTCGATTGCCATCTTGGCCAGCGTCTTTTTGGGGAATATCGACAAGTATATGGACGATCACGTCGCTGTCGTGATGCACTGAGCTGCGGCAACCTTTGTCGAGGAAGGGAAAATGTCCTCGGGAGATCTGTGGATAAGAGTGCAGCAGCAATGGATCTTGGAGAATGGTCGATTACCAGGCACATCTCCGAGGGGAAACTCGAGTCTGGTCCGTCGAAAGATTACACCGATGGTAGATAGACATAGGCTGGCATAAAATATAAGAATCTCGTCCATATTGATTCGATTTTCCTGGTATTTGTTCAGTATTTCCATGAGCCACATGCTGGGGAGAGGGGAGAATGAGAGGAGGAGGACGAGGAATGGACGAAAAGGAGCAGGGAGGATATTTACGACACAAGAAAAGCTTGGACCAACGTCTAGACCAAGCCCGTCTTCTTAGAGCATCACCCCCAAGCCGTGTAAAGGACAGGGACAAGGAGGAGAGAGGGGGGATAGAGGGCCAGAGCAAGCGAAAAGCTCGTATTCCTCCCCCCATCCTCCATTTCTGAAGCCTTGTCCTCGGAATCTGTTTGGCTCTTTTTTGAGGGTCGTTTCCCCCGCAAAATTTCTGGGCGGTGCCGCTGCCGAGCCGCTTGTGTTCCTGGCTTCCCCTCGGGGTTTCCTCTTCTGGGGTCATCAGCGACAGGGCACTCGGCGAGTCGGTAAGTACATGTCAATTGTATATACCCGAGGGGGGCTTTTGGTGGTGGCGGTGGGATTTGATGAGCGGAATGGGTGAGATCGGAAGGGGTGAGGAGGGATGTCGAAAGGGTGGGATCCAGTGCGAGGTTCAGGTAAGAGGGGGAGGGAGGTGGCGGTGGTGATGATGGTTGTGATGGGTATGTATTCTGGTCTGTGCCTTGGTACCCTGTGTTCTGTAGCTTTGAGGATGTGTCGAGAGGCATAGATAGGCCAGCGGTATAGACATACCCAAGGTACGAGGTACTGCATGCGCATATATACATACACCACATGTATTCGAATCCACCTTTGATGGGGTGTGTGTGCCTCGGGGACTCGGGTTAATCATCTGGGTCGGAGCAAGACAACCGGCATTGAGAGTGGTTTGATGATTACTCTCTTGTACAAACCTGGACGGCTCCACGTTCACAAAAAAGCATTGGCTTCCTCTCGACTCTGTATGAGTGTTGTCGGTACTCGCTCTCTCTTCCCGTCAGTACGCGGTCGAGATACATATGTAGGTCTGGATCCGGTCGTGTCGGGTCGTGTCGATTGGTTGGCTGGCTGCCTGGCGTGGCACGCTGGCCAGATTCCCGATGCGGGTGCATCCTGCGAGCAAAAAGGATCCAAAGCCATGGCGGGTTGATTGATTGGTTCCTTCAGTATCGGTAGTGAAGACGTAGACGCGCGTGGATCTCATGTCCTCGGTTGGGTAGATAGGGAAATAGGATATGAGCGGATCGAGTTGGGCGAAACGGGAGGACGTATTCGTATACTTCGTTGATGGTGGTAAATCCGCGAGCGGCACATGACGGGCTGAATAAGAACCCGGCCCTTCTGGTTTCCCCGGTTGTTGTTCAGAACCGGCTCGGTGTCTCTTGGTCTTTTGAGAGTTTTGCCCCCAAATCTCCGGTCCTCTCTGTGCTCGTACGTCAAAACTTTGATCTCAATAGTCGAATAGGGAATCATGCGAGAGAATGAACGAGCATGCAAAGGGGCATTTGAAATCGGTCTTCGCTTGTAACTTGGCCGATGGCTCCGGAAAGAAATGACTGGGGGCCCAGCGCAGATGGAGCTAAAACGGCAGAAATGACGAATAACCAAATGATCCTTCACACGCGCCGGTTGTGGTCCCTTCGTCCTTTGCCACGTCAACTCGGGACGAGGCTGTAGATAGACAGAGGGGCGTTGCCGGGGGAGCTCACGAGAAAATGAGAGGGATAATCATTCTCATCCACCCTTTTCTTCCGAGATTGCTGTTCGGCTCAAGCTCAAGCTCGATGGTGGACCTCCTCGATGTCCAGGGGAAAGAGTGTAAGAACCGGATATCGAAGGTTTAGAGAGAAGAGACATACAAAGCTGCAGGAAAGGAGACGGGTGGGGAATAATAGGTCAGCCCCTTGCAGAGTCGGAAGCTGAATGAAGAAAGAAAATATAGAGAGAAGAGAAGAGAAAAGGTAATAGGATAACCTTGCCTAGTCAGGGCCCGATAGGGGAGCAGGTGGATTGAAGTTGCTAAAGGCAAAAGGTCTGTGCGACTCATCATGTATTCAATTGAGAAGCCCGCCGGGCTGAAGATTAGGCATTAGTCTCCCGATCCAGCCTGTTAGGTAATGCCGATAAAGTTCCTCGGCATGGATATCTTGATCTGAGAAGGTGGTTTGCTGCGTTGTGCTGGGAAGAGTGCTTGTTGTTGTTCCGACCCAGTATTCCGAGGGTATCTGAAGATTAATAATAATCAGACCCGGCGCCCGGCGCTGATATGTAAAGCCGGTACAGCTAAAGGACGGCGCGGATAGACTGTTACCCCGCCGGACATGCCAATATAACGTTAGGTTCAAGTCGAAAGATCTGAGTCAAGGCTGAGCTCCTTTGAGGGACCGAGGTTTTTGACTTCTGAAAAGGGTGGAAGCCTTATTATATCACGTGGCCATGGGTTTCGTCTTTGTCCACCGCCTTCAAAGAGGTGATGGCCACCTGTCGCCCATGGTTTTGAGAAACGCTTCTCCAAATTTTGATTGGAAGTTGTCGCCAGTCAGCCTGTTCGTCTGGAGAGGTCGCCTGATGATGCAGGATTTCGGGACTGCACTTTCGCTTCTATAAGGCAGGGTAACTCTAGCAGAGTTTTCGGGCGACTTGAACATCCCACCTTGTTAGCGATGACTAGATCAAGGCCTAGAGGTCCATCTTCCCCAAGCCGCTCAATTCCAGTTCGGCCAGTGTCTCTCCTCCAACGTCATTCTCATCAACTCCTATTTCCTCAGCGTCGGCATTGGCATCAGCATCCTCGAACCAGAGCCGCACGCTGCCGTATGAGATGCACAATTCCTCTCCGACCTTGATATCACGTAGTGCAGTGTAGACAATAACATCGGTCTCGGTATTGCGCATCCAGCCGACGTTTTGATCCCTCGTTGAGTGGTTGAACATCGATCCAAGTCCCAGCGCAAGCGCTTGGGTCATGGTGCGGCCGGACTCAGAGGGCCAGTAACTGCGACAGGAGAAGGACAGTAAGAATAACGGTATAGCATCATAGGAGGAAGATCCAGATGACGGTATGTTGGCGACAAACCTAGCCCTGCGAGGCCAAAGGGTTGAGGCTTACTAGGTGTAGTGCTGAAGGCATGTGTGCTTCGTGTGTTTCTCAACCTCATCCTCCGTGAATATTAGTACTGGGCTGACCTCTACCACGGTGCCGTGAGGGATGTCCTGGGTCGCGAAAACGCCTCGACCTAGAAATGTCAAGACACAGATAGGTCAGGCTCAACTCGAGGTGGCATCTTGAGCAGTTGGGGTAAGGCTGGCAACGTGCACTGATTTCCTGCCCGGCATGGAAAAGCGGGTTGTTGGGGTCAATCCGGGGAAGGAAACTCGTGATTTACTCACACGAGGCGCAGAATCACGCAATCGTTTTTCATCGAGACCTACCCTTTGGGGTATTCATGACAAGCACGAGACCAGTTGTCCTAAGTAGGGGTTGATCTCCCCGGAGCGTGGCGCCATTGTCCGACATTTGCAGAAACCGAGGCAGCAAAGGGTGCCTAACAGGGGTTCAGCCTGATCTACGACAAGTCAGGGGAACTAAATGCCTAGTAGGCCTAATGCGTGTAGGATGGAGTGAAGAGTCTAATGTCTCGACGCGAGTGAAAAAGTCGAAAGATTCCAAAATAGGAAAAGCGTGAGATAGGGCGGCACCAGGTGGTGAACAAGATATGACGTCAGAGAGGCATTATTTCTGATGCCCGGCCGCTTGGGACGAGACCCTCGCTGTCCCTCACCTCACCATCCAGTCTGAGTTCATCAAGGAATTATGACTAACAGTGCCACCAGTGCGCGAATTTTTATGCTGCTGCCTAAGTTATATTCCCCGTCAGTGCTGACGAAAACCACCACCTCTTCCCGTTGAAACTGCATCTGTCTTCGAGGTGCGTTGTACCGACCCTTGAGTCGACCTTGGGAGGGAACCCTTCGACCCTTTTACCACGACAGTAGAACAGGAAGGCTACAAGAGAAAAGAATGCCAAGCAAAAGAAAAAAGATGGGAAATTGGTCAACAGAGGAACTGCGCGATTTAACTCATCGAACGGTGTTGCGTTGCACCCTCCATGTCTGGCATAGGGAATTCGATGGAGAGTATACCCTTCCGACCACTTCCGCTGCGCTTAGGCTCCCAACTTCCAGCCCACCTACCGCGCGATGAAACGGGCAAATGAACAGGTACTACGGCCGCAGCCTTGCGACTCAGCCTCATATGTCGATCTTCGTGAAGACCTTACTGGTCCATTCTCTCGGAAGCTGACGCTTCCCCGGACTCTGTGTCCCTTGTGTCGCGGCAATAGAATCCTCCCGCGGCTGAAGTAAGTGAGCGATTTGACTATACATCAAAGGGGGAACGACGTCATTTCGATATTTCTAGTATGTGATTCCGTGCTCGATGGTCGTCAGCATGAGTGCATAAGTAGAGAGGCGCTGTTCGCCCGAAAGACCTCTTCAACATTCCAGTGTTTGCGCATATCTACTCGAACAGCAATCAAACGCCTTTGGAGAAGCAGTCTACCAAATCGTATCCACCAATCATAATCAAATTCCTACCGCCCGAACCTCCTTCCCCAAGACAACAACTTCAATAGTCACAATGGCCGAAACATTCAACGGACAAGTGCTTATGGACCAACCCGCCGGGACAGGCAACCGCCCTTACGCTGCCGAATCTTGGCTTGAACCATGGCTCATTAAGCATTCGGAATTTTATCGCAAGCACTTTACCCGTGACGGACGTCGGGAGAGCAAGTCTACCAGACGCCACAGCGTCGTCGCTGAAGGACTAGAGTCCAGAAAAAATTCGGTTGCAGCTCCTGAAGCTGAGGCCGCTGCTACCACCACCCCAGAGACCGAAGGCACATCCGCCACCCCGGCTCCCGTTGAGCAACCAAGAGAGAGCGTCGACGCCGCGACTGCTGCTGAGGCTGTGGCCAAGAAGGACAAGTTCGGTTCCTTGCGCCGGAGCGTTGGCTGGTTTCCACACCCATGATTGAGTATCTCGAAGGAGTGTCTGGAAGGACGTTAATGGTGAAATGTATAGGGGAGAAACCTGGAGTCTTTTGAGGCTGGGGATGTGCGTTTGATACCCAAAGTGAACCATCTGTACGAGTATATGCTTGAATTAGGCAGCCATTTTTGAGAAGCGTCAACAATATTTCGTTTTAATTTGCACAACTTTCATTTCCACGACATAGCTGGTCACTTCTTTTGTCCCCTTGTCGTAGAGTGTGACGATTATCCCAATTAGAAACATATGTAGTGTTAGTAGCAAGTGGTATGGCTGATTGGTGGAGGTTTTGCTCTATCAACCCATTGCCCTTCTTTACCATTTGGTGTTCCTAATTTGGTCATTGTGAATTTCGGCATCGAAATCTGTACTCAGTACAAGGTACATATGTATCTATGTACCTGGTGTGCCTTGGTATGGTAGATTCAAGCATACCGGATTGGTGGAGATTCGGCAGCTAAATCGAAACCGACGATCATTCTCGCACGACAAGGGATTGTAGCACGGTACTTGAGTTCCGTCACCAGAGATGGGAAATATGCTCTCGACCGAAAGCCCTAAAAGGTTCCAGATCCCAAAAAGCGATGACATTCTCTATTGCTCAGTCGGCCGAGAGACACTTTCACGTGCCCCAAATGAGGCAAGCACCAAGATACGGCCAAATCAAGCCTTTACCATTTATGGGGCGCGGGACTCCGTGGCCAATCAGCCGCCGTGGCCCTGAAAATCGCGTCCTGCGAGGCACGCGTGGCATGTTTGGTGTGTGTGAAAATGTCAATGGTGAAATTGTCCCAACCGGTCAGCCGATGATGGAAGCAAAAAGACCCTGGGCGTCAGTCTGATAGAAGCTGACTATGCATTTAGAGTATGACTCGTCCAGCTGGGTGGCATTACGACTACATATACAAGACCAGAGGCATCCTCTCGGCGGCCGTCAAAGTCCCTAAACTATTGTCTTACATCTCATCTCGCATTCAGCCCGGATCCAATTGCACCATTCAGCCTCTGCCCAAACCCCTGACTCCACCACCATATCAGACATAGTCCGCCTGCGCTTGTCCGAGAGGGTGGGCGACTACCATTTATATTTATATCAGTCGCCTTCCAACCTGTCCTCACCGTCGCCACCATCCCGATTTATCAACCCTCGCTCGAGTTCACTGACAGTCCTCACCCGACACTCGACACCATGTCCACTCACACCATTGTCATCATCGGTGCGTCCTTCGCTGGACTCAACATCGCCCATAACCTGCTGAAGACTATCCTACCCCAATTGTCCTCGGCCGAGAAACGTGCCTACAAGGTCGTTCAGATCGCCCCCAACGACGAGTTCTACTGGAAGATTGGCGCTCCTCGAGTTCTCGGAAACCCCAAGTCGCTACCGCTGGAAAAGGCTCTCATCCCCATCGCCCCTGCCTTCAAGGCCTACTCAGCAGAGCAGTACGAGTTCATCAAAGCCCACGTCACTTCGATTGATCCCTCGAGCCGGACTGTTCACACCAGTACCTCAAATGCCGTCCACTACGATTCCCTCATCATTGCCTCCGGTACCAGCTTTGCAAGCCCCTTGTGGTCTGTGACAGACGGCTCTGAACCTCTGAAGACCGCCATCAGCGAGATTCACAAAAAGCTCCCCGACGCAGAGTCTATCTTGATCGCTGGTGGAGGTGCTGCTGGTGTGGAGACTGCAGGCGAGTTTGGAGAAGTGTACGGAAAGAAGAAGGAAATCACACTTTTGTCTGGCAGCACTTCCCTGCTTCCTAGACTACACAACAAGAAGGTGGGCCATGACGCTCAATCTCGGCTTGAGAAGATGGGAGTCAAGGTTATCAACAACAGTGTTCGAGTCGTGGAGCACACCACTGAAGGCGGCAAAGAGGTGTTGAAGTTGAGCAATGGAGAAACCAAGACTGTCGATATCTACATCGAGGCTACTGGTGACAAGCCGAACAGCAAATTTGTCCCTCAGGAATGGTTGGACGATGCGCAAAGGGTGAAGACGGACCCTCATACTCTCCGTCTAGATGTTTCTGGGGTCACGGGCGTCTATTGCATTGGTAGCGTCGCCAGCTACGCAGATGGCTCCATCCTCGACGTCAAGTTCGCAGCACCAGCCCTCTTGGAAAGCATCAAGACGGACCTTCAAGGCAAAGGTAAGTAGTCCTTCAGTTTTCACCCTTGTGCTGTGCTTCTGCTAACGATATTAAACAGGTGGCCCGCGCACCAACAAAATCTACAAGAAAATTACCAGCGACATGCAGTTTGTCCCCATTGGTTCCCAGGGAGGCGTGGGTGTTGTCTTCGGCTGGAAGCTCCCCAGCTTCTTGGTCAAGATGGCCAAGGCCAAGGACTTCATGATCGGCCAAGCTGTGAAGACCGTCGAGGGCACCGCATGATCTCTCGAGAGGCATTGGTAGAACCTGAGCGGGCATTGTGTTTTTGTGTTTGTTTTCAATAGAGATACCCGGTCTTGACTGTCAGCGGCTGCGCAACAGGGCGTCTGCTTGAGTTGGGGAGAATTTGCATAGAGGATAGCGAGACTACATACTAGTATACGGTAATCAGATCAATCTCGATCGTCGTCCTCACGAATCGGGAGAATTAGGATGTGGAAATTTCCAGAGCGATGCTCGATGGGTCGATGGCGATATTTCCCGATGCTTTGCTTAGGAACGCTTCCGCCAGAACATTTCCGACCGCCGCCAATGATTGCCTCGCCGACGATTTTCCAGCCAATTATTTTTCCAATGCTCAGTACATTTGCTTCCGCGAGGTCAAGCAGGCGGTTTGATTATATGGCAGTTTTTTCCTTATTTAAGACATCATAGACCGGATATTCCCTTTGTGCTAGATCAAGCGGCCATCCTCTCTTTACCTCTCTCGTTGTGATAGAACGGCAAAGATGCTGGGGCGGGTTTCTCTTGCTGCGAAACCTTCAGCACCAGTAACCAAACTCTTTCCCTGCGTCGCAGTGCGGAGTAGTTGCTTGAAAGCTGCTTCCCTGCGAAACTTCTCCTCCTCCCTCTCGCAGACGTCACGCAGGACAACTTCCATATCCCCTCGAGCTTCACCCGACCATTACCGAGCGTTCAGCAGCACAGCAAGAATGTCCGCAGCTACGAGAACCGAAACGGATGCGTTCGGACCCATCGAGGTCCCCTCAGACAAGTACTGGGGTGCTCAGACGCAAAGATCTTTGGGCAATTTCAAGATCAATCAGCCTCAAGATCGAATGCCGGAAGGTGTTGTTCGAGCGTTTGGTATCCTCAAAGGGGCTGCGGCCACCGTGAATATGAAATATGGCCTTGGTAGACACTTCCGATAAAGCTTCTACCAAACACCACCGCTAACCAAGGGACAGACCCCAAGATCGGAGAAGCGATCCAGCAAGCTGCTGCCGAAGTGGCTTCCCTGAAGCTGGTCGATCATTTCCCTCTCGTCGTCTGGCAGACAGGCTCTGGCACGCAGTCCAACATGAACGCAAACGAGGTCATATCGAACCGGGCGATCGAGATCTTGGGGGGCCAAATGGGCAGCAAGAAGCCTGTACATCCCAACGACCATGTCAATATGTCTGCTAGCTCCAACGACTCCTTCCCCACCGTCATGCATATCGCGGCTGTCCTTGACTTTGAAGAGCGACTCATCCCCGCTGTCAAGAACCTCAGAGATGCACTCCAGAAGAAGGTGGAAGCATTCGACAAGATTATCAAGATTGGAAGGACCCATTTGCAAGACGCTACACCATTGACACTTGGCCAAGAGTTCAGCGGGTACGTGGCTCAGCTCGATCGAAATTTGGAGAGAATTCAAGCATCTCTCCCCCATCTAAGACAATTGGCCCAGGGCGGTACCGCCGTTGGTACTGGCCTCAACACGTTTAAAGGCTTCGCGGAAGGGATTGCTGAAGAGGTGACGAAAATGACTGGCACAGAATTTGTGACTGCCCCAAACAAGTTCGAAGTGTTGGCCGCCCACGACAGCATCGTTGAAGCATCCGGGACACTTAACACACTTGCTTGCAGTCTGTTTAAGATTGCACAGGATATCAGATACCTTGGCTCGGGACCTCGTTGTGGTCTAGGAGAGCTAGTGCTCCCAGAGAACGAACCTGGCAGCAGTATTATGCCTGGAAAGGTCAATCCTACTCAGTGCGAAGCTATGACTATGGTTGCTGCTCAGGTGATGGGAAATCATACCGCTGCAACGATTGGCGGTATGAACGGTCAATTCGAACTGAATGTCTTCAAACCCCTGTTGATCCGAAACCTCCTTCACAGCAGCAGAATTCTGTCAGATGCAATGAACGGATTCGTCGAGCATCTTGTCGATGGTCTGAAGGCGGACGAAAAGAGGATTAGCACACTTCTCCACGAAAGGTATGTCTCGCCGCTCCCAGAGATCTAGCTTTGTCTATTTACTTACTGTGTTTTAGTCTTATGCTCGTGACCTGCCTCAACCCAGTCATTGGTTATGACATGGCCTCCAAGGTTGCGAAGAATGCGCACAAGAAGGGCTTGACCCTGAAACAGTCAGCGATGGAACTGAAGGCTCTTTCCGAGGAGGACTTTGACAAATACGTCCGACCAGAGCTCATGCTTGCACCCAAGGAGAAGAAATGATGCGACCTAGTCATCACTTTAACTGTCCTAAAGTCGCAAAGAACTCATGTTTGTACAGATAGCGGTCCAGGATTCTACGCACATCAAGGTTGACCTGGTTTGATTGTATTGTACAAAATTCACGATATTTCTGCCTGAGATCGACATAGTTATGATAGACTTTACAGATATAGATTTATCTTCCACCGTCGAGAAGGTCGTTGTTCCCGGTGGTGCCTCACAACCCATATCTGCTGTTTGTTGAGGTGGCGATCTGCAACTTCGTGATTAATTGACCAAAAAGGTATAGAAGGCCTGGCAGGTTCATGGCAAGAAAGCTTGTCCACAAAGGTTCCTTCGTATGTACCGATTACTTTTACCGAGTAGACGACGAGGCTTTGCGGGCAGAGATCCGGCAAGGCTGAAGGGAACACGTGAGTGTTGAATGGTCGGTAAAGGACGGAGTAAACACCGGCAAATACCAAGATGTCTTCGGCTAATGGGACTTCTCCGTGATGCGCTAAACCCGTTTCGAAAATCGCCGCGCTTATCCCATCTTCGGCATTTGCGGTCGTACTTCTTTCCCACGGTGGCTGGCAGCTCGAATCGCTTCTCCGCTTTCCACCAAAGTCGTCTCCCGGCCGACTTCATCTTCCCCTCTCTCTCCATGAGGGGCTCCATCTCCACACCTAGCATCAGAGCCAGAAAGACACGAGGCTTCAAGGAGCTATGGACACAACACAGTCAGTTGGCGGCGGCGGCAGAGTCAAGAGAAAGCAGTCGGGCAATAAGATCAAGACGCTGCCGTGCCCGCACTGTCAGCGACTCTTTGCTCGTCTAGTAAGTCCTGCTCAATTCCAGCACTTCAGCTCGCATTGGGATCAACCGGCTATCCAGCTACAAGACGACTAACGAGAAAATTTGTTGGAACCAGGAACATCTTCAACGGCACATTCGCACCCATACCAAAGAGAAACCCTTCGTCTGCGATATTTGCTCCAAGACCTTTGCCCGCAGTGACCTGCTGGTGCGCCACGAGAGGCTCGTCCACCCGGGCGAGGAAGAGCAGCATACCACGCGGAAATCACACAAACACCACATTCAAAATGCCAATGCGGCAAAGGAGGCCGCAGCGCGGGTGCAGGCGCAGCATGGAGCTTCGAATCATTCCGACCCCATGGACATCGCGCCACAGCAGAATCAGGCCTTGCTCTCCCCTCATCAAGGTGCGCACGATGGGAGAGGGATGATGGACATGCTGGATCCGCAGCTCATGCAACCCTCCAATGGCATCAACTCGGTCGATGGGATGTCGGCGCACCAGTCGTCTGTGATCAATGCGCCGTCACTCGATCCGTCCTGGGGCTACGACTTGAATCTTCTCTCGCACGCGGCCAGCCATGTCGCGTCCAGTGGTCAGGATCACTACATGTCCGGCCTGCCGCAAGTCACGCAAGAACAGCTCAACGAGCCCTTGCAACAGATCATGCCGGCAGTGACCGAGGGGCAATACCAGCCGAGAATGCTGACCGAAGGATATGGGCAGTCGACGCCCATGTTCGAACCCCCCGACCTCGGCGATCCCATGCAAGACTTCACCGTCTTCCTCGACAGTGTCGGCCTTTCGTCCGAGTGGTATGCCAATATGTTTGGCAATGATCAGGTTGATGCGTACAACTCACCCACCGAGTTGCGAGGCGATCACTTGAATATATCGAGGCCTCAATTGAACGGTGAGCATCCTACCGATAGCAAGCTTGGTGTTCCTCAAGAAGAGACGAGCACATTTTCACGATTTGGATCAAGACTTCCGTCCCTTCAACCAGAATCCAAAGATTCTGACTTCACTCGGCCAGACCCTCCTCGAAGTACGGTCGAAGAAGCCGAGGCCAAAGTGGTCAGGACAACCTGGGATGTCTCAGATACAGATCGATCCATATTTGCCTCCAAGCTTGCCGCATTCGACAATGTCATGCCCAAAGGCTTCATACCTCCTTCAAGGCATTCGCTTTCGAGATACCTGGCGGGTTATGTCAATGGCTTCCACGAACACCTTCCCTTTATTCACGTGCCATCTCTCCAAGTTGCAGGGAGTGCTCCGGAGCTTGTTCTAGCCCTGGCCGCCGTGGGTGCCCAATACCGATTTGAGAATAGCCGAGGGATCGAACTATTCTATGCCGCCAAAGCCGTCGTGTTGGAACAAATCAGACGGCGTGACGAGTCCTCGACGACTCACTTGTGGAACCGACCTCGGACAGGGTCGATGGCTCAGTCGCCAGGAGGAGGCTTCACCAACAAAAGCCATTCAAGCAGTCCGTTCCAACACATTTCTCCCGAAGACGCACTTCCTGCCGATAGCAAAGAGCAAATGGACTCAATACAAGCGCTCCTGCTGCTGACTGCCTTTGCTACATGGGAGAGGCATACTGAGCTGCTGCGTGAGGCTTTGGCCTTTCAGAGCATTCTAGCACGGCTTGTGCGAGAAGCCGGCCTGACGAGTCCGGAAATCATGCAGTCGCCGGAGGAGCTGACTTGGGAGGACTGGATCAAAATCGAGGGCGAGAAGCGGACCAAGCTCATCGTCTACTGCTTCTTTAATCTGCATTCAATCACCTGGAATGTACCTCCGCTCATCCTCAACTCGGAAATCAAGCTCAACTTGCCCGATCCTGCCAACGAGTGGAAAGCCACCAGCGCGGAACAGTGGAAGAAATTGCGACAAGCAAACTCAGCACCGCAGATGCCTTTCCAGACCGCGTTCTCCCGGCTGTTCAACAAACAGAACCAAGCCACGGCGACTCCCATTTCCCCACTGGGCAACTACATCCTGGTCCACGCTCTCATTCAGCAGATTTTCTTTGCTCGACAGCTTTCGCTAGCCTGGCCCGGCGTAGCAGGGTCGAGTCTGCGCATGGAAGACATTACTGTCCTCGACATGGGGCTCTCGTCCTGGAAAGCCGGGTGGAAACGGGCACCCGAGTCGAGTCTCGATCCTCAGAATCCCAACGGACCAGTGGCGTTTACCTCGACGGCTCTTTTGGGTCTTGCATACATTCGTCTACATGTCGACATGGGTCCACTCCGCCATCTTGAGACGCGCGATGCCGTACAGATTGCCACATCTCTGTTCAATACGCCAGACCTCCGCCGTGACCCTCGGCTGACGCCCGCCCTCTTGCACTCTGCTCATGCACTTTCCATCCCTGTGCGACTGGGGATAGATTTTGTTGCACGCACACAAACCTTCTTCTGGTCCATTCAGCATTCGTTGTGCAGTCTGGAATGCGCTTTCCTCCTTAGCAAGTGGCTCTATGTTCTGTCCAACCTGAAGAGCACGGGCGGTGCCCCTGTCACTGAGCACGAAAGAAAGCTTCTTCTCTGGGTCCGGTCTCTCCTCGACGAAACGGAGATGACGGTGCCATTGAACGGAGATGCGAATGACCACACTGTGCTGAATGAGTCTCGGGAGTTGTTGGATGACACACAGAAGATGCGGCAATTGAGCGTGGCGGTGGTAAGGGTATGGAGCAAGACGTTCAAGGGGAATACGAGCTGGGCAATTGTGGACATGATTGGCAGTGCACTGGAGATCTATGCGGACATGTTAGAGGGGGAAATGGCACGGTAGGGGGTTTATCATTTCGGTTTGGGAGAATGGATATACAAACACGGCCAGCCTTGAAGTGGTGCCAGCATCGATCGGCAGGACGAATACTGCCGGGGGCGAAAAGAGGCCGAGTGGTATGTGGCATGCTTTTTACAGTGTGTACGAGTCTGGACTGTGATTCTTTTTTTCACAAAGTTCTTTGCGAGCTGGTTGAGCTATCCAGCGAGCGATTGAGCAACAGTTTCTGATACTGCGGTGCGCTACGCTTTCTTTTTTCCGTTGTTTTTTTTTGGCCATATACAATGGAGGGGAACAGAAGAGAGGGGAAAAAACAAGGGCAGAGGGACAGCCAAAAAGCAACGTCGAGCGAGGAACAAAAATGCAGACAGGCAGGATGGTTGTTCAAGACGGGGGTTTTTTTTGGTTTGTCTTACTGCTTTTGCAATTGCTTTTGTGTTTGGGGATTTTTTTGATTCTTTTCTGCTACGCTCTGCTACGCTCCGTACGGTCGGTCAGTTGAGTTCAATTCAGTCGGTTCAGTTCCCGTTCCTGTGCGGTATAGTTCAGTCCAGTCCTGTGTTGTTGGCAGTCAAGTCAAGTCAATACAGTCAGTCCCTGGCTGCTCGGTTTCTAGGTAGTCAAATCAGTCAGGTCAACCAAGTCAATATGAGCTCATATAGATAGATATATGTACACTGTCTCTGCTTTGCTCTTGGAGTAGAAGTTGGAAGGACATGTAGGTAGGTATATATGGTTTGATTCATTTGGTGGGAGATACACAACACATCAAACATCACATCACATATAACATAGCGTAATATAACATGACATAACATAACATACATGGTTCCATTTCCTATCTTCGTAAGTACAGTAAGTAGTAAGTGGTAAGTGGTAAGTGGTAGATTCCTCTCCCTCTCTCCCTCTCTCCTCCTCCACCACCCATCCAAGTCGCATGTCCCGTATCCCACACCATATCCCATATCCCAGCCTGACCTGACCTGACCTGACCTTACCTTTCAAGTCTCGTCTCGTTCGTGTACATGTCTCCTCCATCAGCCATCAACCATCAACCACAGCACACAGTAAATCAGAAATGCTCTCACAACAACATATACCACACCACACACACAAAGATCATACAACCACCACAACCACCAGTGACCAGATCACACAACCACACAACCACAGCCATCACCATAACCATCAACCATCAACCATCAACCTAACACACGCTGAAAGTGCTGCCAGCCCAACTCCAACACTCTGCACCCCCAACCAAGGCGCCATGCCAAAATGTATCACCAGAACCATCCGAGGTATCCAGAACCCTGTTTCGACACACACACAAGTATGTGCCCTATCTGAACCCTTCGACTGAACGGCCATCTGTGACTTGTCCTTTTTTGATGTGAATCCTCCGAAGAGACGATCAATCACCCTCGTTGAGCAACCATCAACGCTGAGCACAGAGTTTGTATCTAACAAAAAACAAACAACCAAGAAGCAACTATCTAATTTGAGTATGATTTTCTGATTTTTTCCCAAGTTTTTTTTGGTGGTTCACGAGCGTCCCCAATCACCGTTTTCTTTTTTTTCCCCTGAGGTTTCACAAGTTGACTCTGAAAAAACATCTGTGCTCGGTTGCTCAACGAGGTCGTCACATACCCTTGTCAAGGTCCTGCTCCTGCGCATTCCTCGATCCAACCAACACACACCAAGCAACCAAAGGTGAGAAGCCTCCAGCGTCCCGGAAAACCTCCACGACTGAAAACAGACAGCATCTTCAATCAGTGATAGCCCCACCGAACGCCTCGAACTGATCTGCAGCCATTGCTATGAAAAAATCCCCTTAGAGCCCACAGAGTTGACAGAACAACTGTCTGAAGCAAAGTGTGAAGTGAACGACGTGTATGGAATGGATTCCTGAGCCAGTAAAACGCCCACGTCAAATGTCCATCAACACTCTCGGAGGCCACTCAAATCTCAAAAACTCCATAGTTCCGTGGGAGCATGAGAACCGTGCTTGCTGAGATAACCTCCTGATTGCTTCAAGTAGTCGTGGCCTCGGATCAGCTGATCCTCCAGCCAGACGTCAGAAGCCTGCAACCCAAGCTTCGCACCCTCCAGTTCGCGACACCACGGCAAATGCCCACAGCTATCACACTGACGACAACGCCACTCCGGGACGATGTGCTTTGGCCAACAGCGGGCCGGTGTGATTAACAGCGACGGGGCAAATGTCACACTCTTCTTCTGATCCGGGGCACCAGATGTCACTCCATGGCCGGCAGAATTTGGTGTAGTAGGCTCCGTCTCCCCAACGAGATCAACATGGTGCTTCAAGATCGATTTGACCGGGCGGTCGAACCGAGTACTCCTGATTGGCTCCGAGTTGATGCAACGCTGGATCGACATTGCCTCTGGTCGTCGAACAATTGGGCGGAAACCTCCCCCGCCAATACCCCCAGTCCCTCTCTTTTTGCCGGCCTCTTTGTCAACCGGGCGCCCAGCGTAAGCAACAAGGGGCTTGTCAAGTCGTACCTGCTCAGGAGCAGGCCGGGGCCCAACGAGCGACGCCTTGATGCGAACCGGGAGCCGTGACGCCGAGGCTGTCTCCCCTGTGACGGTGCGAGACGTGGCGGTTGTCTTGTCCTTTCCCACATCGCCTTCCTTGCCGGGCGTGGTGGATCCACAAAGCCGAGACGACGACGACAACATGCCATTAAGGACCGGTGTGACCGGTACGGGGATCAGAGATCCCATGACCTTTGCTTTGGCTGGGGCTTTGACCGAAGTCGCTGCCTTCGCCTCCGCGGCTGTCTTGTCGTCCGACGATTGCTTCTCCGATCCACACGAGGCCGTAGCGGTCGGCGCAGGGTCCGAAACAATTGTCACAGTGGTGGTCGCCGACGATGAGGGGGCATCCTCACAATCCTTGACCCCGGTACCGGCCGTTGACCGTCCACGGAGGACGCTGTTGACCAACCAAGGCCGAGACCTGGCAGCCCTCAGTGACCTCCTCAGGTCGAAACTGCCGGAAGATGCTGATGATGGCTGAGAGACGAACTCCTTCGCCATTGCTGATAAACTGTAAGTCTGTAGTCTGTACACTGTAAGCTTTCTCAATACGCACACACAAAAGGGGGGCGGGGTTACCTGGAGAGGAGAAAGAGAAAGTGAGCACGGCGGGCAGCACAGTCACCTTTTGTATGAGATGCCTCGAGCGTGCTCCATCACGGTTGTTGATGTTGTGGACAACAACACTGCAATGGTTCCAGTGGTTCACAAGGTGGACCGATACAACTGCTTCACCAGTAGACTCCTGTTCTTCAATGGAGATGACCATGAGAGTTGTTTCTGTGGAGTCACGTCCCCCTCGTAGGCTGTATACAAGCAAGCAAGGGCAGCCTTTTCAGCATCATCCGCAGCCTTATTTTCTCGCAAGGCGCAAGGTATTTGAAAAGGGGTTAGCCATGGGGAAGGCTGCTGGTTCGAAGGCGTCCACCAGTCAGTTCAGTGTTGTTGTGGTGGCGAATACAACTCCACTCGCGTGTGACTCTTTCTTCATACCTGAACCCGCACACAGTGCTCAAGTCGATCACTGAGACAGAGACGAGGTGTATTAAACGAGGCCCGCGGTGGATTCGTACAAGAATTTGTAAGGAAACGTGTTTTGCTGGGCTGGAGGAGTCAATGGAGGGCGTCTTCGTCGAATGCGGTCTCGACGAACTCGGAGGTGATCCACAAGGTTACTCACGACCGTCCAAGAGGCAATCCAGTAGCTTGTTGAACAATTGGGACGGGTGGAACTCGAACTTGACGAGCAGCTGAGGATGTCGAAACCCAAACAGGACGACGCCGGGTCTCAAATACGAGCGCGGTTGACGGTACGGTAAACAAGTGGGTCAACGGCGGTACAAACTTCACGCGTAAAATATTGTGGACTAGCCAGACCCGACGATTGGGCATGCGGGAAAAACATACCGTGGTTCGAGAGGAAAAAAATAATAATCGAATACGAGGTTTGTTGTTTGAAGGTGCCATGTTGATTGAGTGTTGGACTTGCAGGATGCATGCGAGGCTGCGCTTCCGCACCACGTCACGTGCTCACCCCCTGTAACCATGTCCCTGCACACTTTGTAACATTGTAGAGGATATGAGCCGATTGAGACATTTTCCGTGCTCATGGTTCTGATGGCCATAGTCGAGAGTACGCGTATCCTGGGGCAAATTTGGTTAACGGGCCTTATGAACACTCGAATTGTCTCGACCTTACTGATGGTGCTGAAGTATGAATAGTCCTTGCAACGCTCGTATTCCTGACCCTGGTGGCTTTCTGAAGCTGGATTCAATGCTGTTTCCTATCATATTAACATCACTAGCAAGTAGCTGACCAAAGACAATCCCGGTTGCCTCCAACAATGCTGGTCTGGCTCGAGCCATCTATGCCGTGTGATGGTTCAAATGAATGCTGGACTTCCCTCACCCAAAATATGCTCACCTGCACTTGTACTTCTCTCTCCCCGTCGACTTCTCAGAAAATTGCTGACCATTCTCTTGCTACCCAGGAGCCCCAGCACTTTGGCTGCACTCTTCCCCACAGAGTAGGACCGCGATGGTAGTACTGTTGCCCCTTCATTCCCGTCTCCTAGGCCAGTCTCCAACTCCCGGCCGGCTCCGTCCAATGTGATTCTAGGTGCTACACTCAACCTGTTATTTCCAAACGTGTCCGGATGACCTTGCGTCCTCTTGCCCAGGTACATGCTGTCAAACGGACGGTTGTGGGGAGGCACATCCATGTTAAAAGGCCTGCTCAGTCGTGCGACCAGGTGATCTTTGGCATTCTCACTTGGACTTTCATAGGACCTGCTCGGCGTGGTTGAGATAGACTGATGGGGTGTAGAATAGAGATTTTCTGGCTGGAACACGCCTTCACTGGCTCTCTTGCGAAGTCGTCCGCTCGTCGTACCATTCCGGAATTGCAGTTGCAGCCTTCCCGGCGTACTCACTGGAGGAGAGTCCGATTGGATCGGCGGACTGTTTTCTTTGCCAGCACTTTGAGGCCCAAGCGTCCTCTGGCTCCTCTTCTCCCTGAAGACCTTCACTAAGTTCCCAGGGCTCAGTTTTCGTAGACTTCCGCTGCCTTTGCTACCGTCCTCGGCGTTGTTGGAAAGGCTGCTCAAGGCGTCGGTGCTGGCCCTTTTGAGCAGATCGGCATGAGCTCGGACGGAAAGAGTTCCATTGTGCACCTTCGGGCCGCTTGATCCTGAAGCAACGACAACATTCGACAGGTCATATCCTCTCGTCTTGGTACAGGTACCCGCTGACCTTACCAGTTGGCTCGAGGCACCCTCTCCACCATCTCCAGCTTCCTCCGCCAAGGTGATTTGAGCTCTTTCCCGTGTGTGTGAACTGGAAAAGCTATCTGTGGTGTGCTCGTGCTTTTTCACGGTATCTGACCAAGGATTCCATCGATTATTCATAGACGGAGCAAATGATGTGGCCAGAATGGTTGCCATGCTATTTGTTTCCGATTCTTCGGGAGCTTTTGTACGCAGCTCGTCCGAGCTCTCAAGAGGCCGCTGATACTGTTCATTGGATCCGCCGTTCGTTGTCCGGGAGTAGATACTGGCACTGCTCAACCCGAAATGAGGGCGGTTCATTACGGGATTGCTCGACTGGCGATTGATGGTGACGCTACTGTTATCCGAGTCTGCGTGCTTGCCGCGGCCATCGCTGGTGCGGCTGCTGCGACGACGCCTCTCATTTAAGAACCTCTTGAAAGGACTTGGGGTGTTTGGGTTCTTTTCGCTCGAGAAAGGAAAGAAGGTCGACTGTGACTCTTGTTCCGCCAGTCGTTCCCATCTTATGTCGGCATACTCCTGATGTGGCTCATCCGTCCTCGCGCTAGCAGAGTGATGCCACGAGCCAGATTGGCTGCTGGACAGGGGGTTCAGAATATTCCCAGTCATTGTAGTCAGCGAAGAATCACTCTGAACCGCTCTGATGGTAGGTTTCATGTCCGAGATTTCTGTGCTGTTCGCCTCGTACCCATGATTGATGCCTTCCAGAGCAACTCTTGTCCTCTCGATTTCAATCTCTTCCTGGTTGATTCGTTTGATCAATGCTGAATAGATTCGCTGACTATCCACTGCCGACATAGTCCGGGCGTCATTCGTGATTGACTGCAGTGGCTCGTGGAAAACGTCGACCCCGCCAATGTGTTTCCCAGCGGATGACGAGGGCTGATGAGGACCTCCATCTTCTTTGATGATCGAGAGTCGATTGCGCTCGATAGGACCAGACCGCATACCAATGGAGCCTGTTATGCTGGAATTGGTCCAGCTGGTGACTCGGGATCGAGCATTGGAATGGAGGCTTTCACGACTTGCAGCGGAATGTACAGCATACGGCACCTTGTCTAAACCTTCAAGCGACTCATGTTCGAGAATAGGCTGAGAGTAAATGCTTCGCTGCGGAGTGAGGCCGTCGTCCATGACTTGGTATGCGTCGAACCCGCTGACAAGCGTAGACTCCTTGTCAAACTCGGAGAAGTGGTTGCGCTGGGCTTCCAAATGTTGAGGAGGCAAATTGTCTTTCTTACTCAGCGACTTCCCAAGCACCCTGCGGACTCGATCGCGAAGACTAAGCGAAAAAGATCTCGTGGCTGTGGTCTCCGGCTGCTCAGCCTCGAGGCACGCGCTGGCCCGAACTGTCTTTCGGAATTTGTGCTGCGTTCTCCTCTTCGCTTTGCGAGGTGTACACAGTTCTGTCTGTTGCAGGTCTGCGTGGCCAGCGCCATCGAGGAACTGTGCTCGAGCCATCTCAACTGCCTCTTCATGTCGCTCCCAAGCACCGTCTGAGCCTTTGTAAAGCGTGGTGTTGCTCTGGCGGCGTAGGAAAGGAAGGGAGCGCTGAAGACGCAGACGAAGATTACCATTGGGAAACGCCACGAGGGATTTCGACTTCCGGACTCGACGATACGACGATGGTAGAGCTCCATAGTTTTCAGATCCAACTTCCGAAGAGGTCATCGCATGCCTCGCAGCAACCATAGCAAAAGCATCGCCCCCTCTTCTATTGCGATAGACGCAGTCGGTCATACTGGATATATCCAAAATTGCAGGCTGGGAGATATGGTACAAGGATGAGATGGCGACAAAAGCCGACCGCAGAAGTTGTCGACGGCCATCTTCAGGAAAGAGCAGCTGCACCCTGCAATCGCCCTCTGCCTCAATCGCGGGAAAAGAGCAGCAGCCATCGTCCCCAGTAAAATGGCCTCTAACACGACATTAACCTGCTTTTTGTTCACCCGAAGCTCGTTGCCTATGTGGACTGTCTTGTCTCCCGGGAATGGAATCCGGGGAACTTCTGGTCGACCTCATGGTGGCTCACTTGCTTGAGACGTGAAGACATGGCTTGGGAGCGCGGCAGAGTCCGATATCTCCCTCTCAAGCCAGCGAGTTGGCTCGGGCTGGCGAGACTTGAGGTGGTGACCACAAAAGTCGCGTTCAAGTTCGACCTGCGACGTTGTTGTTCAAGAGAATCTGATTCGCACTAGACGGTGGGCACGGCGATCAGATTGCTGTGGCGGGAGAATCGTCGCCAGATGCAAGTGCATGACAGAGTGGGACTTCCAGCGATCGACGAGAAGGGAGCATCTTCCGAACGGTTACGCAAGGTCGCAAGGCTGTACTCGGTTACATGGTAGGATGTCGACTACTGAACGAGACGTGAGGCTGTACCTGACCAATGCATAGCAGACGGGGTGGTCAACGCTGGATGATTGAACGCCTGACTGCAAGATACCATTTTGTGACAGGGCTTCCCACAGGGGGAAAGCATTGAACAAAGCGAAGAGACAGGCGGCCAATCATTCCCGCAGCACCAACTGCCCGCAAGGGGAAGAATGAAGCATGAAGTGCCAGCGAGTCAGTCACGCGGGAGAAGCGGAAAAGGCGGAAGAGAACCGACAGCTTTGGTGCATTTCAGGCGGTTGCTGCAGGCCACGAAAGCACTGCCCGCCTTTGTCTCACCAGCGCCTATAGTGCCTATGCCCTGCGGGCGATTAAACGAACAAAATTATTATTAGAGATGAACTACCTACCCCATGCTTCTCGAACTACTGCGAGACAAGCCAAAAAGGAAAAACTCCGACGACAGTGAATGCTACTGATGATTCTCGGTCCAAGTTACCACCTTTGCCCTTAGCTGCAGCAGCCCAATCTGTTCAATACGAGAGTGATGATTCGAAGCGCCTTGTCCATGCGAGGGCGTATGAACACGAGAATAATACATACAGTAGTGCTGAATCTCCCCGGCGGAACGGAGTGGAAAGTCCTTGCTGCACGCTGGACCTTGTGGGGAAGAGGAAGTGAGGCATTTTCACAAAAGGGCTCAAGGGGTTGATGACCGCCCTGTGTGCACTTGAGATAGAGTGACGCGAATGTGCTGCGCGGATTCGCAACCTGTTGTACGAGCTCGAGTAAGTAAGTCAGGCCCGTCAGTCAGTCAGTGCGTGCATATGCATTGTGCAAGCCAGGGGCTAAAAACATGATCACCAGGTGCGCTGTGATTAAGACACGGAATAACACATTGAAGCGAAGCTAGAGATTAATTGTTCAACTTTTTTTTGTTCTTGTTCTATCTAGGTCACTCTCCGTGTGGGACGAGTTGGACCCGGAGGAATATAGCTCGTCAATTTCTTGTAACGTACAAGTAGGTGTATGAGACATTCCAGGCGCATTCAAAATGTTGGTACATGAGCAGGAAAACCAGTTGCTGCCTCACTACCGACTAACGTGGACGCCCGGTCTCCGTTCGCTTTTGTGCTCTCCGCAATCCCTTTCCAATTGAAGTGCTTTTGTTGCCCAAGCCGGCGCAGAAAAGGATCGACAAACCCCGCCCTAACTTGTCACAAGGACCCTTTGGCCTGCAGCTGCAAGCTGCAAGGCGTCGTCACTCGTGTGCAAGTCTGGCGTCACCGATAATATAGTTGATACACAGAGATCCAGACCGACAACATTGCGAATGTCTGGCTCCAATCAAAAAGGTGGACAAAAAAAATTGCAGGTGAATAGTAAGGTCGTAATGTTGCCTCCGGATGCAGGAAGTCGCTAAAATCAAATTGTACTCTCAAGGTGTGCCCCCCTGAAGACGCCAACGCTGAAACCCAACAGTGACAAGAAAACTCGAGAGGTGAAATTGGTGAATAGCGGTGATGGCCGGGTAATAGGAGCCAACACCAATCGGAGGCGGCGGTCGTCAATAATCGTAGCTCGTGGGGTATCAAGGTTTCATGAGAACCCAATCCTGGCGGAAGCTTTCGCAGTGGCCTGGGATGGGTAGCCAAGGTCGGACAAAAGGCAAAGGCATGAATTGCCGAAAGGATGAAGGAGGATGATTGGGGTTGGAGGTCTGAGTGGGCAGTTATCTAGCCTCAGCTGCAGACAGCGGCATGGTGACATCAGCCTCGAATGACGTAGTCAGGAGACCCGACCGGACGTTGAGCGGCTGTGTGAGGACTGATCGAAATGGTCGGCTAGGTCGACTGCGGAAGTTGTACATCTGCAAGAGAAGCGAGTTAGAACAATCGTGTTCCTAGACGTATTGAGAGAGGGAGCCGACATACTCTGCATTCTGCACATTTGCCGCCAGCAGTGTCGCATCGGCCACGGCATCCCCGAGGTTGGTTTGAGCACGAGAACATGGTGTGTTTTCCTTTTGCTTGGTCTTTTTTTGTGGGGTCTGCACTGTTTCAATGCTCTGGCGATAGCACACGAGGCGAAGAGGAATCTCGAACTCGACAGGCGATCGATGGATGATATGTAGGTAGGGAAACGCGGGTTGAGGGTTGAGTCACCAATAAAGTGATGACGTTTGGATTGGTTTCAGATCGGTGATCGTTGTGCGCAGTCTACGCGCAAATTTGTTGAGTTGTTGAGAGGGGTGGTTGTTGTACAGCACAGTTGAGTCGCAGTCTATAGAGAAAAGTCGTGGTCGCAGAGAGGACTGTGGTTTGATGGATTGGTGTTTGTTGTTCAGAGAAAAAGGAGATCGAAGGCCTCGAAGAAGGCGGATGGAACGAGGGTGATATAGTGTCCAGTCTGGCTCAGTTGTGTGGTCAGTGGTCACAGTGGATTATAGTTTAGCGGATCGGTGATCAGCAAGTCGCTGCATGTCCATCGATGCAAAAAGATGTCACGCCCCGAGCTCCGAAACCCTCGGGCAAAGTTTAATGGGGCAGCTCAGCTCAGGCATGCCTGACACATCCATTTGCTGGCTGAGGGGCAGGGCATCAGTGCACCAAGGCTCGCAAGGCCCCAAGGCACCAGGCAAAACTAGGGCACCCAGGGCACCCACACAGCATTACGAGTACCCGTACCTTAGCTACTACTCATCCACTCATCCTACAGGGGGCACCGCCTGACTGTTCTCCCACGCCCTGTCGGCCTCATCACGTTATTGCTACCCACCCACCCTGCAGTCCTGCACCTCTTATTACGGGAGCAGAACGTACTCGTACGACTTCCATTGTTGGTCTGGCTTGTCTGGTCACCATGACCACAATATGTTTCCCCAATAGTGGCAGTCTGCGCCTGCGCCTGCGCTTGTGTCTGTCTGCTTCCCGTACCTTGTGCCTGCGCCCGCGCGCTCCGGCTCCTCGGCACCACACAATCTCACTTTCCTGCCCACAAGGAACCCTTTTCCACCTCGTACCTTGCTCCGAACAACCCTCCATACGCGCACACAACACGCAAACACGCCTCCACGGCCGACGTATACAGAAACCACTACGAGGTACTCTTACGATTCTCTCCGTCTGCCCCTACGGACCTACATACCGTTTACGTGCCCTTACTCCGTTCCTCTGGCTCCTCCCGCCATTCCTTCCTTTGATCGGACCATTCAGGTCTCGTCCACCTCAGCAATTCAATAATCCAGACGACAAGTACAGGGGAAAATTAGGCAGAGTTCCGGAAAATATTGTCCAGTAGTCTCGGAGCCTGCCCAAATTGCAGACACGAGGTTTCGTCAACTGGTTACCTTGCATTGTGTTGTTGTTACGTTGCGTCCCGTGGTCCAGTTCAGCACTCGGATGTACGCTTACCCATTTCTCGCATCTGCACCATCTGCAGGCTCTGTGCCAACCCACAAACCCTGACAAGTGCACTTTCCTTAGGGGGTAGGCGACTCCCTTAGTCAGGCAGGCCCAAGACTTCTTGGCTCCAGGCTTGGTCTTCTCCTTGCAAGTGTCCAGTTTGGCTATCACAGCGCCTATTGCCGCCCATAACTCTCTGCCTAAGGAATACTCCAGTACCCCAGTACCTTGCGACGGATCTTTGCGGGCTGATTCCACATATGCCATTATGTGTTCGTACTCAGTCATTCTCTCGAAGCACTCTATACACCTCCTGCTTGGTCAACTGAGGTGACCACAACACATACTCGCTTCATACCACTCGGTGGAACGAGCATCCGCGTATTCCCAGGGCTCTCACGCCACAACACAGTGTTGCGCTTGAATGAAAGAGAACATCTTGTTTATTCGGAGCACAAAGAGTATTCTCGGGGTTGAGAAACAAACACCATGCTCCGCACTCAGTCTGATGCTCCGTACTTGGGCCGCTGGAGCACAAGTCAATTCCGGAGCCCGCACCTGAAACGCGATGCCAATGATTGTGAATCAGCTGATGACTTCAGGACCAGACCAGAAACTCGCCCATGTGGTCTAGACTCATCTCCGGGTCTGATGAACGCCTTGTAGATGGCATGATTGGTATAGCGGGGTTGCACAAACATCTTCCTCCCTTTTCCCCTTACGAGGATGAAAGCCGCGCGAGTGCAATCTTCCAAGCGGACCATATTGAAGAGTAGTCATCAGACCACTTGCACTAGCCAACCCACACCACACCTTTGCGCGTCGGTCCGTGGGCCAACCTAGGACCTTGTGGTTTGGAACCAAAGGCTGACAAGAAGCCCATTGGAGCCAGCCTTCTCGTCATCCGGCTGCGTTTCGTTATGTCAGCTGCATTGTCAGAACAAGTTGCTGTCCACAGGCTTGGACCCTGCTGCCAAGGAGGAAGTTATGCAAACCAATGTGAAGAAAAGTACCCGGAACTCAAACCATGACTTGTCTTTCTTTGTACAGGTATGTCATTCGATCTTGTCACCGAGCAGCTTTGCATGCGGCTACCCGTCTGGTATCCGCGGGCAAGTTGAGTCTGGCGGTCGATCGAAAAAATGATGGCCCTCAAGTCTGGGAAAGGTGTTGAACCTTTTGGGAAGTCGCACCATTTGGTATATAGGTTGGTGTGTCACTGTGTGTTCCTGGATTCGGTACTCGGTGAGGAGGTAACCTTTCAACCTGGGGCCAGATTACTGTCGTCAATAATGTGATGCAGCATAGCATCCCACAAGGCATGTCGTCGGTTAAACTCCACCCAGGGCTACCCAACCCCTGCAACTTCCTCTTGTGGTCCATGGCGAGCCTGTCGAAGTAGCAGTGGGAAAAGATCAGCAGGGGAAATGTCCCAAGCAAGAAGGCTTCGATAACAACGCTAGAATGCCTATCGAAGTCTGTCAACCTTCGAGAAGCACTCGCGTAACCCATGCTCCTTCTGGTGGTTCGTTTGACCAATGCCAGATATTCTCCACATCAGCACCGGCCAGGCGCACTTGGTGAATCAGCAAGCCAACACACCCACCCTGGATGTCTCTATACTCTTCTTAGTCACTTTGAATTCCCCCGTTTGGAAAAGGCGTCGAATCCTGCAACACTTGTCGGCGGCACCTGCGATTATCGATATTGCTCTCTTGTCGGTGACTGCCGAGATCCCGGCTGTCGCGCTGTCCCAGCCATTCACACTCCCACACCCCCCGAGACACAATTCAACGACTCACCCCAGGAGGAGAGATCTGATAATCAACCACCCACCCACAAGGCCAATCGTCGTTGCAACCAGCAGGCCGTTACCTTCCCGTGTGAGTGCCAGATACGCCATAATCCCCACGGCCAACTCCTTCCTGCGTGCTTGGATCCTCTTGGTCCTCCACCCCGGGTCGATGCCGAACGGTGCTGTCGGGCCCCTCTCAACCTCCACACGCCCTGCATTCGATACCGCCTTCAGGGACACAGAGGCTGCCAGTGCTACTGGACGGTGATCCGAGGTTGCAAAGAGCGGCAGGCAGGTGTATCTCTGCGGAGTCACTTTGACGTCACCTTGCTTGGGTGTCGAGAAGAAGATTCGGTCGCACCAGCTCGGCCAGCGATGACGTGCCCAGCTCCAGTGCTCGCGGTCTTCTCCATTCACAAGCAGGACAGCCTTGCTTCCGTCGGTGTGGTACTTGTAGGTGGGAGGGAACGTGATTGGCGCCTCTGTCAGACCGTGTAGAGTCTTCCCAGCCTCGACCTGCTGAGTAAGTTGGTCTTCGGCCAGCAGCTCGCGAAACTCTATGGGGCCGTCTGTGTTGGCGCTGGGCTGCGGGAATTTGTCCCTGACGTCCTGCGGGGACGGTTGAAGCAGCGATGTGCGATAGTTGAGATCACCTGCGAAGAAGAAATATGATGATGATGGCGAGTACATCCCTCTTTCTTCCGTCAGGGTCTCATTCTCCTGCCAAGCGACGTCTCCTTGCAGAAGAGGGGCATCTTCCCCTTCTTCCCCTCGAGCCAACGGAGTCTGGAGCCTCTGGTCTGGGACGAATACTAATCTCTGCATAATGTTCTTGTAATCCTCATTTCGCCTCTCGAGACCGTCCTCCATGGGGGCCAGATGGGCCGAGACAAAGGTGAACTCGACCGTCTCGCCTTCAGGGTTGTCGGCCTCGCCACCTGCTGGTAACTCACCCCGGGCTGCCCTATACCCCAGTTGGACGCCCACAGCACCCTTGTTACCCATGTCGCTCACACCCACCCCCACTCCGGCGGTTCTGACCCACGCGAGGCGCTCGACGACGTCATCCCTTAGGAACACCATAATGGCAGTCATGCCCAGGTTCCTACTCACCACGTTGACGTATCCGTGGTCCTTGGAGGCGAGCCGGACGACTTCCCGAAATGCCTTGAAATAGGGTGTTAGGAAGGAGCCCCCAAGGAACGCATAGCTGATCGGAGCGAGCTCCTGTAGGCAAAGGACGAGAAGTTCTGGCGCGTCGCTGTTTGGGGGCAGCGCATGGAAGAGGTACGGAGCGAAAAGCGCAGGATTGATGAGGGTGCGTGCGCAGTTGTAGGTCAAGATATAGATGTTGAGGGAGTCGTTGTTGTCGGATGAAATCTGCTCGGCCATTTCCGAAAGCGACACCTGAGACTCTTGAGGTTTTCAGTTTTCAATTCCTATTATGGTCGAGCTGAGGCTGTGCCGATGTGAGCAGCACAGCGACAACAGCGAGTAGTGGAAACGGCCTGCAGAGTCCTTTGGACTAGCTTCATTCAAAGGGATTAGGCACTTGATCGGAGACTAGTCGGGGAAGAAGATGAGGGCCGTATGCAGGCCTTGAGATGAGGTTGCACTTGACTTGTGGCTGTTCAATTGTACTTTGTGCCTTCCAAGGACGATGCCGTCACTTGGCCAGGAGGACGGCCAGATTGGGTTTAGCTCCAGGCTAGCCTATTATAGGCAAGGCTCAGCCTTGTGCCTTGGACATCAACTTGTCCACAGCACTTCGTACGAGATACGAGATACAATACGAGGCTACGAGGCTCCCTCAACTTTCTCTATCAGCAATCATGCCTCGGCTTCAGATACACCTTGGAGAATCACTATATATGTCGACGCAATAGCAACACCCCCACGGCTGCAGCTCCTGGCCGATGAACCTGCCGCAAGCCTCACAAACGCCTGCCTCGAAACCACTGACCACCACTATTTATGCCTTGATACGACTGAGACTTCAACATGAGTCAGACTCCCGCCCAGTACGTATATGTTCGCTCTCGAGGCGCTGAGTTAGATGGGCACCATTGACCCCGGCTCGTCCGTCCCATGTGGCTCAACTTCCTACTTAGGCAGAGGCATTGCTCTACACCCAAGTGCCGTGAGACAAGGAATAGTAGGATGCGGTGGAACTCTGAAACTGAAACTGCGAGCGTCAGGACTGGTGTGGATATCAGTGCTTCGAGGCCGTCTCAAACGAACGGGACGCCGTGCCCATTTGACCCCGACTGACCACGGAAAGCCCTTTCATCGAACATCTCAGGGAAGGGGAAACAGAACGCCTCGTTTTCAATTGGTTGGCTCACAGATACAGACACAGTCGAGACGCTTGGTTCTCTGGAGAGTTTTCAGAATTTTCGGCATTCATTCTTGTGCCCTACGTGCCGACCTGCCCTGTCCCTGGTGAAGTATATATGTATATAGTTTTTTCATACATGGCTGAACTCTTTTCCTCCCCCTCTCTTCGGATTAAAAAGCATGATACTGTTGGAAACGCTTGGGGCAGGGCTGCATGCAACATGTGACGAACAAACAAATTTGTGCCGCTGAAAGTCAAAATCTAGCTTGATGGCTTTGTTTTCGACAACGCGAAATTTTCCGTGACAAAGTTGGAGGAACAAAATCGCTTTTCAAACCAGAGAAGAACAAGAAATCCTGATATGCTCCCCCTTTCTCCCTCAATGCCGCTGGTTGAATCCTAAGGGCCACTAGGGCTGGGCGGTCCATTAAGCTTAAAGTAGCCTGGTTGCAGCGTTTGGAACACGCCCGTAGCGTCGTACTTGCCGGCAATGCTCTGCAGCTTGGCTTTGTTGGCCGCGCCGTAGCTGGAAACGACGTCCTGGAACTGACTGGCGTAGTTCATGTAGATGTAGTCCTCAAACAATCCCATCGACTGAGCCAGGGCCACTGTCCGGTCGATGACGCGCTGGTTGGTCTGGAGGATCCTCGTGTCATCGGCGGCGTTGGTCCACATCATGTTCGTGTTGAGCAGCAAGAATGGCCCGTCAGAAGCAGAGAGACCCAGTGGGTTTCCGCCATTCTTGGTCATACCGGCCAGCTGTCCTTCGGTGATGACTTGCAATGTCGCGGCGGGCACCAGGCCGGCCGCGTCCTTGATCGACTCGAGCTCCTCAAAGAAAATGTCTCGGACCGAAGCGGTGTGGTTCTTGTTGAGCTTGTATGCCGCCGCCCAGTAGGTCTCGCGCAGTCCGTCGGGATTGCTGGCGTTGAATTCCTGAGTCAGGTTTGCCAATGTCCGTATTGAGGTCGTATCAGAGATGGCTGGGATGGACAAGTATTCGCTAAAGATGGACGCATTAGCAACGGGCTGTGCATATTGGAGGTCGGCAGCGGCGACTTTGAGATCGGAAGACGGCACATAAGCGAAAGAAAGGATCTGCGCGGCGTTGGGGTCTTGAGGAGAATTGACACCGACGTTGTAGAAGGCGTCGATGAGAGCGTCGAACTGGTCTTCAGTGGACACACGACCGCCACCCCACATCAAACCGCCAGGAAGTGGGACGGCGTTGAATGTGAACTTGGTCACGATGCCAAAGTTGTTACCGCCACCACGCAGGGCAAAGAACAGGTCCTTGTTCTGGGTAGCGCTGGCAGTAACAGTTACCCCAGACGCGGTGACAACCTCGTAGCTAACAACATTGTCGCAGGCCCACCCGTGGATGTTGGAGAAGAAGGAAATACCACCACCAGTAGTCAGGCCGCCTACTCCAATGGCTGAGACACGACCGCCAATCACCGTTACATCGGCAGGCTGAAGGGTGGTGTACACGGTGAACCATGTGTTACCTGGGCCAACGTCGGCGGTCTTTTTGTCTGATGAGAGTTTGATTGCGTTGATTTTCTCGAGTGACATGGTGATGCCACCCTGAATGCTGGAGGCTCCGGCGAAGGCTGCATGCCCGCCAGACTTGGCGGCGAATGGGCATTGAGTGAGTCGCGAGAGCAAGATTGCTATCGACACTTGGGTCGCACTGGTTGGTTTGAAGATACAGGATGGATCGACACTTTCTTGCTGGACGGACCAGTAGGCACTCGTGAAGGCATCAAAGGCTTGATTGCCTTGCTCGATGACGTTCGACGAACCGAAGAGGAGCCTCAAAGAGTCGCACTGGGGGGAAGTGATCAGTAAATATATCAAGGGCGAATTCGGCGATTCTTCGTTCGTCGATGATGCTTTGAGCTGGATAAGGACTCACGGCGATCGAGCATGGGGATATTGAGGATCTCTTAGTTAGGGAAGCCAGTTCTGGCAACGCCGACACATTGACGCCCTGATCGACGAGTGCTTGGGTGACATTGAAATCAGGTGGCTCAAAGGGACTGTCCTGGGCAGCGACTGAGGCCGTAATGCCCAGGCCGATGGCGGCCACGTGGAGGGAGAAGCGCATGATGGGGCCGAGAAGAGTAGACAGCAAAGGGCAGCGAGGGAACAAATGGCTTCTAGAAGACCTTTGCAACCCTGTGGATGCAACGAAAGACGCTCGCTTTACACCTGCCAAGGCGCAAGAGCAGACTCAGCCTGGGTCCAACCACGTGTGAGCTTGACAATCCACAGAAGCCTACCAGAGAATGAGATGCAGAAGATGAGGCGAGAGAACTGGGATCCAGGAGAACAGACCGGCTACTTACGTTGAGCCAGGGTCGACGTCTGATGGTGTCCACACCTCCTAACCGGCAGATTAATTTCGTCGACCACGCAGTGCTGCCTCCCTAGATGTCCCTCGCCTGCGACAAGGCTACCCACAGAAGATGTTGTAGAAGGACCGGGAACGAGTGGTGTGGGCCTGTCGCGTGGCTCAATGGCGCTTCGACCCTTGCTACACGTTCTCTTTTCTTTGTATCGACATCTGACAAAGTGGACTTGACAGAAATAATAAGTGGGTGTCCCATTTCAGTGGTTTGATATCAGATCCAAAACCTCCCGAGTTTGGAGTCTGGCATCTGCCATGTTGGGAGCCATGGGCGGGGGCTAGCTTTTCTGGCGGAGAACCGGGAATCAGCAGGGTCCCTCGTATCCCGTGTTTGACAAGGAAGATGGGTAGTGTCACTGGAGCTGGCCTTGAAGTCGCAGCAAGATCCTGCTCGTGGGTTACATGACCGCGCCGGTGAATAGCCTAACGCAGTTTAGCAAACGTAGATAGCGCGGACTATCTTCGATGGAGAATTTCATCGATTCATGAGCTCGGAAAGCGGACTGATATCTTGCATTTTCCCTTTCATCGCCACGAGGCACTTCTGGCGAGGCGGGCGGGGCGGGCGAGAGATGAAAGGGCATAACTCTTGAAAGCTACATGGAAGCAGAAGACTAGGCATTTCGCCTCTGTTTTGTTGTACCGCTAAACCCGGTCGTAGATTGTGGCATGGATCAACGAGGGATCAGGCATGGATATGTGAGCCGATGGAGAGTCTGAACAAGGCCATCGTTACCCCTGAATCCTGCCTCGGGGCGGGACGCTGAAGGAAGCTAGACAACAACTAACCGAGCTGGGATTAGGTCAATCACCTGATCAAACTGCCACCTGCGGCACTGCGGCACATGTTTCCAACCTTCTTTTCCTCTCCATCGCCCAATCCTGCAATCACCAGTTGAATCCCTATTCTTCATAAACCCTGTCTGTGGTCCAACGGTCGGCTTACATATGGATATGGCTCCCTCGATCCGATCCTCGCTCACCGATACCACATACACGGAATGGAGAAAGAGGCACGAAGTTTGGAGCACCGCCTCGTACAGAGCAGACTCGAGTGCGTTCATCGTTCGCGGTACCACAGCTTTGGCACCTGTGCGATAAGGTCTTCTTTACCGAGTACGAGCCACTCGAATTGCCACGTACCTTGCGGCGAACATACTCGTAACGAGACTAGCTTCCTCATCCGAATCCATGGTTCCCCGGACTTTGGCTCGGTGCACTAAATGTTCAAGCTTTACGTTGATACGTCTAATTCAATGTTCTGTCCGAGACCAAGTGGGTTTTGTTTTCATTTGTCGCCATTGCACACATCGATATGTGTTAGCGTCCATAACGGCCATGCTGGGGAGCGGGCCACCGTCGATCTTGCAAGATTAGAGGCTAGTGCTACACTTTGAGCGGTCTCGATGGTCCTGAGAAGTCTTGGACGGTGTGTCTTCCCGGTCACATGCATCGCGCACGGGAAATTCATCCCTTGGATCCTTCGAGCCCCTCTCCTGGTCCAGATCCCACGCTCCAGATTGATAGCGCGCAGTGTGTCCTCACATCCTTTTTTCGTGTCATGAGTGGCGGGAGAAGCCGGAGATCAGAAAGAAGAGGCACAAAGAAGGAGAGATATGGGAGCCGGATGATGATTATTCGCACTTCGTCGACGCTGCACCCAGCAACAGATTCAGGGCGATCATGGCCACCCAGACTCGTCCCTCTTTTAGCAGAGCCTAAGAGCCGCCTCGGTCCTCTTTCGCCTTCCACCTACGAGTGGGATTCCCTTAGCACCACACCGCTGTTGGACCCCTGACACTTATCCTCAAACCAATACTAGTGGTGTTGACCCGGGATACCCAGGTGCATTTTTTCTTTCGGTGGGATGGGAGTTTTCACCCGGTTATGGTATATGCCAGGTTTCTAAGCAGTCTGCGGCTCGAGTCGACCTCGCTTGTTCCATTGTGTGTCGCACCAAAACCGTTTTGTGGCAGAGAGAAGTTTAGAGACGGTTGCAAGGAGAGAAAATGTCGTACCGAGTACATTGTTTCCATATTTGAGAGAAGGCCGCATTTTCTTTCCACCCTGCTCTTTGGCTGCCCACTAGGTATCGCTGTCTTCTGATGCTTGGGGTGTGCCCAACTCCAGCATCTTTACCAACCTCCAGCATCAATTTGCGTCTCCCATCATGTCGTCCGCCCAAAACTATGTCTCTGAGAGGGCGCTGCTGGGAGTGGCATATGCCATGATTGGGGTCACCAGCATTGTCTTTTTAGCGAGGGCGCTCGTGAGAGTGCGACAACCGAAAAGATTCCAGGCAGAGGATGTCTTCCTTGTGCTTGCCTACCTCTTCTTCCTCTCCCTCACCATTATGTACATCGTCGTAACGCCCGTCATGTTTCGCGTCACCGATGCATCATCCGGCAAGATACCAGTATATCCGGAGATCCTGTCCGACTCTCTCTTTATGATCAAGATCTTCTTCGCCAACACCATGATCTTCTGGTTTACGCTATACTCGGTCAAATTCGCCTTTCTGTGCCTCTATCGCCGACTGATGATTGGCATTCCAATGTATATGCGACTCTGGTGGGCGGCTGCAGGGTTTTGTATCGTGGTAAGTTTCCACTCAGTTGAATACTCTCTCTCTCTCTCTCTCTCTCTCTCTCTCTCTCTCTCTCTCTCTCTCTTCAGCGCTGTCCTCTACACAAAGATCCGGGATTGCTTCAACCATTGACTGTGCCGTTCAGACCTTGATTGGCTGTGTCATTACAGATTTCACCAGCTGTCACAGCATGCACGCATGGTTCACGCCAGGGCTGTGCTCTGAGGACAGAGATGTACAGGCTCAGATCGCCTCACTATATTTCGCCTATGCGGTAGACGTCTTGTCGGACCTCTTCAGTAAGCCCCGAGTCATCTCTACCAGGTCAGAGAGTGTCCATCTTGCTAACTTGATGTGATCTTTCAGTCATGTTCCTCCCCCTACGTCTGATCTGGAAATTGCAACGGCCGAAATCGCAAAAGGTCGGAATCGGCGCTCTGTTTTGCGTGGGCTTGATTTGCATCATCTTCGCCACCATCCGAGTTGTTCAAATTGGAGTCAAGACAGAGGGTCATAGCACCCCGTCCTCGTCGTGGCTTGCCTTGTGGGCCATCGTTGAGTCGGCGGTTACCATCATTGTGGGCTGCTGTCCGGGCCTGTACTCCAAGGCCAAAGAAGCACAAACATCGCGCAAGAATGGGTCCAAGAAGAGTGGCATGCCCCCGGGGTACAACTACGGAAGCCACATCTACGGCAAGCCGGGCACTGGCCCTGGCGGCACTGGCATGGGAACCCACCACCGCGCCAGCCGCGCGACCAACGGGGACATCGAGATGGGACACCTCCCCACCAAGGTCTCTGGAGGTGGTGGCGGCCAGACGCGGCGGTGGAAGGACAAAATGAGCAGCGTCACTGACACGTTCTGGGCCAACGACAGCTCCAGCCAGGAGGAGCTCAACACCAACAAACAAATCTACGTCAGCACGAGCGTCGAGATCAAGGACGAGGAGGAAGGTGACCACACGGGAAGTCGTCGTGAAGCCGAGTACCACTATCCCAAGAGCCCAGTGTGAGCCTGTTTGGGTCTGCACAAGACGCATACGCCACTTGTCACGAGCGTGGGAAGAAGCCGTCCGTCAGGGACGGGTCTGCATCGCTCGACCTAGATCTAGACCTAGATCTAGACGTACACTGCAGAGCGCGTTGTATCCGGAGTTGTACCTCGAAAACCCCCGCAAGGCAAACAAGGAGTTTATGATTCGCAGACTCAAGAAACACCAAAAGGAGTTTCGGTCTCCTGTTCCTGTTATCCGGCCCCAGCACACACTGTATATCTCAATCATCGGCGATCGCTTTCAACGACTCATGTTCTATAAGTCAAGAGCGCACGCTCTGACTTAAGCGAGTGAGTGGATGGAGTGCTTCACGAAGCGGGTTTCCAAGTCCTTCATATGACTCCCTGAGCAGACAGGTGCCAAAGAGGAAGGGATTGCCTCTAGGAGGAAGAAAAGAAGGGGAGAGAGAGACTCCCTATGTACGAGGTACGTGGGTAGCTAATGAGCCATACGATGGAGCCGTTGTATCAATCGGGGGGTTCTCTCGGCTACTTAGCTACTTACACGTGTGTATGTATGTATGTACTTGTACCTGTTCCTGTACCTCGTATACCTGAAGCATTTCATTCCAGATTCTTTTCCTTTTTCTGTCTCTTCGCCTCTTCTTCGCCGCACTGAAAATGTTGACCAATTAACCAGTTGATCATGTTAATCATATTGTGATGATATATAATATGGGTTATGACAGTATGCCTAGGCTCTCCCCGGAACAGGACGTGACAAGACAAGACATGACATGACACATTTCTCAAGTCACCTCAAGTCACCTCACCTTCAATCCAACTCAGTCCAGCCCAGCTCAGCTCAGCTCAGAGGCGCCAGCTCAGGGTCAGCCCAGCTTCCTAGCCCTCAGCAGCAGCGTGCAGCCGCAGCCGAACCCCATCTTTAGGCTTGCCAGTCAAGGTCAAAGCCCATTGAACCGGGCCCTTGGGCACGCTCGACCCATCGAGCCTGTCAAACCGCTGGAGGAGGCGAACGGTCACGTAGGCGGCCTTTGTCAGGGCAAACTGCTGTCCGAGACAGATTCTGGTTTTTCCCCCCAAAAATGTTAGCGCTGGGAGGGATTTTTTGCAAAGTCGTTAAAACTTGGTTTCTGGGAATCAATCACCTACCTCGGTCCACCGTTGAAGGGGAGGTACTCGAATCCGTACTTGTGATTCCGCCACCGCTCCGGTCGGAACGCGTCAGCATCTGGGCCCCAGAAGTCGGGGTGTCGTTGCATCACATACACCAAATAGGCAATTTCCGTACCGGCAGGTAGGAAAACGGGTGAAAGGCCGTCTTCGCCACCCCCGAAAGGCAGGCTGGTGTCTCGAGTGCATCGCCGTCCATTGAGAGGGACGCTGGGGAAAAGCCGCAAGGTCTCATTGATGCACCATTGCAGATAGGAGCAAGCCTTCAGGTTGGCAAAGGTGAGGTCTTTGGGCGAGTCAAAGGTTCCAAAGTCTTCGACAATGATTGATCGCAGCCTGTTGAATATCTCGGGGTGCTGGACCAGCATGAGAAACAAGAAGCTCAGCAACGAGGCGGTGGTGTCGCGACCGGCCAACAGAATCGACAGGAGTTGGTTACGAATCTCGATCGGATCTCTGGTCTCGCTGACCAGGCTCTCGAGAAAGACATATTTTTCCTTTTTGCCGCTCTCGACAAGTTCTTTCGTACCGCCGCGGCCGAGAGCTTTGTGCACGAATCGGTCAATGTATCGATGGCACAATCGGCAGTCCTCATTGTGCTTCCTGGTCAGGACCAAATAGTAGAATTCGTTCAGCAAGAGGGCCTTGGCCATGCGGTCTTGACAGGCCTCGAACGCTTCCACAAAGGCACGGTCTTCGGCGTTTTTCGCCGCGGCCTCCTCGGAAAGTGCAGAGAGTTGGATGTTGGTGCTCTCTCCAAAGAGGAATTCGCTCGCCGAGTCCATGGTGAACCGGGCTATCAGAGGTTGAATGTCGGTCGTGCTCGTCCAACCGTCGGCTTGCACAGGGAGCGCTCTGAGCAAGTTTTGTACGTGCTTCTCTTCCAGACCCAGGTCCTTGACCTGATCACGCGAGAATTGCGGTCGAAGAAGAGCGCGGGAGTGATCCCATTGCTTCCCGTCGGCCGAAAAGATGCCGTGGCCAAGTCTGTTTCCAGCGTCACCAGAGGTTCAGCCTCGTTTCCGTGTCACGGTCTCAAGTCAACTCACAATGGAGCAAATGCCGAGTTGCGGATCTTGCCCAGCTCGAAATCCTTGAACTGAGTAGCCAGCACGGCCTGGATATTCCGTGGGTCACACGTGAAAAAGACCCGGTCCCCCAGGATGTTCGTGTCATAAGAATAGACTGTCTTGTTTCTGCGTCGCGACACATCGTCGAACACGCCTCGGATATACTCAAGGACTTCGTTCTTGCTGTTTGCCCGTAGGGTTTTGACCAAGTTCACCAGCCCCAGTGGATCAGGGGTGTATTCTGTGGGTGCCGGCCGACAGCCCAGCTGCTTTGCGGCGATGGCATGGCGACGCCTCTTTGTGAATGTGGAAATGAGAAGATAAAGCACGAACGCAGTAGCAACGCTACATATCAGAGCAATCGTCAACATGATGTTCCGTCGTGCGCCTTGGACTGGTGCATGGCATGTGAACGGCTGAGTCAAGAGTAAGCACGCATGAAGTTCCACTGTGACGTGCTTGGCGGCCAGACCATCAGGCCATCTACTCGTTGCATAGAGAAGGTTGATCGAGGGGCGGACAAGGCTGTATAATCACGTGATAAGGCTGCCTTATACTTGTATAGACTCGTTCATCGGCAGGCGCCACGATCCTTTCCTTCCTCCCGATGATCCTCCACGGTGGATCTCACATCATTACATACTCGGTCGGGCTTATAGACGACAGGTCATAGTAGGCTACCACACAGGGTAGATGGCTATCCGTCGAGTACGAGCTGCGACATGTTTCCGAGAACAAAGACCACGTTACCCCGGACATGGCAAATGGTAATATACTATTGTGACGGGCATCCTTACGCGACAAAAGATAAGAGTTCATCATCAGACCGTCATCATGATTTCTTCGTGGCCGTATCTTCTCATCCATATCATTCACGCGTGAAACCCAGAGGACTAGACACCGAGTCCGACAAAGTCCACTTTACCACCAAACGTATCCATCCTCTTCTCAGCCTGGAGAGATTCGTATATCGGTATAGAGCATTTCTCTTGTTTTCTTTCTGTGCTGGCAAGGAAACCCACGCTTGCTAAAATGCTAACCACCAAACAAAAGAAATTCGTATCCACTTGATTCGTCGTGTGGCATCTTGGACATCGTTTCTCCATAAATTCGAATCTAGATCGCTTGCTCCAATTCAACGTCGCCATCCGGGTGGTGGAGGTGGCCGGCCTCCTCTGTAGACGACTTCCCGCTCAATAAAGCGCTCTTCTTCTCGATCCCACTCCGGGCGGTGACGTGGTGGTGGGGGTTCGATGGCCAGAGGGCGTGGCAACGGTTCTTCGACAGCCGGAGGGAGGACTCGATTTTCCCACTCAATCTCCTTGATCCGCTTTCGTCGCTCTTTGCGAATATCATCCGACAGACCAACCAGACGAGCAATATCTTCCTAGTACACCATTAGCAGCTTACCAACCAACAAGATCTTTGACGATGCGAAACTCACATAACGCAGATATGCGATGATGTAGTAGAAGTCATCCGTCTCCTCATACTCATATCCCATTTCTTGAATCGCCTCCTTGACAACAAGATCCTTGGTCACCTCGGTCCACAATCCATCCTTGGGATTCCGCTCCTTCCCATACCGACGGCCAATCTCTCCATTCGCTGAAGGCAGCGGAGCTGGGGGATGAACCGGGATCGGCGCGGGTAGCGGTGCAGGGAGCACGGGTGCTGGAGCAGGAAGCGGTCTCGCAACCGCGCTTTCGTAACGTTCATCAATTCCATCCGGCATGAACTTGCTTCTTCGGACGCCATTGTACCTTTGCCAGGTAATTTCCTGACTCGCCCCACCAGCTCCATCCATTCGCACACGACGTGTCCCCGGAGGTACATCGACGATCTCCCAGTCACGGGTCGCTCCTTGGTAGGCTTCGCCGACGTACGCCCGATCCATGGCACGGGCATTATAGTACTCTGCTTCTTCCTGCACATCCCTTTCATAGCCTCGATAAACCTCACGCCGAGCGGGTGGAGCGTCGTAATATGGATCACGTATTGGCGGGGGCGTGTACGGTGCAACGCTTTTCGGGCTCGCCGGACCGTCCCTACGATCTATCACGATATCCTCGTTCTCAGTGCGACCATTCCGGGTTTGGGTTCTGCTGATCTCGATACGTTCTTCTGATCGAGCTCGTACAGATGGTGGTGGAGGAGGGAGAGGCGGGCTTGGTGGCGATGGCGGTCGTGAAATTACGCGTGGTCGAGTTGGAATAGCAACTTCAAAGCCGTGGTCAATATGGCGATGATGTGTTATAACCTCTTGATGAATGGTGGGAGCGTTGATGATTGGAGGTTCTGGAGGAGGCAGAGGCGCAGGGGCAGTGCGAGCTGAGGTCACCGATGTAGCAGGAGACCGAGACCGAGAGCTCTTGCGAATGATAATTTCCTGCTGGTTGCGAGTGCCACTGCGTCCATCTCGCTCTTGTTGGCGGATGATGATCTCATCATTCGAAGCACTGCTGGAGCGCCGTGCCCTAGACCTAGCTCGTTCGTGTGACTTGGGGCGGGTCAAAGCATAGTCTTCGTAACGGCGGGCGTCAAGATTCTGTTCATCACGACGGATGATGATTTCTTGCCTATCGACGTCCCCTCGGACAGACTTTCGGTCGAAATCACCTCGACGAGACATTGTATCGTCAAAATCGTCATAGCGAGAACGTCGATCAGACTCATCACGGCGAATGACAATTTCCTCTCTAGACGAGTTGACCTCTCTCGGCGGTGGTGGTCGCACCTCGCGCTCTCTCTCATCGCGGCGGATGACAATCTCCTCGCGGGAAGAATTCACTTCCCTCGGCGGTGGTGGCCGCGTCTCTCGTTCTCGTTCATCTCGACGAATGATGATCTCTTCGCGGTCTCGATCACGCTGGGGAGGTGGAAGTCTTCGCTCAGGCTCCCGCTCGTCTCGGCGGATGATGATCTCTTCACGGTCGACGTCCCGCTCTCTTACTCGAGGTGGAGGCGGCCTTGACTCGGATTCGTCTCTCCTGATGATGATCTCCTCCTTTTCGACTCTTCTCTCCGGCTGAGGGGAAGGGGACCGGCGACGGGGTCGAGCAGCGAACTCGAAGTCTTCCTGTTCTCGTTTTCGAAGCACCACCGGACCAGCGGTGGTTCGACCATAACCCTCTTGTAAGAAAGCAGGGGTGGACCCTGGCCGCTCACGGACTTCCTCTCGTACGATTGTTTCTCTTTCCCGTTCACGGACAGGTGTGGAGCGGCGAAAGTCTACCTCTTCGTCCAAGTAACGGTCATCGTAGTATCGGCGACCGTTCCGTGTACCATAGCTTTCTCGACGGTCTTCATAAATGGATACATCGTCGGCGTAACGACGTCCTGCCATGACAGGGCTGGCTAGGGGTTTGAAGTCGACGGTCAGGACACAAAAGGGTCAGGTCAGGCGGGTGCGGTCCGCTGAGTTGGCAAGCTGGTGAGGGGGTGCGGGCAGAGTCTGCTGAATGGATGACTGGTCAAAGGATGCAGGCCGTTAAGTGTATCGTTGCAGAGGAGGGGCTGATGTAGCCAATCGAGACAACACGAAGAACGCAAAAGAACAATTGCAAGCTACCAACGTTGAAAGAGAAGTGAGAGAAGAACGCAGAGGACGATGGGGGTTGTTGAGTTATTACGAAGGTGGTGAGGTGAGAATGCGCCAGCTGGGGGGAGTTGAGCCTAGTTTTTAGGTGGGACTTGGACTGCAACTCGACTGTGACTACCAACTGGGACATGTGCATGTGTGAGAAGCAGAGGCGCATGCCCACCCATACACAGCACAGGGCTTTTTTTCTTTGCGGCAAAAGCTCACAGTCTCTTTCGAGCCGGCTACTGGTGGTCGCCCCGCTGTCAGTCTCGAGTTTTTCTCTGCAAGCGACAGGACACAGCCAGAGAAAGAGGAGCAACTACCACCACCGCCGTCACTGGTCGCTCCGAGGGCGATGACGGGCAGCAACTGGCAGCGGACTGGCACAGGACAGGTGACGTAGTGTTATGCACACGAGCCCAATGACCCGCCAGAGATCAAAGGGCATTTTGGTGTCGAAAGGGTGTCATTTGGTGGATGGGGAGGGGGGAGCAGGCAAAAAAACCAAGGAAGAAGCACCAGGCCTGATCGAGGGGGCCGTGGGTGGGCGCGGGGGGCCATCGAACTGTGGCCACTGGCTCGACATATTAGTTACCTAGTAGTTCCCTAGGTGCCGGGAAGTACGTCAAAAGCAGGTACCAATGTACTTTTTTAGGGTACCAAGGTACCTAGCCTTGGGCACCGATGTGAACCGCCGCCCGGGCTGTTTGTCTGTCTGCCCACAAGGCGCCGGTTAACTACCAAGTACCCATCTTCTGGAATTTTCGGAGCAAGATGGTATGCCGTGGTATTTGCCCCTGTCAACAGTTGCATGACAGAACTCAGTGTTGTGTACGAGGCACAACGGCTTCACCGCCCCTGCATCGTTGCAAGTGTCACGGAACGCAAACTCTGGGTTACGGGCTGGGCCGAAGCCCGAGGAGCCAAAACTTCAGCCGAAACAATGCTCGTGCGCAGACACGGGGGCCCAGCCTTGTCCATTCTTACGTGGACCTTGGGCATCAACCATCAACCCCTCTGATTATGTTTTCCCCATCTTGACCGGCTTTCATCAATTCCTTCCTCACTGCCTCTACACCACACCGCCTCAGAATTGGAGAAAAAAGGGGGAACCAACTTTTGTCTTCATCTATATCGACCCATTTGCCTTCCTCGGCCCAAACCTACAAGTAGACCTGGCGAAAAGGAACTTAGACCAGGTCCTGTACAGATCGACGTGGTGCCCAATGTCCCCGCCCTGGGCCTTGATGAGAACAAAAATGCTTCGACGCGCCTATGGGCGCCACGGGCATGAACCCGGTGTCCTGCTCAAGGTACCCTTTCCCATAGATCGAACGCCCTGATCCGAATGCCGTACATGTCCTCACTGCGTATCCCCAGGCTATGCGCCATCTTTTGCGATGCTAAAATGTACACTGCGCCCGCAAAACGCCTCCAATCCCGATTCAAGCTTGTGTGTACCAACTGTTGCAGGTCGCTATGGCGACATCTCGTCTCATCGTAGACTTCGTTTCCTCGAGGCGCACATTCTTCTCCTTTTGTCCGCTGTGCGATGTTTTCATTAAAGATTAGTGATACCTGCCCAGATCTAGACCATGATATTGGTGATTCAGGGGTCAGGGTTTGCAACCTATGTCCAAGTCAGCGGGGGAAAACAAGGTGGCACCGAAGAACTTGAGACTCACCCGTAACTGCCTGGAATAATCCTGGTTGTCTTGCAGAGACACATTGCTAAGGCGACTCTCATCATGGATGTACAACGCATATGGGTTCAGTCTCTGATCGGTGCCCAGGCTACGACGATCGAAAGCCGTCGAGCTAGTGTCGACACTGCGCAAATCGTTTGCCAGAGTCAAACCTGACGTGTTGACGCGGGGAATCTTGGTCCCTAATAACCCCGAAGACGACAACTGACTAACTTGCCGTGATGGAACATTATTGGAGGGCGAGCTGTCGCCCGTTCGAGGAACGTACGCCGTCTCCGGCCCCTGCTCCTGCTGCAACTTCTTGTGGCGTCTGCGAAACCAGAGGTACACTGCGCCGCCGATTAAGCCGCCGATGCCCAAAGCCACGCCAAGTACTATGCCAACGACTTTGCCGGTACTAACGCCGCTGCCTTGGGTAGAACTCTGGCCGAGTGTGGCATCTGAGGTCGCAGCTGCGGATGGCGTCACAACGACAGTGCGAACTTCGCCTGTCACAGTCGTGACACTTGTGTATATGTCGGTGGGCGTTGGATTGCTCGAGCTTGGACTCGTCATCGACGGAGGAGAGGTCGTGGGAAACTGCCAGATCTGTCAGCTTGGCACCAAAGGGCTGCACGCGAGTTTAAATGTTGGGGTTCGGTCCTAGGTTTGATACAGAGCAGCGCCAAAGAAATCAGGTTATCATACAGCGGGGTCCACTGAGCTCATCGAGCTGTCGCTTGACCAAGTCACAACGCCAGCCACATCAGAACTCTGAGACGATCCATATGTTACCACAGAAGAGGAGGAGCGGGAGGTTTTCCAGTTACCAGGAGTAGGGGAAGATGTGGGGGACCCAGAATCCAAGGAGGACGTGGATGCGGATGCGGATGCGGATGCAGATGTAGGAGTGGAAGTGACGGCGGAGGTGGAGGTGGCAATACTAACCGACGAAGATGAACTTGAGGAAGGGGAAGAGGTTGTAGATGGTGTACTGGCAGTCGAACCAGAGGTTCCTAGGGGGACTCCGGCACTCAAAAGGTAATATCCATAGAGATCAGAGTCGGTGTTGCCACACCATTCCGAGGTAAAGCCAGGACATTGCTGATTGCAGTTATACGTGCTTTCTTGCTCCGAAGGGACGTAGTTGGAGCACCAGCAGTAGTATCCCTGCAGGACCGCAAAGGCAAAAGAACCTTGACATTGCTGTTGACAAGCTCCATTAGATTGAAATTCGTTGTAGTCTGAAGTTAGGACGTCAGTGATTGGTTCGCATCTTCGCAGGGATCTGAAGTATTAGCTACTCACGGCCTTGGTAGCTGCCGGCGTTGTTGTCCGGAGAGCAATAAGAAATGTCGAGACCTTGAGACGGCGTAACCCACAGCGAGAGAAAGGCAGTACACAAGACCAGGACGGTCCAGACGGAGCCCATTGCTATCGAGGTGGCCATTGTGACGGATTGGCGTAAGCCTGAGGCAATGGGGAGTATTCCACCTCTTACTGCATCGCAATGCTCTGTTATTCTTCAACCACACATCAAAGATGGGTGAACCAATCGTACACTCAGTCGTGACAATATTTCGAAGAGGCGATTATGGCATTAGAGGTTCGTGTGTAAAAAGTATCGGCCCAGGCGCCTAACACCTCAACTCGACTCCAGTGAAGATGGCTGACGGGGGCTTTTTATTTATTTTTGTCTGTCTGGAGCTGACTATTTTGGCTGAGTCGAGTCCAGTGTGAGAGAGATAGATTATCGAGAGGTGACGAAGCAGATGGACAGGATGACGAGCGCAGGTGCGCGTATGAACATGGGACGTGGACGTGGATCGAGGGGGTACAGATTTCTGGATCTCTCAATCAGGAGATATGCGACGGGGGAGCTCTAAGGTTTCGAGAGTCTATTCGTCCATATGAGAGGTTATGCGTACAGAGGGTAGATGGCGGAAGAGAGAAACAGGTGTTGTAACAGTGAACAAAAGGTAGAAACAAATCCCTGTGAAGGAATGGAGTGGCCGCGCAGAAGTTGGCAGCAACGGCTAACAGCAGTATGTAGCAGCAACAGTGGACTAGGGAGGGTTAAAGGAAGAGAGGGAGTTGTGGATGCTAGCGAGTGAATTCGACCATTAAGACAGGATGGGAAAGCGGCCAAGGACAAGGCAGGGTAAAGAGGCAAGGGTATTTGCAAAAGAAGTCGCAGTACGCAAGTTGCGGGAGAGACTGACCAAGAAGTTAGAACGAGTGATAGACGATGGTCTTATTTCCGGGGTGGATCCTGAGTTAGACGTATCTGGTGATGGTCTGGCGTGGTGGGATCCCGTCCAACAACAACGAGTGGATTCTGACGGAGGGATCAACGATCAACATGACAAGCAGAGTCGCAGTGTGTGTGTGCAAAGAGGATGGAGTGGAGGAAGAATGGTAATTGAGGCCGGGGAATTGTAGAGGGTTGTCCTTTTTTATGAACTTCACGCCGTCGCGGACAATGCGTCGACAAACCCTGGGAAACTCAGATGCTGATTGATCCGGAGAGGCAGCAAAGCAACAAGCAGTGGAACGACGAGGGTTCGAAGAAAGGGAAAGTCAGTGACGCCCATGACTTGGCCCTGGCACCTGGTCAACAAGCCATCATCATCCATCATTACCGCCACCGCAGCCACCACTTCAATGCGCCCACGTCCCCGGTTAAAAATGTCACTGTTTGAGCCAAACAAGGGAAAAGATACCAGGATGTACTGTAATGCCGTCCTGGTGGTCCCCTCTTTGTCGCTGTTTCCCGCAGCCAAATGTACCTTCCCGCCCCCTCGAATCCTGCCAGCCGCCCGCTCTGCGAGTATCTATGTATATTCTCCCGTACCTATCTATGTATTGAGGTGGCAGACGATATGCGTCCTAGAGTATTCCTACTGGAGTATTCCGGGGTACTGTTGATGCCTATACCTGGTCACTACAAGACTTCCTCCATTGATATTTTCCCTGTCCTTGTTCCTGCGCAGATTTTCCTCGTGTTTCTCCGCCCAAAACGGCTTTTAGCTCTCAAAATGTCAAATTGCTTCCAGCTTGTCGTTGGCTGAATCCCCATTTCCTTTCTGTGGTCCAGAGAAAGGGTGCAGGTTGTTCATGGGTGGCCAATGTCAGGCCTCTCTGCTCGGTCACCAACCCTCAATGGTCTGTATTTCTCACCTCTTCTTGTCTTGCATGAAGCAACTCACTCTCTTTGTACATACAGACAGACCCCTTCCTGCATGCACTTCTAGGCCGCGGCAAGGCATGTCGATCCTTCGAGTCAGATCTTTCCGCACCGGAAACGCTCACCCCAGACCCTTCGATTTGTCGCCCTGTCAAAGTCTCCCTCTGCGAGGTGAGTTGCCTGCCACTGCCTGTTCCGAGTACCTACAACTATATCCTCGTACCACCTTGAGATCCACATTTGGGGCCTGTTTGGCCCGAAGGTGTGTCGCTTGACATTTTATGGTTGCCGACATTTCCGGCCTTTTGGGATTGTGTGCAAGCATTGCGGATGAAACACAACGAGAGGATCCTCAGTACTTGTCTAAAAAATCTTGGAATACTCCATATCCCGCATGTGCGACACCATCACCAGAACCCGATGGTCGGCCACAGACCTGTCTGTTGATTGGCTTGATTCCGTCTGTGGTTGCCGCTGGTGCATGATGTAGTGTTCCTTCGGCGATGTGGCGCCTGCAGTGCTTGGAGCCCGGTGTGAAACCAACTGAAGAAATGCACAGCATGCCGAGCCCACGATTTTTGCCCGTTTCAGAGCATGTTGAAAATGTCGGGAATCTATCAAGACCTCAAGAGTAGGGTTCAGCTGAACAGAGTCCACCACCAGATTGTGACACGGCGCAGGACGAATCCTCACCGTCTACTCAGACCCCACATGGGTTGTGATTTCCCAGGTGGATGTTTGAGCACAATGCCCTCTAGAAGCTTGTGGCGAAAACATGTGTGAGAATTACAGCCCACCACTCGATAGCCGGCTCCCTTCAGCTCTCCAGATAGGTGGGACTGGTTCGCTTACGGGCAATCTTCACGGCCAAGGTGCGTAATCACTGGCTATGTCTCATCTCCCACTTCTCGTATCTGACCAGGTTGAGTGCGCGATTGCGACTAGTGGTCCCCCTCAACAGCATGAAACCTTGTGAATTTAATTCCTGCCTTCTTACCTGCACCACCTTCAAAGTGCGGGGGCGGGGACCAATTTGCTGTTCTCACCTTGTACCCAGTGTGTACGTCAAATCCTGGTGGTTCGCTCCTGTCTCTTACGGCACAGGACAATATAGACAAGTCCTGCCGAAGCAGCTACACAACTTGACAAAACATATTTTGCCAATCGGCATCATCTACACAAGAGACCCCTGACAAGAGGCGGGGACAGCAAGAGCGAGGTTTTAGTCCTTCACCCTTCTTGTTCGGGAGATCGTGCAAGTCATGCGTACCGACATAAGCTCATGCGGTGGTACATTTTGACGTGCATGCAGCACGGTCCTCATCTTCCGAAAGCCCAGATTCAAACTTAGACTAAGGTCAGCGGCAGCCAGGATGACAATTGATTGGGCCTCTGGATAGGTCTAGATCTGGCGAGTTGGTTTGAAAAGCATGCACATGCCCAGAATCGGGGGAAACCAACCTCTTGATTTTCTTTGTTGAAGGCCTCTTTTGCGAAGTGATACTGCCTTGTAGAGTATGGGAGGAGATGTCTCTTATCAGTCGCTCCCGGTGTCTCCCGGCACATGTGGACACTGCGCATGGGCGCCTGCAAGCTGCAAGCTGCACAGCGTGATTTAAACGCCCCAGCCACGATATTACAATTACAGACCAGGACAACTTGGCCATATTACTCCGAGCACACAGCATCAACATTTTGAGGTTGAGTCGTTGATAACAAATCACAAGGAAGGCGCCCCATGAGCATGATCTACAAGGGCTGGGCCTCTGGTGTCCCTTTGCTGCGATCGCACATGGCTGGCTGCCTTTGACAAACTCTACCTCGCATATTATCTGTAAAGCTTCCTCGAGAGTATTTGAAGGGCATCTGCACTAGCTCGGTACTACTTGATAAGGGACTAAGAGACCTATCTACATACGAGTGACAGGTGTGCACAGAGGTCCCTGCATTTTGACTCTCCCCCCGTGCTGCCTCGACACAAGATACGGTCATTTCAATCATTTTATTCCATAACAGTGGCAGGAAAGCCAAGTGTCCAGCTGCACGTGAGAAAAGCAAAAACTCTGTCCCGAATTCCCCATTCCGTTATTGTTTGTTTCAGCGCAAGACATTTTGGTTAATTTGCGGGAGAGGAGATTAAAGGCGGATATTTCTGTTTGTTTGATCAGCTCTGCCTCCTACGTCATCCCGCGCGTTCTTGGATATGTCTCTTACGGAGTACGAGTACGAGGTACAAGATCTTACTGTTGTGCCGTAGATACTGCTTCAGCCTTTTGGTGAGATGATCAACCCTCGTAAGAGATGCCTACACTTTCGATCCTCTTTTTCCGTTTTTTAATTCCTCGTCTCTGTTGGAAATCCCCATTCCAGCACACTACGAGGAAGATCAGATACACACGACTGACCCGTCTGAGCTGAAATGCGGTACTCGTATGGAATTGAAAACTCCATTGCGATCGTCGGCTTAATCTCTCGGCGGACATTGTCACTGGGATCCCCATGGAAGTTTGATTGGAAGACCCATGCATACCATGTTTGATAGACGCGAACGGTCGTTCCGATGACGAAATCCGGGGGTTTCTGAAACAAATCTACCCTCGTACACCTTTTGCAATCTCAGCCTTGTTGCGGGAGAAAGGAGTCACGGACCTGAGCTGGCGGGAGGAGATTGAATTGTTATTATTGTCTGGACCAAGATCCGTCGAGCCGTCTACCGGGCAACTACATGATACGAGGTACGTACGAGTAGAAGTAGAACAAGTACATCATCTTTGCCCCGTGAGCAGAGATATTGATTTCTTGCACGTGACAAGGCGCATACATTCGTGGTGTTGTTCCGCGTCTGGTCTGCTCTCCCTTGATATCTGACGTGTCATTCCACAGTGGAACTAAGGTATACCTGTGCAGTTCATGCAGGCGCAAAGAACCTCCAACGGCTTCGTTGATTGGCCCCTCACGAATGCTGGGCAGCTACTAGGCGTCGGACAGAGCTGCAGGGTGGCTTTCCCTGCTGTGTGGCAGGAGAACAGGCACGCGGATATGCCCTTCCCCGTCATTCAGATGCAGGTCGCCCCTTTTTTTGTGTTACGTGACGACCAATGCATGAACTGTTTATAAGAGACCAAGATCGCCCTCGTTGACGACAGCTTCTTTGTATTCGTATCTTACTTGTAGGTGGTTTCGAGTCGGCGTCATGAAGCAACCGCGCCGACCAAGAAAAGAAACAACCATCGACCTTCGTCTCCGCACTCGGACAACGGGCACCTCTTATTTCCCTTTTATTTCTTGGGACACTGACGAAATCAGTTGGTTTGGGGGGGAGAAAAGGTCGTTGTGGTTGGTGCTTGGGCCACCGGCCTCCCACCGGGCGTCCACCGGGATTTCTTGAGCTCCGCGGCCCACGGCCCACGGCCAATTTACCGTGCCTCCCAGCCAGACTTGGGCGACTTTTACCCGTTACCTCCAGGCATGCCAAGTGCCGGGCAAAGCTGCGGCAACCCCTAAACCAGGGACGGCCAAAGAGGTGCTTTAGGCGCCATGCTCTGGGGTAACAGGGCATTCTGGACCATTACTGGCTAGAAGGGGGGTTTCTTTGGGCCTCGGGTAATCGAAAGCTGACTCTACCCTTCCCCAGTTCTTGCTCGTACCAACCCCATGGAACTTTCTCGGCCAAAGATATTTCCATTGATTGACTTGTCCGGTGGTATATTCTTTTGGGGGAAGCCCGATAATGATATTCACCCCATCTCTGAAGGCCGCGCACCCCCAAGGATCAGGATAGAAGGACACACCTTTTTCCAAAAACTGTCATTCAAATCCTTCCCCGAGAGAGGTGCGGCGGGCAGCAGGCAGGCGATTACTTTTTTTTCTCTTCTTTTGTCATTGATATCCTTAGGTTGAGGGGACTTGCACTTTCCACGATCCCCCCGCTCCCGGCATCATGGTCTTCTATCCTATGAAATGGGTCCCTTCCCTCCCCGAGATCCCTGATACCGTGCCCATATGCGATTTTATGCTCGATGAGCAATACGGTCGCTCCCCTTACTCCCAGTCCAAGGATGCATACACCTGCGGTCTCACGGGGAAGAGCGTCTCGGCGCGACAACAGAAGGAAGATGTCGACTCGTTGTCTCGCGCACTGGCCAAAGAGTTTGGCTGGGGTGTCAATGAGGGCACCGAATATGACAAAGTCGTGGGCATTTTTGCGCTGAATACGGTACGCTGGGGCCCCTTCGTTGGATGTGATTATATAAAAGGGAATACCAATGCTAACGCACGGGGCGCGATCAGATCGACATCATGACCCTCACCTGGGCAATCCACAGAGTCAATGGCATCTCTGCGCCCGCCAACGCTGCCTTCAATTCCGACGAGCTGAGTTACCAACTCACCAACTCCGGGTCCAAGGTTCTCTTCACCGTGATGCCATTGCTGCAGACTGCCCTGGATGCCGCAGCCAAGTCGAACATTCCCAGGAAAAATGTCTACATTTGTGAAATGCCCAACGACCCTCCCATCCCCAAGGAATTCAAGACCCTGTCTCAATTGACAAGAGAAGGCCGGTCGCTGTCACCGCTGGAACCAATCAAATGGGAGAAGGGTCAAGGTGAACGGCAGACCGCGTTCCTGTGCTACTCCAGTGGTACCTCAGGACTGCCAGTAAGTTCTCTGCGGCGCTAGAGCATGAAAAGCGATGCTGACATGAAATCGCAGAAAGGAGTCATGATATCCCATCGGAACGTTATCGCCAACACCATCCAGATCTCCACGTATGACAAGCCCGCCCGCGACGCAATTGGCCCCAACTATCGTGATGTGGCGCTCGGTCTGCTCCCCCAGTCGCATATCTATGGCTTGATCGTCATCTGTCACTGTTCCACCTACCGTGGCGATCAAGTCGTTATTCTTCCAAAGTTCGACCTGACCAACTATCTCACGGCGATTGAGAAGTTCAAAATCAACACACTCTACATCGTACCGCCCATCATCATCGCCATGGTCAAGAACCAAGATCAGACGAGAAAATACGATCTATCAAGCGTCGTGTCCATCTTTACCGGTGCTGCCCCTCTGGGCAAAGAGACCGCCGAGGAGTTGGCCGCGCAGTTTCCCGCCTGGCAGGTTCGACAAGGCTATGGTCTCACTGAGACATGCACTGTCGTGTGCTCGACATCTCCCCGCGACATCTGGTTCGGTTCTTCAGGGTGTTTGCTCCCCGGATACAAGGCCAAGGTCATGAGCATCGAGGGCAACGAAATCACGGGATACAACCAACCCGGTGAACTCCTCGTCAAGTCCCCCAGCGTCGTGCTCGGGTATCTCAAGAATCAAAAGGCCACCATGGAAACCTTTGTCGACATGCCTGAGGGCAGATTCATGCGGACAGGAGACGAAGTCGAGTTCAGAGTGTCGCCCAACGGCAACGAGCACATCTGGGTGGTGGATCGCATCAAGGAGTTGATCAAGGTCAAGGTGAGTACTTTTCCAAGAAACTGCGAGTGCAGTAAGGACTAACAGGTTGCAGGGTCACCAAGTTGCCCCTGCAGAGCTCGAAGCATGCCTGCTCAACCACCACGCCGTGGCCGACTGCGCGGTAATCCCTGTCTCAGACGACCGCGCCGGTGAAGTGCCCAAGGCCTTTGTCGTCAAGGCCAAGTCGGTAGGACTGGAGGAAAGCGATGCCCTCGTCAAGCGTGACATTATCAAGTACGTCGAGAAGGAAAAGGCCCGGCACAAATGGCTGGCCGGCGGTGTCGAATTCATCGACGTGATCCCCAAGAGCGCCAGCGGGAAGATCCTCCGCAGGCTGCTGAGAGATCGAGAGAAGGAGGCCAGAAGAAAAGCCGGCGCCAAGCTATAACACGGAGCTTTCACCTCCGCAATGGAGGGGAGTTGGCAGGGGGGAGCTTCAAAACTGGGAAGATTGGGAGATCCAGGAGTCTTCTTTGTATCGGGTGCGTGGTTGTGGGAGGCTGTAGATTGTCCAAAGCGAAGATTGCACAAATTGAACAATTGCATACGCTTATCTCTTGAGCTTTTGACTCGATGGCAGTACATACCACAGATGGTTTGGTCCGAAGGACATGTACGCCAAGATACCTGCCTGTCTGCTTGTCTACCTGCTTCTTTTGAAATCACATTTGATCGCATTTGAGAGGCAAGACGAGAGTCATAAGAGGTGTTAAGGTGACGAGCAATATATAGGTACGTCTCTCGAAGCAAGAAAAAGAAAGAACTAGCCAAACCAGCCCATCAATTGTTCTGCAACGGCTCCTTGTACGGAACGAGGTACAGAAAGTAGTCCTAGACCGTGGCAAAATTCGCTCCAAAATATGTGCCTCGCAGAATAATATGCTCGTGGAAGGGCCGACACTACCCCCTCCCCACTTTATACTAACTATATAGTTTGTCAATACCAAATTCTTTCAACAATCAACAATAGCACTGGTGGTTTAGTGGTAAAATCCATCGTTGCCATCGATGGGGTGAGTTGATGAACCCCCCTGCCCTAAGGGCAGTACAGCAAGTTGCTAACATTCAATCGCAGCCCCGTGTTCGAGTAAGTCCGCAATGGTAGTGCAGCTTCAGTTCAAAACTAATAACCATCAAGTTCACGGCCAGTGCAAAGCACATTCTTTTTTGGTTCCCTTTTTTTTCTTTTTTTCCTGCGCAAAGGAGGAGTGGTCTGTGTGCATGAAGGCTTGGCGGCGGCCTAAAAGCCGTGGCATGCGTGGCCATCCACCTAACGATTTTTAGCACTTCAAATTTTAACAAAGGTGGCCGGGCGCTGCTTGACGTACAGCTGGACGTGTTGACAGAGGACAAAGCGCCTTTGCGAGGTAGGGCTCACCTGCTTACCATCGTGACCTCCACGGGCTCTCTGAGCAGGCCTATTGTATGCGTGTTGTAAGGTCTTTCCTCGAGATTTATGGCCAATTGACTAGGCTTTGTCATGCAGTGTATCCCAAGCGGCTTCCGAGCCATAGTTCATTTCTTGACCGAAGACCAAGCATGGTAGTCACTCTATGCCTTTGTAACCTTGCCAATTTTATTTTGGAGTCAAGTTCCGTAGTGCCATCACATCGAGAACCTCGAGGCTTGTCAACAAGACTACGACTACTTCACGCTTTGACGAGTTACACGATGCCCAACATGAAAGTCTCAATGGTGATTTTGGTCAAAAGAACTACCTATCAATGGAATAGCTTAGCTGCCCCGATCTTGAAGGCTCGGCTTCATCAAAGACTGTAAGCGCCGCAAAGCAAAGCGGGTGCAGCAGATTGACCAATAGTCATCCATAAAAGCACCAACTGCCGGAATCGAAGAAGTGCTTACCGCCCATGCCTTATCTGATATTCTGTTAAGTATTGTCTGACCCAATTTCACCACCGATTCAGTTGAGGAAACCTTGCACCTAGTCAAAAAGACAGTCAAGGAGGACATATAACGACGAGCCGCAACATTCACTTTCCGGGGAAAAGAGAACGAACAGGGTCGGAGGTGCGGAGACCGTTCGCTTTCGCTTTTGCTGGCCAGATTTCAACCTTTGAGAAGTTGCTACCATGTTCTTGCGTTGGGGCGGATTGTATATTATCGACGGCGTCCTGTATGGCAGCAGACGCGTCCAATCCCAAACCCGGAATGCCGGCATTGAGGAGTCCTGAATTAGCCGCGATGCCTATGATTTCATCTCTCCGATGGTGAGCATTGCGGATGTGATTGTTGAGCTTAGTAGCATTAGGAAAGACTCCGTTGCATATGGCGCACTCATATAGCTTCTTCGTGGCTTCATCGGCTGAACACAACCCCATGTGACGGGACAGAGACTTCTTCTTTTGGAGTTTCCCGCAGTTTGGGCATGGTAACATCTCGTCGTTCGAGTCTTTGTGGTAGGCTCCGTGTCTCTTGAGCTCGGCTGACGTATGATATGACCTGTGGCAACCTTCATGCAAGCAGAAGTATGTTGGGGGCAAATGGTGCAGCAGGTGTTCCTTGAGGCTGATGACGAATGCAGAGTTTGGACTGTCTTTAAAGTTCCCAGCGGAGAAGTCGCCGATTAGATGAATGGGGCAGAGCACGCATTTACTTTGGGTGCGGCAATGGCTGATCAAGTGGATGATGATATTGTCATTTGTGGTGCAGTTGGTGGCACATGGTTGATATGGACAAATGAATCGCCCCTGGTCATTTCGTTCAAGACCATAGCGAAGAACCACACCACTCTGTTCGGGCAGTGTGCCAACAATGGCCTCGACCTCGGCAGGCTCCTTCGGGCGTCTGATTTCATAGGGGACCCACTCGCTGTTTCGACGTTCGGTAAGCATTCGTTGAAGATCCCTGTTGCTGTCTGCATGTTTCTCTTTCCCGATAGCGACAGAAATCATGCGTAGGACAAACAAATGAGGTGGGCTCTCCGGAACGACTGTCTGAGCCTTGATGTCTTGAATGGCTGACAGCAGAGCTTTCGCCGAATAGAGCTGATGTTGATCCTGGCCGTGAAACACGATGAATGTAATGATGATATTGACATAAACTCTGAAGAATTCATGGAGCCCATCAATGTTGGTGCAGAACCCGTCGATCCCTGACATGGCAATGACGACACGGGTTTGTCGAGCGTCAGCTTTAGCCTCGAGTAAATCAAGGGTTTTGCGAAGCTTTGCGATTTCTTGGGTCTTTGTAGATTGTGCAATGTTGCAGTTCGATGAACAGTGATTGAGGACAATAGGCACATAGTCTGCACTCGAACAGCGAGTGGAACATGGATGGTTCGGAAGTTGACCGTGTATGTGCTCCATGATATGGTTGTGTAAGTCTTGACAGCGAGAAAGTAGTCCTTTAACAACTGTACTGCTCACTTTGTCACTCTTTCGGGCTATCACAATGACCGTTGTGAGAGTTTCGAGTTTCTCAAGGGGGTTCTCAGAACTCTGCAGATATTGGGAAGAACCAACTGCTCGCCCCAAACTGGTAGACGCACTCTACGCTGTCGGCCAAGAAGGAACGTCAATCTTTCTGTGTTCCGAAGGATCGATCTGATGGGATAGGCTTCTTTCGATAGGAAGCGTATGGAGGGGCCCGACGCCGTCGTTTTGGATGAATGTTGCAGGTGAACTCATGTCTAAAGCTCTTTTCTTTCGGCGGTCTTTGTCAACAAGCAGTGGAGAAGTTCCGACGCTGCTGCCACTTTGTGTCTTGCTGATATAGTCGCTGGAATGGTTGATCCGTTCAAGAGCTCCACTCAAGGTTGAGTGCTCAGAGTCACCTGAGACACGAGTCAGTGGGATTTCCTTTCAGAGGATCACAATCACCATCGGTCATACCTGTTGGAGTGTCGTTGATATCGGCATTGTTCTCTGTATTACTGAGTACAAGGGGCTCTGTTCATATAGGTTAGACTAAGAGGCGATCTATCGTCAAAAAGGCCTGAAATTCACCTTGTGAGATACCCGAAAAATCCCAGGAAGACGTTGTGGCTGCTGTCCTCGGGAAGAAACTATCCATACTAGCTTGGGTGGAGGGAGTAGGAGGCACGAGGACACGTTGCGGTGGGATACCTCCGACGTAGGGTGCCGCATGGTGCTTGCGTCGCTGGGGTTGAGAACGGAATCGGGGCACTCGAAGAGCAGGCTGCTTGTCCTTCGGGCCCGAGATTCGAGCATTTGATTGCTGAGAGAGCGTCATGAGGAGGCCTTTGGTAGTGTCGACGAGATGACTTGTGATGCTGGCAATGTGCAGACAACAAAAAGGAGGAGTGACAATAGTTGTTCACTGAAGAGGGTGGTCGGAGCAGGCAGGTGCAGTCACGGATCCCAGAAGGCGCGGCTGGATCAGGGTTGTCAGGTATGACCATGGAGGAGGAAACTACCTGGGTAGTGATGGAGGTATTCTTTGTTTTTCATGCTGGACTGGTATCTGCCTCGCGATCGTCTTACCGATATAATACTTTCTTAGCTTACTTCTCTTCAGGTGTGGCATTCTGATTATCTTTCGGTCCCATGACTTTGAATGAAAATTTCAATGTTGCTGTTGTGCTCGTTACTTAGCGCCGGTGAGGTAGTCTTGGTAGAGATTGATGAATTCGTATTACTTACCCGAAGAAGTCGTTATGAGTGTTGGGTTGGGTTGAATAAAAATGCTGGGCTCTGAATGTCCCGCCACAACAGGGCCCGCCAGGGTCACCCATCGGATTCCGCTAATTGTACGATATCGACTGCGGACGAGGTCGATAAAGGGGATTCAAGCACTGGCCCACAACTAAGGAAAATAGGGAAGTTGCCATAATGGCAGTGGTTGGTTTGTTGAGATTATTCTGTCTTTAAGAACGACAAAGTCTGTGACTCGAGTAACTAAAGGAAAAAAACCCAACAATTACTCGCCAAGACCAGACAATGCTGTCACTTGCCTGGCACTATGGTGCGTCCTTCACTACCAGCGGCTGGCCCTTGAACATCTTGGCGGCTGGCATGATTATGTTTCGGATTTACATCAGGCTGATCAAGGCAATTTGTAGTGGCTCAATGTAGGAAGACGATGGAGTCAACCAAGCAGGTGAGCCCTACCTCGCACTTGACGATTGCTAGAATTCACCCCCCTCATCACCGCCACCACCGCCATAGGCAAAGCCATCCTCGTCATCCCCTTCGCCGCCATCAAAGTAGTTCTCCGCGTTGTAATCATCGGCTTCGCCGTCGTCAGACTCCTCGAACTCGGAATCCACGGGCTCGTCGTCGTCATCGTCGTCATCGTCTCCTGCCTCCTCGTCGCCGTCTGCGCCGTTGTTTTCCTGCGGATCGGGCACGTCGTCGTCGTCGTCATCTTCGTCCTCGTCGGACTCTCCGCCACCGCCGGACCCTTGCTTCTGCCGCTTCCTCTCCTTTGCGCGAATGCTCTCTATCAGAGAGCGTGCCTTTTTTTTGGTCGGCCCGAAATCGTCTTCGGCGTCAAGACCGCGCTTCTCGCGTGATTCGGTCTCGCGGCGCCGTCGCTTCTTCTTTGCTGCCTTTGCCGTCCGTGCGCGGCGAGACCCGGAAAGGAGCGGATCCGAGTCGTCGGTGTCATTTCCTTCCTCGTCAGCAATCTTGGCCGAGGCGTCTTCGCCTTCTTCGTCGTCTTCGAGTACAAGGACCTCTCGCTTCCGCTTCAGTGATTTGCGATTCGGGGTATTCGTCGTCACGTCGATATCCGCCGACAGCCAGAGCGGACTCTTCTTTTCCGGGTCGAGGAGGGGCCAGAGTTCTTGTGGAAAGTATTTCAAGGCTAGAAGTTGATAGGAGATTAGCCAGAGTCTCTCCTACATCCTTTGTCCCAACCAAAAGCTCTGTTGCGTCCCAGCAATTTGTTGGAGAGCGGTTTAGTGACGTACCGTACTCTCTCCCACTCCCCTTCAAGTCCGGTAAAGTCCTCTTCTTCTTGTGATATTTGGCCGTGTACTTGTCCTGATCGTTGAACGGATCAAACCCCGCGCGCTTGAGTGTTGTGCCCGTCTTTTCATCCGCAATGCTACTGGGATCGAGGGTCGCAAAGTACGGTCCATTGCGAGTGCGGGTGCGGAAGGATAGGTAGCGACTGACGGCTGCGAGTTCGCGGGATGTCGGCGGGCGAGGGACGGGGAGATCGATATCCTGTAAAAGTTTTGAGAGCGCCCCAGTCAGGACTGTTTGTCTGTGAAGGTGGTTTTTGGTGGTAATGTATCTTGGGAGAGGGGGTCAGGGGCAAACGGTACTGGAAATAGTGCCTGTGGCTTTTTCTCGGTCGGCGCGAGAGAAATGTCGTCGTCGTCGTCAAAGTCCAATTCGGGAGGCAGGGGGCCTTTTCGACCGCCTCCACCACGTCCTCTTCCCCGTCCACCTCGCGACATCGTGGTCTGTCAGTCGAGGAGCATCTGTCATGGGATGTTGGAGTTCATGCTCCAATGTGCTAGTCGGAAGTCTGGTAACTGAGGATATTGTGGTGCAGAAAACAGTGGTGCTAATCCTAGCAGTTAGATCTCTTTGCAAAGAACGTCGCAACAGAAAATCGGTCGGCAGAATTTGGGGGAGGTGGGGCAGTCATCTCACCGCCTTGACGAGGCTGCGCAAGGCTAAGATCTCCACATTATCGATGACTGAGAATTACGACGAAGCGTCTGATCCGAGTACCAAAAGCCAGATACATATAGCCCACTCTGAAACATTGCTTTTTTATCTACAGCGGAAATATGTACTATTCAATGCTAATCTAGCCACCGTTCCTCGCTGCAATCAACGAGATCGGCCACTCCATCCACTCCGACCAGTGAGGTCCGAGGTGTGAGGATATGGCCTCAATCAGAATACGACCAGAGTCCCCCACGGCCCAACATTCTGTATAAAATGTCATCAAGGCTGCAAAGTATCCCAGGATAATCAAGGCTTCGGGTCTCCGTTGATTGAGTCTTTCGAGGAAGTCGGGTTTGAGCTGTACGGGCCACGCCATTAACCAGCGGATGGTTGTGTGTCTTTCATCAGGCACTTTGGATACCGCAAACGCCCACTGCAGCCTCTCAATCGCTGATTCGTATGCGTCCCTTGATTGGTCTGCCAGGTCTGGATTCGTGTTTAACTTGGACAAGTCGCGGCAAGGCTGAGGAATTTGGTAAGGTTTCTGAGGCTGTTGGATTTCGAACATTGTTTTGAGTTCGGTCTGCTTCAGATATTGGTACCAGTCTTTGATGATGAGTTTGGGGACGTTGCGCATAAGCATGACGCAGTCGATGACGTGGTCGAGATACTGGTTCGAATCTAGGCCAGCCGTGCGAGAGGGGTCGGCGAGGATATGAACCGCAAGCAGCAAGGAAAAGAAGAGAACGGCGCCACAATTTGAGGCGTTGATGTCCCTCTCTACGCTGTTGAACTGGTTGAGAGCCAAAGTTTGTAGTTCCGTAGATGCAGTATGGTACCATGTGGCGTTGTCAGGCTTCGTGTGTGCGAGATGCAGCGCCGAGATTGCCAACAGCTCGTGCATGAGGAAAGGGAAGGATAAGGCCATACGAACTACCGTTCCTTGCCATATATACTGTACAGGTCCTTCGGCGTGGAATGTTTTGTATGTGGAAGTGAGGAATTGGTGCAAGAGTTCCAGATGCTGCATATTTAGGTTCGGGTCAAATGGCCCAGAAGGCGTAACAAGGGGCACAATACTGGATTGCTCGTGGCCCTGCGGTCCTCGCTGGTCTGGAGTAGACGGCTGAGATGCACGCGCAACATTGGTTTCCGTGGCTGTGGCCTTCATCGATGGAGGGGATGTGCTTGAAGCAAAGTTGCAGCCCAGCTCGGCGGTCTGGCAATTAATACATCGAGGGCGATGTTCATCACACTAAGTCGATTTTTCAGTAACTGGTTCAAGTGCGGTTTCCCGCTGAGTGCCCAACGTCCTGCACTCACCTTGATGTGCCTTTTTTTGCAGGCGAGACAGCCATTTCGAGACTTTTTGTGCGGTCTTCGCGGCATTGGGATCTTTCGTTGTCAGAGCGACACAGCGATAGTTCAAGGAATATTGCCCAATGAGACGGATATCTTGTCAGGCAGAGGATGCAGGGACGAATCGACTCGGGCGCTGTTGAGTAGGATTGGACAGCAGCCGGGCTGACCGTATCCGAAGAGAAATTGCGGTTGCCTGAATACCTCACGAATCTGGGCCTGCATATCGTCTACGGCCAAACGAGGAGGTGGAACCAGTGCTAAGGCTGAACAATAGGTGTAGTTTATGGAGCACCATTTCTAGTGTATCGTCTGTACAGAGATCGTCAGTAAACGAGGTTGTGTTGGTGATGTATTGGGCGGGAAACAATGGAGGTGGCAAACCCTACCGCTAGTGGGATTCAGAAGGCTCCTTTCTGCGGAGATGGACGATTGAGATGTGAAGAGCCAAACTCTCAGCAGTGTAGAGTCGGCAATAATCGAGGTCTACTTCCAACTTGGCAGGCAGTGGGACAATGGACAATGGCATCGTGTATGGAGGTATTGTTGAGGTTGGAAATGAGTTGGGGCGGCACGCAGAATTCTCCAGGTAGCAAAGGCAACTTCGCCTCGAACGTATTTTATATTCTCAACTACATTAACTCCAGTTGTCGGATACTTTTTCGTCGCATTGTTCTGTTTGTCAGATAGCATGCATTGGGATTTCAGGGGATTCGGTGCTTGCCATCCCCTTCAGCATTTGATCCTGTCATCGCATGCCCGTCCAACGACCCTCTCTACACCATCCCTGTTCAAGTCGACATGTTAGCGAACCTCTGCTTCCTCCTCTGTGGTTAGATCTGTCACCTGCGACGCTATTTGCAGTTTCTCAATTTGCAGCCCCCGAAGTCGTTCACCATGTCAGCAGCAACTTTGATTGTCCCTGCGCTGATCACCGGTTCAAACACAGTCAAAACTGAATTCGGGCGCATCAGCCACCACCGGTCGCATATCCATGACCGACAGTATCTACGCTCTGAATGCACTCCCGAAGCCTGACTATGTCTCTAGCGATCTTCCGAACCTGATTTGCAGCCAAAAGTGAAAGACATGGCATGGACGTATAGCCCGGTGGATTCTTCCGCGGACAACACGACCGCCACATCTTCTAGCCCCGAGGCGACGTGAAGTGTGCGCGACAAGGAACACCGGCTTACGAGTATACACAAGATGTTATGCTGTTAAAGGCGACTTCCAGCACGCACCGAAGAATATGCTGGGTTGGCACTGATACAAGAAAGAGGAGCACATAGTCAATGCTAGTCACCCAAGAGATAAACAACCAACAAGACAACAATGGCCTAACGAGTGTACACGATTGAGAGAGCAGCGAAGCATTGCAGCACGGGAGACACCTGGACAACAACCCAACAAAGTATACTGAAGCCGAAGCATCTTACAGCAGGACCCAGAGAGGACCGCGCAAAGGTCAATGCCTCGATCGCGGGGGACCAGGTGATGAGTACCTTGGCTGCGTGATGCTGAAACTCTCGTTGTTTTGGTCGTAGAAAAGCACCTCAGCGCAGCCTCGGAGGCTGCTCGTCGTTGATTGGCTCCAATGATTTTTCTGTCCTGCCAAGCTCCTCTTCCGATTTTCATGCCATTGACTCATCTCTGTGCTCCGTGATGGCAAAAGCGTAAGATTCTTCAGACTGACTTGTCGAAATTCAAGATTACCACTCATTGTCTCTTGTCCCTACTGACTTGGTGTTCATTTCCCGCGACATCAAGCACGTCACCTGGTGAATCTAGCTGAATACAGATCCCTCAGACTACCAGCCCTCGTCAAACATGCCCGGTCGCTCAGAAGTCGCCTATTTCGGGGCTGGTCCCGCCCCTCTTCCTACCCCTGTCATTGAGAGTGCCGCCCAAGCATTTGTCAATTTCCAGGACACCGGGCTCTCACTGGCAGAGATCTCGCACCGGTCTCCTACCGCAAACAAGGTCCTCGCCGACGCCAAGGACGCCTTGGCAACTCTGTACAATATCCCCACAGATGAGTACGATGTGATGTTCATGGAAGCAGGCGGCACCGGAGAATTCAGTGCCGCCCTTCAGAATCTGGTGGGTTGTTGGATTGAACGTCGTCGGAGAAAGGCCGTGGCGGAGCTAGGGGAAGGCAAGGAAGCCGAAGTCCTAGAGCGGGTCAAGAAGGAGATCGAGGCAGAGTTGAAGGTTGATTACCTGGTAACCGGGTCATGGTCTCTCAAAGCTTGCCAGGAAGCTACGAGACTCATCGGTGCAAAATATGTCAATGTTGCCACTGACGCTCGGAAGAGCAATGGCGGCAAGTTTGGGAAGATCCCGGATGAGGGCGAGTGGAACCTAACACCAAAGGGGAGTGCATTGACTTATTTGTGCGACAACGAGACCGTCGATGGTGTCGAATTTCCCGACTTTCCCAAAGCTTTGGAGAACACCAGCGGGAATGAGGAAGAGGACAGGATCGTGGTGGCAGACATGTCGAGCAATTTTCTGAGCCGAAAAATCGACGTTCGGAAATATGCGGTCATCTTCGTGAGCCAATGATTCCATTTGTGTCCCCCGATGCGGCGCTAACTATTATCAGGGCGGTGCTCAGAAGAATCTCGGTATTGCCGGCATTACTGTGGTTATCATTCGGAAGTCCTTGCTCAGCCTCGTACCCTCCCCAGCATTCCTCCACGCCTTATCCCCTGTGATCCCGACCTCGGGATGTCTGCCGCCCATCATGCTCTCCTTCTCAACCATTGCAGCAAACAACAGTCTCTACAATACACTTCCGATCTTCAACCTGTATGTTGCGACGTTGGTCCTGCAGCGTCTCGTTTCCACATTCGGCTCTACCAAAGTCTCTGGTCAGGAAGAGGTGGCCAATCAAAAAGCCAGACTCTTGTATGAAACCCTTGATTCTCACCCAGAGACGTACTACGTCGTCCCGCACAAAAGCGCAAGGAGCCGGATGAACATTTGCTTTCGAATCATCTCAGGGCCGAAAGCAGGCAGCGGAGAGGTAGTGCCGGACGAGGCCAAAGAGAAGGCGTTCTTGACCGGTGCGGAACAGCGCGGGCTCCTCGGCCTCAAAGGTCACCGATCTGTTGGAGGGATCAGGGCGAGCAACTACAATGCCGTCCCACTGGAGAATGTACAGAAACTAGCTAGCTGGTTGGTGGAATTTGCCAAGTCATGACCTGACATTGGTTGGCCGGGTCAAACATCCAGTAAGGAGAAAAATGACCGGTTTCGGAAGTTTGACGGTCCTCATCGACCGGACCGGCGGTCAGAAGGCTACCACTAGGCATGAAAAGTATTGCTGTTTATTAGGAATGAAGAGAATATATACAACGGCGTCTTGATTCTGGCCAACGGTGCTAGTACCAGTTTTCTTGAGTCAATGCTCGTCGTTCGAAATCTAGCAATGTTCAGGCCGATTCGATCAGAATCAAAGTCGCTCGCCCCGGGTGCGACTGCTGAAGGCCTGGCACCAGGATAGTGGACAACAAGAATGATTCAAGGTGGTACCCTGCCGTTTGCGAATCGTCATTGGCCTGTGTGTACTCGATATCCTGCAACCTCGACCCAAGAGCGGAATAATCTCCTCACTTGCCCAGGACGATTCCGATCGGGGCGGGACGACCTAAGTAAGCGATTCTTATTTCGACGTACCGGCACGGGTACCTCGTTCGGTAGTATGTTATTGTCCCACGTCTTTCCCAAACATGTCACAAAGATACTTCCGGAGTGAAAAACATCCTTGGTGGGAGATGAGCATTTCTTACATTCTAAGACGTGGATAAAGTCGTTGCCTCTACCTCGCCAGGACCCAAAACTCGACCATCAACGCGTTTCCCAAACTACTCCTCTCCGTCCGAACACCGGGTTTGCCCCAAATTGTCACCAAGTACACTGGCCAGGACTGCTGGATCAGGCTTGAGATCCGCAAAGCCGCTTTTTTGAGTCGCCTCCATTGGAACCGGCGACTACAATGTCAGGAGGTGGGTGCGGCCGCGCCACCGCTTCCGCTCGCACCACCGCTTCCGCTCGCACCACCGCTTCCGCTCGCACCAGGAACCCGGCTCCTCAACGTGCTCGACGATGGCAGAATCTTACTGAACGCGCCCCTGATGCCTGATGGCTTTTCCCTCCCGGGTGTGAGTTCAGTTCCTTCGGGCACACTCCCGTTGATACAAAAGGCGACTCCGGCCACGAGGATATTCGCCGTGTCGCTATCTGCTGGGGCTTTCGGAGCACTTGTGTGAGACTCGCCCGGCAGCAAGACGGTTTTGGAGTTTGTCAGCCTTGTGGAGCTCACGGCAAAGGCCGATCCGTCATAGTCGACAATCTAATTGTAAAAAAAGGTCAGTTGAAGGGGGACGCAGTGTCTCCCGCGCGCCGGACGCGAGAAGTGGAAAGTGTGAAGGAAGCAAAACTTACCTTCATGGTCCCTGGGACGACTGGCTTAGTCTCCTGCGCCGAAAATACGTTCACTAGGTGGCCCTTTGTCTTGCGGTCTGCAAACCATTTGTTGGAGGATTCCGTGATGGCTTTTGATTCATTCGAGTTTACTGCCAGCCCCCGGATCTGGGCCGAGGTCGCATGAGGCACCAGGTTCGCTAAGAGAATTCCTGGCTGGCCCCAAGGAGAACCCTGACCAGGAGAACAAAGTCGGAATATGCCTAGACACGAGTCCAATAGTGTACCCCATTGTGTTCTTCGCTGAGTAACGGCTGTCGCGGGATTTGGCCTTTGACCGCTGACCTCCTCAAAGGCTAACCCCATGGCCTGTTCAGGGCGTGTTAGCCCGGTTGCGTTGTAATGTCTCGAGGGGAGGGACAAAGGCTCGAAGTCAACGTTTTAACTCACCGCCAGAATTTCCATACCACCCATGCTGTGACCAACGGCTACCCACCGCCTCCCACGCACTTCTCTTGCAATGACATCCAAAAGCTCCGGCGCCGTGGAGCTGATGCTCAGACTGACGTTCGCCGGGCTGGTCGGCGTGGTTTGCCAGCCCACCTCAACGACTTCGACGTTTTCGCCAATCAAGGGCTCGAGCAGTTGATTGAGCTCTGTCGCCCAGCTGGTGCCATCTGCTCCGAGGAACGCAGACTCAGAACTGTTCAACCCGTGGATAAGAACGACGCTGGAGGCGATGGTGTTAGCTCGAGCAGAACTGTCGCACCACCAATGCAAGTATCGACTGTCACGATGCGTGCCGGGGGGACTTACACAATTTCTGCTTCAGGTACTGATACGAGTGCACGGGCGGTCGGGGCCAAACTCGACGCGGTCGAACCGCTAGGAACTGCAGGTGCCTGTGTGACGGGAATCGTCGTTGTTCCTTTTCCTTTCCCACGGAAGAACGACATTTTGATAACAGATGAAAACAAAGAGGGAGTTGAGGCTGGAGTAAAAAAGGAGGGAGTGCGAAGCAGTTGGCCCTTTTTGTACGGCTGGCGACCCCGGCGATGCCTGTCTTCTTTGAAATTAGGATAATGGTACTACGAAGAGAGGCTTCCCCGAGACCCGACCCGTCTTAGCTATATAGAGCATGTGCAGTGCCTGTGGACGACATGAGGGCTGCGGCGTCCAAGAATGGATATGGACAACAGCCTCGATCTGCCTCTTGAGACTCTAGTTTCCGCCCGAGTCCAAAAATAGATCGACATGACCAAAAACTTCCCTTTCCTAGCTGGGGAGTGCGTGGGAAAGTAGAACAACGATTCAAGCGAATGGCGCAAACCCCATTGGAGAGGCTGGATGAGAACGAGAGGGAGGTTTTGCAGGGCCCGGAGACCCGCCGCCGCAGGAAGACTTGGTCGTTCGTGTCAGACTACATGTCGCATTGTAGAGGCACGGGATTCGCAATGTCGCAATCGCCATTCCTCCCTAGGGCGAGACCCGCTAGGAGCAGAGGCATCGCGGGGCAGCATCCCTGTGAACGTACAATAACGGCCCCCCGGAGGGGCGGGGTCGAGGAGAGGGAAAAAGGGGAGGGGGGGATGGGGGCGAAGGCGAAGGGCATGGGGTTTTTGGAATTCTGGCAATACCATCTCATGTCATCCGCCTTTGGCCGAAAACGTACCATCGAGGGCCAGAAGACACGGGACCGGTATCTATTAGATGGCTCATGTGGCTTGGATGCGTGATTTCGACATGGGAAACCTAGCTAGGTCTAGTCGCCAAGGATTGTTGAATGACAACTTGCATATACTATTGCCCCTTTAGTAGTGCCAAGAAAGACTAGGAGTCAACATAAGTGGGGGCCGGTGGAGCTTCCAATGGTACCTTACTTGCCTTTCTTGTGTAAGTCAGCCACCGAGGTCATGGTAAGGACCCTATCCGAACGTGAACGTATGTACATACCTCTTTCACATACGCGCCCGGAAACAAGAGCCGGCTGAAGGATTCCCTGACACAACTAACTTGGCACGCCTTGTAGGAATCTCGGGAATCCCACAGTCAGCCTCCTACATCTGTCTGATTTCGGTGCAAGTGGCGCGCATTTCCCCACCGTGTGGCTTAGAAACACTCTTGGCATGTCATGACCTAGACTTCTAACGGCTCGAGCAGCTGCTACATGTGGGAGTTTGCACTCGGGTTTAATAGAGGTCCTAATTGCGGATGTAATCAATCCCAATGGATAAAAAGATCTCGGGATTTCTACCAGAGCGAGTGCGACTGAGGGGCGGAGGGCCAGGCGGTTTATTCTATTCTCGCCCATGTGTGCTGAAAATAGTAATGAATGCAACTGACAGGGATCCCGGAGCGAAGACCTCTTGCTAGACTCGATATGGGCACACATGCTGAGCCCGTATCAGGACGAGTATAATAGAGCCGCCCCGAGCTTTCTCATGCAACACGTTCATCTCTCGACACATCCATTGAGAACACTTTTACCGCGGTCGCGTCAGAAGATATGGACCACGACCACGACTACGGGTACGACGACCACCATGACTGGCATGGAGGAGCTGGTGAGACCGGGGACCATGGGTACGGAATGACTGGTGAGGGCGACGACCAGCATCCCACGTGGGACTCGGTCTTGTCAGAGATACACGTCCACATCGATACCTACGAACAGCATCAAATGGACAACACTGGTACGTCGGCGCGGTAAATCCCCTTTGAAGTATTCTTTTTCCCGCCTCACGGACTGACATTTGTCAAACCTTTTGTTCTTTGTGGTAGCGCCCGAAGAAGACAAGCAGAACAATATGCGCCGCACCCTGAAAGCCATCAAGCGACTTGCGAGACAACTGCGAGAGATGGACCCCACCAGCGAAGAGGCCCATGAGTATTACAAATTGACCAAGCGCGCGCACAGGGGCAGATATGCAGGCGAGCATGAGGACGAGGACGAGGACGAGGAGGGAACGGGTGCGATTGAATACAAATTGGAGATGATGGCGGAATCTGACGACGACTCTGGAATGGACTCGGACTCGGACGCCGAACAGGACGACCCTGAGAATGGCTGGGCTGATGATCCGGAGGGAGGCTGGGACCATGGTCATGGTGAGGGTGAGGGTGAGGGTGAGGAAGGGTACGGTGGTGAGGAGGACCCTGGACAAGGGGGTGAATGGGGGAACGATTATCACCACGGAGGCGACCACGAAGGGAACGGTTACGACCATGGAGCTGACCACGACGGCAATGGTCATGGACAGGGAGATGATTACGACGGGCATGATGATGAACATGGCGGGCAGAACCACGGCCACGGCCACGACCAGCACCAATATGGTCACGGCGATGGCGGGTATCAGGGAGGCGACAATGACTATGACCAGCCAGAGTACTCGCCGCACCACCATGGCCATTGCTAGTGGGCTCGCATATCAAGCCGAGGAGCAGGAGGCACACCGGAGGCGATACAGGCTGGTGGGCTGCATTTGGATTGGTTCACCGGCGCATGTTTGTAGATTATTGGAAGACGAGTTCTGCATGCAAGTACAAACTCCCCAACCTGAGTGCATTGATTGAACTTGTATGTAGTCACTCGAGGCCCACGCGGGCCGCCGGCCTGAGCCGCAGGCGGAGTCCCACATCGCCTTGGCACGCCAAGCCCGGCCATCGGAGGGGAAAAAAATGTCCCCCATGACAGACGGTGGTAAGACTTTTTGTCATGACATGCTGTTCCCCCCACCAGGTCAAGTCTCTTGCCCGGAGGATAGTTTGCTTCCTCTTGCAACTCGCCGGAGTTCCACAATGCTCGTCTCGAGCCGCATAGCTTTGGAGAAAGATGACCGAACAAGGCCGCGACAGATCCGCCCTGGTCCTCTACGGGACAGAAACTGGCACGGCGCAAGACCTGGCCGAAGAGGTCGGCCGCACCCTTGAGAGACTGCGTTTCCGGACCGACGTTCTGGGGCTGGACGCCGCCACACACGGCCTTCTCCACCAATACACCCTCGCAGTCTTCGTCGTCGCCACCACGGGACAGGGTGACTTCCCCGAGAATGCTCGGCGGTTTTGGACCGGCCTCCTCCGTAAGAAACTCGCCGCCACCACGTTGGCTGGTGTTGACTATGCACTCGCAGGCCTGGGGGATACCTCGTACCCCAAGTTCAACTGGGCCGCGAGGAAGTTGGACAAGCGGCTTCGTCAGCTGGGCGCTTCGCCACTCGTCGAGCCGTGCGAGGCTGACGAACAGGGCGACGAGGGCACCGACGGCGCCTTTCTGAGCTGGCTACAACTGTTTCGGGAGACTGTATTGGACACCTTCCCTCTCGCGGACGGTCAGGACCCAGTTCCCAACGATGTTCTTCTGCCGACTAAATGGCGCCTGGAACGGGCCTCGGGACACCCTGCTGCGTCTGGCGCCTCGCCAATCGCCGACAGCAACCATCGGCCTTCTTCAACTACTACTGGGCCCAACGTTCCTCCGAATTCCTTCTCCGTATCTTTGGAGTGTAACCAACGAGTCACCCCGCTGGATCACTGGCAAGATGTTCGGTTCATGAGTCTCAAAACCTCTGCAAAAATCCCTTACATGCCTGGTGACGCGCTCGCCATTTCCCCGCAGAATATCGCAGAGGACGTGGAATCTCTGATCACCCGCATGGGCTGGCAACGTGTCGCGGATGTGCCGATCCGCCTTGTGTCAACACGACGGTCGACTTCGGCCACCACTTTGGCCAGTCTGGCAAGCGATGCGATCTTCCGCCGCGCCAGTCTCACCCTCCGAGGCCTTCTGACCGAGTATTTGGACATCAACGCCATTCCACGCCGGTCCTTCTTTGGCTGCATCGCAAACTACACCAACAACGACATGCACAAGGAGCGACTTCTCGAATTTACGGACCCGCAATACCTCGACGAGTACTACGACTACGCGACCCGTCCCAGGCGGAGTATCCTCGAGATCTTGCAGGAGTTTGACTCGGTACATCTGCCCTGGGAGGAAGTCACCAGTATCTTCCCGGCGATGCGCCCGAGACAGTTCAGCATAGCGAGCGGCGGACTGTTGAAGAGCACCGAGGACGGATCGACCAAATTCGAACTGTTGGTCGCCATCGTCAAGTACAGGACCGTCATCAAGCGCATCAGAGAGGGTGTGTGTACACGCTACCTGGCGCAATTGCCGGTGGGCACCACGCTGCAGGTCTCCCTGAAGACGGAAGGTCGGTTCTCCAGGGCGGGTGAGTTGGCTGACCAGAGCCACATCCTCGTCGGTGCCGGCACGGGCATCGCGCCTCTCCGGGCACTCATTTACGAAAAGGCCATGCAAGACCAGGTCTCGGGCCCGACGGCGCTCTTCTTTGGCTGCCGCAACGCGAGGTCAGACTATTTCTTTCGCGACGAGTGGACCGCGCTTCAGACAAGGGATCCCGCAACCGCCCGCCTCGAAGTCGTCACGGCCTTCTCCCGAGACCAGACGTCCAAGGTCTACGTCCAAGATCGGATGCGCGAGCGAAGCCGCTTGATCTGCCAGTTTCTCAGGGACAAGGCCGCCACGGTCATCGTGTGCGGATCCTCCGGCCAGATGCCCAAGGCTGTCAGGCAGGCGTTGGTCGACGCTCTTGTCCAGCAGGGCAAGAGCACCGAGAACGAAGACAAGGCTTTGAGCGGACAAGGAATGGTCCCTGTCGAGGAGGAGCCGATACAGACCGAAGAGGACGCGGAGAAGTACCTCGCAAGACTGGAGAAGGTGGGCAGATACAAACAGGAGACGTGGTAGCAGAGAATTCCAGGTTCTTCTTGTCCCATGTCTTATCTTGGTGGAATAGACTCGTGATCAAACCATGGGGTCATGTCTGTTGGTCGAAGAGGTTTACAATTCCGTGCGGGAAGATATATATAGAGATATATTGTGGCTCAGGACACAAGCGTGGTCGTCCGGCCCGTTAAATACAAGAGATGCTGCGTACAATCCTCTCTCGAAGTGGTAAGAAACATTCCTCCTCAGATAGGTCGTCGTATCATGCCCGATTTCATTAGGAAGCAGAGAAGCAACCAGATTTCCTTGATCACATTATCAACCAATTTTTTCCCAAAGAAAAAAAACAAAGAGCAGGATTTCCCACACCAAGAAAGTCATTGCTCTCTCGAATTAGCTTGACAATCATTTGAGAAAGAAAACCTCCAGCTAAACCCGCACGCTGGCCTTGTCCTTTTCACATGCACATCCGTTCTTGCCAGCCGCGACCTCGCTGGGCGTTCTGGCGTAGCTGGGTGGGACGTCGAGGGCCGGGTTGCGCACGAAGAAGTTGCGCGGTCGGAGGAGCAGCGTCATGGGCTCCGTGGGCATGACAGGAAAGTCCTCTGGGGCCGGGAAGTGGGTGATGCCAAAGGTGTGCCACAGCACAATATCTTCATTGTCGATCTTGGCCGTCGGGTTCGCGGCGATCCACTGGGGCAGGCCCATGGACGGTTCGCCCGAGGTTTGCGGCACGTGGCGTCCGGCAGGGTGCACTTGGTCGTCAGAGTCTATTACCAGATGAGAATTGTTAGCAACCGATTACATATTTCGCACGATGTCAGGTATATGAGGTAGGTGAAGGGCAAATGGAGGCGTTGGCCCGACGGGAGAGAAACTTACACTTCGTCACATGCACGGCGTGTCTCGAGAAACCAGCCCTCTTCCACACCAGGGAGCCTTCCTTAGGCAGCAGCGTCGGGACCTCTCTGCTCACCAATTTGTACGACACGGGCTTCTTAGAATAGGGGTTCAGCTTGTTCTCGTTGCACATGTCCCAGGTCCGCGAGCTCGATCCATTGTAGTCCGCCATGGCCTCCTTGGGGTTTGTATACTTTGTCCGCTTGGCATAGAAGGCATTGCCGTAGAAATTCTCTGCAGAGCCTGGTTCACCGGCACCCTGGGCGGCGTCGACCTGGAATACCGTGTTGTTGGGCCCGTCGATGTTTGGGTCGACGCGCAGACAGAACAAGTGTTGATGGTTGTGGGCATTGACACCCGGATACACTTCGGTGCCCCATCCCTTTGTGTCTTCACCGGGGTTCATCGCGTAGGTGTTGAGAATACCGGTGAGTTTGATCTCGAGCTGGAGGGTGCCGTCTTGGTGGAAGACCCAGTAGACGCAGTATTCGTAGTTTGCGGCGGTGAAGATGTGGGAGATGATCAGCTTGCGGGCACGAGTCACGACCACAGAGTCGTCTCTGAAGTCGGAGTGCTTGAAAAGAATGCCGTTGTCTTCTTCGTGGATGCAAATTGCGTTCTTGATCGTTTGTGCCGCGCCAGCCTTGTTCACAAACTCGGCGTCCATGTAGTGAATACTGCCCTTGCAGTCACAACCCAAGCTGAGTGAGTTGGTCATGTATCCACCACCGTACTCGCCCAGGTCAAAGGCGTGTTTGCGTTGATGCGGATGTTCGGGGTTACCGTAGGGGACAACCATTTCTGCAAGTGAAAGCCGGTAGAAAATGGGCCGGGCTTTGTTCTCTACCTTGTCGAAAAAGGAAATGTTGTTGAGCACGATGCCCTCTCTGTAGTTGAAGCCCACATGGACGGACCAGTTCTGCCATTCGATGATGCGGCCATTGATTTTGAAACTGACACCCTCGGGCTGGGTGATGTTGATCGGCTTGAGGTCTGTTCGGTAGCCACCGATCTCTTCGATCGACTTCACATGGTAGTTGTTCGGCGGTGCCTTGCTCAGTGGTCGCCGAACCTTGGGTACGTCGATGTGGATGATCTTCTGCTTGTTTGAGTCGTAGATAGGGCAGAAATCTAGGGGGTAGGAGTACTGGGAGTCGTCGACGTGTGGTCGGTAGTACATCAGTGCCTGCTGAAGTCTGACCGAGGTGCCGAATCTCTCGTCGTATCCAATAGTCCAGGGATCACAGTAGACCTTGTGCATTTCCTCGGGCGGGATGCCAATCAGGCCGCACTGCTCAATGACACCGGGGTCCTTGCGTACGACATGCTCGACGATTTGAAGATCTTCCATGGTGATCAAGGGTTGCACATCGGGAGTGTGTTCCCATTTGATCACCTTGCGCTCGGTAAGGTCGACATGGCCGTCGAACACTTTGCCCTCGGGCGAAATCACCACAATATCGGCAATACGGTGTGGTTTGGGTGTGTGGTCGGGATCAGCCAGCCATTTCAGCATCTGAGCCTTGGGTGGCTCGAGCAGCGTGACGGCGTTGTAGTACAGCTTGCCATACTGTGACCGAAGTAGGGACACGGCTGTCTCGATCTCAAGGGAGGAGAGCGGATCGAATGGATGGGGAGGAGCAACAGTGTTGGAGACCTGTTGGGCCAACTGCTTCACACGCTCAAGAACCATGGCTGATGGTCCGAGGGTATTGATGGACTAGGCGGACAGGGAATAGATAGCGCAATGCGACAGGAGCAGAAGTTGGGAAGAGAAAGGAGGGGGGAGAGCCTCAGACCCAACAGATATATATATGTGTTGTGTGCCCGTTGGCGGCGAACCCGACCATCAACTCCTCACGATTGAAAAGGGCAATGCTATGCTCTAGCCGATACCAACAACCCAGGCCCAAGCATCCAGAGCTCGCCGTCAAATGCATTATACCACGAACGATAAGCAGACAGTGGCCGATAAGGGTCTACGAGAACGTCTTGCTACTCGCCCGCTTCGCGGTCGCTTTCCTCTTTTCCGCATCTGAATCCATCCCCAACTTCTGACTGGCCTGGCAAAGTTTGCCACTTGCGGTTTAGATCTTACTCCACACTTGGGGTTCAGAAAGAGAAGGCGACCACGAGCAAGGGATATCTAGGGTGGTGCGGTGCTCTGCCATTCGGGTGATGGAAAATGGCACTTTCTACACACGAGGCTCGAGGACGCGGGACGAGGGACGAAGCAACCCGCAGTGGCACGATAAGAAGAGCCCAGCGACGATGGGAAACAGCTCTCTGGCCGAGCAAACTCCTCGCACGTAGATCCAAGTCCTGCCATCTCAACGAAACCGGGTTGTTGACTGAAGCCTTTATGAGCAAGGCTGTGCTATATTGGATACAAGGCTGCATGTCCTTGCGAGAGGCAGCCCTTAGAACAAACGTGGATGTGCCTGCGCTGTACCAACCAACCGCTCTCCAGCGTGGATTGCCTTTCTGCCAGTTCCCTCATCTTCGCTTTCTGCACATGGCCACTCCAATTGTCTCATATGTACAATGACCGTTCACCTGGGCCACGCTTTTTTCTGTTGGGTGTGTCTCGGCTCACTCCAGCACTTGGTCGTGAGCAGAGGGAGAGTCGTTTTGCTGCCGAGGTCGTCTAGTGGTGTCCCGACTTTTCCTCATGACCATGACCGTGCGACTCTTTCAGGAACAATTGTTCGAAAATAACATAACCCGTGAACGCGACCACAGCAATTCCAAATCCGGGGAATGCTCCCTTGAATCGATTCCATCTTGAGAAAGGTCCGGTGTATCGCCATGCCTCACTAGACACTTGTCAGGGTTTGTTTGACCATGCTCTGTTGTCTAGCTTACTGTCTGCTCCATGGATCTCTTGCCCGCCACTCTTTACTTGTTGCTGCGTCGGTAAAGGCTTTCATGCTGAAGCCAGTTGGGTTGCTCGGCGGCGCCATGATGAACCGCGGAGTGTGATAGATATGATAGGACCAGGAGCAGGCGGATGTTAGAGCTACAGAGCCCACGGGGGAGTCGTGTCGAGGTGAAGCCGAGTTGGTATCTTCAGAGGAGAGCTTGATGGTGGTACAAGATCTTCGGCTCAGGAAAGCAATCGGCAGGTGATGACCGAAACAGCTCTGTCTTTTGCGAATTATGTCTGACAGAAAATTTACCTGGCAATAGAGACTGCATCCACAGCCTTTTTTTGGGCCAAGCATTGGAAAAGAGTCGTCAGACATGAGATTACTTGGCACTAGCGCAACTGTAGTCTATGCTTCTCTCTACTACGGCCGCGCATTAGTGCCTTTGATGTCGCGCTCTGGGGCCAGACTTTGTCCCGCCGCATGTTGGCCATCGAACTTGCACCGAGTCCTACGCAAATCACAAACACCAAACCATGATCGCTCAACAACCTTCTCTCTGGTAAAGTGGATGGCAGCCTCGACTTTCACACTCATGGGCCAGTCACCCGCTTCCCAATAACCAGCGCAACAGCAAATCTTCATACTCCCGCAATGAACACGTCTGAAATCACACCATCTCCTCCGCACTCTCGATTGCCTCTGACTCCATCATGGCTCCTCCACGTTATGGAAATCAGTCCATAAACGGACCTTATCATATCCAACAAAATCACCTCCAATCCCACGCGTCCTCACATCAACATGGCGCCCTACCGCCTCCCACTCACCTAGGCACCCCGTCCTTCGGCGCCGCTGGCTCCTCCAACGCCAGTCCGTTTGCTTTGACCGGCAACCTAAACAATGGCTTTGAGCGTGGCATGCTCGATGGCGGCCTTCTTCCTAGTCAAATGGCTCAAATGGGATTCTCTAGAGGTGGTCCAGTGCAGGGTCACCAAGCCTACGACGGGCTCGTGGTGCCTCTGGAGAACAAGGACGACGCTAGGATCCGCAATGTCTGGAAGCATAACCTCAAGGAAGAGATGGCGACGCTGAGACAGCTAGTGGACATCTACCCGTACATTGCAATGGTAGGCGACTGTCTTCGGTCTATGGTCATCCGTAACTGCGCTCACATGGATTGTTTAGGACACCGAATTCCCAGGTATTGTCGCGCGGCCCATTGGCCAGTTCACCACAAAGGCCGACTATCACTATCAAACGCTACGGTGTAATGTTGATCTCCTCAAGATGATCCAGCTAGGAGTCACTCTTTTCAAGCCTGACGGTACCCTACCTCCGCCCGACGCCGCTCCTTCGCAGAAATCTCAGTTCCACCAAAACGTCCTTCCTACGCCTTGCACGTGGCAGTTCAACTTCAAGTTCTCCCTGGAGACTGACATGTATGCGAGAGAGTCGACGCAAATGCTTTCAAAGGCTGGCATCGACTTTGAACGGCACGCAAAGCACGGCATCGATCCCAATGACTTTGGTGCTCTGTTGATCAGCTCTGGTCTGGTGCTGGATCCTGATGTCCATTGGATCTCTTTTCACTCAGGCTATGACTTTGGCTACCTTATGAAACTCATGATTTGCAAGCCCTTACCTGAAGACGAGGTCACGTTCCACAAGTATTTGGAGAAGTTCTTTCCCTCCCTGTTTGACATCAAATTCATCCTCAAACATGCCGGTGTTAAGGGACAGGTTAACAGCGGACAACCTCTCACCCAAGAAGCGGCGATGATGGTCCAGCGCATAATGACCAAGTCGGGTCTTCAAGACATTGCAGAAGAGCTGGCAGTGGCGAGGATCGGACAAGCACATCAAGCGGGCTCGGACTCCTTGCTTACTGGGCAAGTGTACTTCAAGATGAAGGAGAAGATCTTCAATGGCACGATCGAGGAGGACAAGTACCGCTCACAGGTTTGGGGACTCAATGCGCAGATGCCAACAGGTGGAAATACTGCCGGTGGCGGCGGTGGTGCAGGAGGGGCCATTGGAGCAGCTCGCGACTTCAACACCCCGAACATGAATGGCGCGACCTTTTACAACCAGAACGGAACACCGACAACCCCACAGACCGGTAACATCGGCATGGCAGGTGGACAGGGAGGAGGAGGACCTTCGTCGCACACGCCTGTCCCCTCCCATACTGGCAGTGCCGGGATGATGGGGTCCATGACACCAGGAGGATTTGGCAATTTCCAATACCAAAAGGCGATGAGTTAGGGGCCCTCCCCTCGAGGTCGTCGCCTGCGTAGAGGAGGCAAAAGAGGACTGGGGGAGGTCTCTAGTCACGGTATTGGTCGTGACGCAAATTCTGGTCTTGATCCGGCGCCTGTTCTGAGCCTTGACTCCGCCCTGGAGACATTTCAGCAACCTTCGAGTCTGTTGGATCCTGCTCCTGGGACTGGATTCTGGCAATGGCCAGCACCGCCGCATTTTCACCTTCTGCCTTTGCACCCAGCGCAGCAGTTTTATCAGTCTCAGCATTGGCAATATCCACCGTTACCTGTACCTCCACCGCTGGAGCCTTGGGACTTTTGGAGTTGAAGATGCTTTGATTTGCATGTATCTGTGTACTCTCCACTTTTATCTCACTTTCCGTGAGCAGTCGCTCTCGGTCCACCTTTTTCCTTTTCTCTGCTGGCGGCGTGGAAATCAAAATCAAGTCGAAATGGTAGTCGGCGTTCCTGTTCTTGTTGCTTTCTGGCTCCCTTTTCGGTACTCCTGGACCGGGGCGGGCGCCTTCATGCTTTGGGTATGTACGGCAGATGGATGGGGGGTTGGGCAGCGGGGCGTGATAATGGGGTTGAAGGATTGGATTCAGAACCGGGACTCGAGAAAGTCCGGGAGGGAGAGGCGGATGGAGAGGGGAGAAGAGAACGCGGAAAAGAAAAAAGAGAGCGAACAAACCAGAAAAAGGAGAGGCATGGGAAAGAACAAGTGATTGAATGATGCAATGCTTGCCTGCGGTCATGCGGCTGTTGTATCAGGGCATGTGTGTTGTGTGCCTTTTTCTGTCTTGTGTATTCGAATCACCGTTCCTTGTCAAGACTTGGTCTTCTGGAGTTTCCATGGTCGTGGAACTCGAGCCCAACCAAGCAAGTACTGTAGGGTAGGTAGGTAGGTAGGTACCTCGTACTTGGGTAGGTGTGCTACATAGAAGGAGAAAAGGCAGTGGAGTCGTCTTGTCTGTGCACACCAAATTACCAATAAATAACCCCTGTCCTTGTGTGTGTGTGTGTGTGTGTGTGTGTCTCGCAAGCAGTCAAGCAGTTGAAACTAAAACAGAAACAGAAACAGAAACAGAAACAGAAATGAATAGAGAGGGAAAGACATTTTTGACTGGCCCCCCAGAAAAGGAGATTCGTGTGTATATATAGATATACCTGGTATATATCCCCGTGCCCACCCGCCAACCGGACTTGAGAGCCGATCCATTTGCTTCTCTCCTCCTTTGCCAACCGAAATCCAAAATTGAACGCCGGTCTTGTCTGCCTGCCTGCCTGCCTGCCTGCCTGCCTGTCTGTCCGACCGTCCATTAATGCCCGATGAATAACTCGTAGGCCTTGCCTTTGAGCCGTTCTCCTCAACGTATAGATTTTCGTGGGTCTTCGTCTTCTTCTTCCCCTTTCCCGGTTCAAAAGTGTCGAGAAAGGTGTCCTTTCGTATTGATTTTGGCGGATAGGGTGCGACTGATGTCCGTCGTGGAATGTTCTCACTGTCTCGTTGCGCCTGATATCTGTCCGCGCTATGGTGATGTCCATTTCCATAGTCTGACACTGCCACTTGTGCGCCAGAGGCCAGATATTTGACGGTGCCGTTCTTGATCGTCTTTGCTGAGTCCATAGTCGGTGACGTTCAGCTTCCCAAATACTTCCTCCACCCATCCCTCCAAACACTTCTTTGACCTTCGTCCGAGACCCCGGGTCTTTCGCCAACTCTGAATCTTTCCCATCGCGCGTCTCTTCCCGTGCCAATGCAGATGATCGTGGAATTTTCAATCCATCCCAAAATCCCTTTCTGTGGCCGGTTTGGCAAGGACCCCAGCGCGGGCAAGTAGGATAGTGTCGACTGATTAAAGCCGGCAGTCTCATCGCCCATCTCAAAATGCGCGGAAGCAAACGAGTAGATGTCTGAGAAAACGCGGGGGAGCAGGGGAATCTTCGAAAGGAACCCCCATTTCTGGTTCGTCGCTGGCTCTTCTTCAGGCAAGGCGGGAATATGTGGTGACTGAGAGCGGCGTTGTTGAGAGGTCGGGCTGAGCGGGCTGGTGGGTTGCGACTGTGAAGAGGGATTTGGCGGCAGATCAAAGACGTGTAAGGTCGATTTGTCCGACGTCACGGCGAGCATATTGCAGTCAGGGGAGATGGCTATGCTGAAAATATAGGCCGGGTCCACTCCACGACGCAGTTCTGCTATCTTGGTACAATTTGCGGTTGAGAAGACACGAATCAATGTGCCCGTCTCACTGGCAGTAGCTAAGAGTTGTCCATCCCTGCTCAGGTCCATCGCTCGCAAGGCAGACGTGTGCGCTGGGATGATGCTTACATTGCCCGACCCCAGCTCCACAAGTTGTACTTTTCCTGGCGACCGGCCCGGGAAAGCAACAATCCTGGAGCCCAAACAGCATAGACCCAGCGGATTGTCTGCAGTTTCAAATATGGCAGTTCTTTCAGGAGGCGAGGAGAACTTGTAGAGGTTGATGCTGTTCTGGATGGCGATGGCGATCCACGACTTGGTCAGGCGAACGCGTAGCACGGCGGTCTTTTGCTCCAACGTGATAGCAACTTTTTGTTTCGCATCGTCCCATATCATAACCTGCCAGATATATATCAGTTTCCGGGCTCTTCATCCAGGTGTCTCACTTCGTACTTTGGTCTGAGGCCATCTTGGGTTCTTTCCACCTCCAACCAAGGCCAGATAGTTATATCGCCCCAGCATTTCAGCTGTACCGATTCCGGCATTCAGATCTATAGCTTGGGTTAGAATGTGAGGGTTCGCAACGCGTCGGAGAGATCGTACCTCTGGAAGCCTTGAGTTCGCAGGGATCCGAATTGAAAACTGGAGAGAGAACATCAATATTCGCCCAGACCATTACACGGGTCTGAAAGGATTCCCTGTACATACCACAGAAGCCCGAGTCGAGGCCAATGGCGAAACAGCTCGCATCGCTGTTGAACGAGGCTGAAAGCGCAATCGGCCCAGCAGAGTCATCGATGACGGGACGGGTATTCATGGTGCAACGGGGATTCAATGATCGACAACAATGCAAGCATTGTGAGTAGAGATAAGCAGGGTGCGGTCAGGGATTGAATAGAACCAATATGGAATTCTGGAAGATTTCCATGATGTGATGTTGGGTAACGATGGTTCTGAGATCAGCGCCTGGACATTGTTGTCGGTTGTGACCATAAAGAGATGACGCAGGTAGACACCTGGAGTGAAGTGCATAGCTAGGTACTTAGGAGCCTAGTGATAGCCCGAGCCAGAGCCTAAGGGTATTTGGGTAGGCGCCTATCCCACAAAGGAGCACTGTACGAGCAGACGAGTTACTTGGGGGGCAGCTTAGAAAGAGCTTAGGGGGCACCGGGGCGTGTGATGGGCAGCTCGGTTAGGCTCGCTAGGCGCTAAGCTTGGCGGATCTGTTGGTCTGTGGGTAGCCGCACCAAACAGCGACATCATTTCCCGCCTCTTGTGGCAAGCATCAAGCCCCGGGCGACCCTTTGGGCCCCTAAAACAATGGTCCCTGCCGATGATTGATTGCAACAGAGGCCAATTGGTGGTGATGGTGTGGCTGTGTCATCCGAGCTCATCCAACGTTCTTCCGGAGTTTGAGAAAGATGTCATGACCTGCCCACGCGACTCAATTTCTGAGGGATCAAATACCCACGAGACCCCGACTATAATCACATTCATACTTGGTACAGTCTTAGAAATAGTATACCGGTTGCTCAACAGAGTCACGCTTCAACAGAATCCGAATTACCCCTCCACGACGGTGATATCCATGTCAACTTGAGCTGGCTCTCGACATCCAACCACAATGTGTTAACAGAACCTAACAGTAACTGACGGCAATGTCATCAAGAGCTAGCGAGGAGAGTTATCTCTCACCAAAACCATGGAGATCCGGGGATCCTTGGGGATCGGGAACGACGCTGCCAGGCACTTATCCGCCCTCGCCCGAACCAAATGAAGTTGATCGGTCTGGGCCTCAATCACTATCAGCCGCCGTCAAGGCTCGAAAGGATGAGTATATCCGAAAGAAGTCGATGAAAATCAAAGTCGGTACTTGGAATGTTGCTGCACTCAGTGGAACTGACAAGGACCTGGGCGCCTGGTTTGTTGGTGGATGTGGTGTCAAGGGCCTCTCGCAGAACTTATCAGGCCTTTCGGTCGACGACAGTGATGACGACTCTGACAGTGACAAGACCGTCGAGTCCGTCGAGGCCCAAGAGGAACGTGTGGCAAGGACAAGGAAGAGTGTTACCGTACCACTGCACGACGGTCCGGCAGAGGCCCACCACGAGCAGATCGACCTGTATGTGCTAGGACTACAGGAAGTCATCGACGTGACTTCCATGACCGAAGCCATCAAACCTTACACAGACCCCAACCCTGCGAAGAAGTGGAAGAAGTCATTGCGAAGAGCTCTGCCAAAGGGTTACAAGAAGGTAGCCGAAGAACAACTCTTTGGCTTGCTTCTCCTCATCTTTGCTTCCCCGGAACTAGCGCCCAGCATTACTTCGGTCAGTACGACGTCGGTCGGAACCGGTTTGATGGGTTACTTCGGCAATAAAGGTGCTGTGGCCGCGAGGATCGTGGTTGCAGAAGCCACCAAACTCTGCTTTATCAACTGTCATCTGGCCGCTGGCGCGGACCAAGCAGCTTTGGCTCGCCGGATCTGGGATACCAGTCAGATTTTGAGCAAAACCCGCTTTTCTCCGGTCACAGACAGTGAGGTCATTGAGCCCAAGGAGGAAAGGATTGGGGACGAGGACTTTGCATTCTGGTTTGGCGACCTCAACTATCGCCTGGACGACATTCCCGGCCAGGACGTCAGGAGATTGCTTTTGCTGCACACACAGAACGAGTACGACGTCCAAAACAAGTCGAAGCGCAAGATCGACAGTGAGCTGGGTTACATATCTGCCTCGACAAGCGACTCGCAACTGCCAGCTCCGCATCCACGTTACGAATACAAAGATGCAGAGAGACCAGCTAGTGAAAGCACCGCCGAACCAGAACTAGACCCCAAATCTGACCCTGCTTCTCTCCATACCACTCTCCAGTCTCTGCTGGCACACGATCAACTGCGCGCGCAACAAAGGCTAGGCAAGGCATTCCACGAAGGATGGCGGGAAGGAGACATAAATTTCTTGCCCACCTACAAATATGATGTGGGTAGTGTTGGGATGTTCGACTCGGGAGACAAGAAGAGAAGCCCCAGCTGGTGCGACCGGATTCTGTACAGAACTCGCCGTGACAAGGACATATATGACGAGAGGGCCAGACAGCGAGAAGAAGCTCGTAAGAAGGATGCTTCGATGAGGGCCCGCGGGATCGACGAGGCCAATGCAGAGCACGACGTCCTATTCGACTACGATCCTGAGACAGATGGACTTGCGTATGGCGATGACTGTGATGAATATGACGAGACACAAGATGTGCTCCACGATGCGGAACTTGTACAATCACACGAGGACTATGGAGACATGGTCGAGCTCAACAACTACATCTCACACCAAAGGATACTCTCATCGGATCACAAACCACTGAACGCCGTCTTCACCATACTGTACGATGCCGTTATTCCAGAACTAAAGGCAAAAGTGCATCAGGACGTTGCCAAACAGTTGGATAAGGCAGAGAACGAGGGCCGTCCGTCGGTAACAGTGGTAGTGGACAGTCATTCCGAAGAGCCAATACCGAACGCTGACGGTCCGGCAGACATGAATGTCGTACACTTTGGTGAGGTGCGTTATGGTGTGAGGAAGACGAGAATGGTCACCATAGCGAACACGGGGCAAATCAACGCCACATTTTCTTTTGTGGAACGCCCACCAGAACCTGGCAGAGGTGTGCATGCAGTACCGAGATGGCTCGAACTCAGCGTCGAACCTGGCTCTATTCATCCCTCTGAGCGTGGTGAGCACAACGGCACACGTGAAATCGTCCTGTCCCCGGGTGAAACCACCGTTATTGACCTGACTATTGACATCTGGGATGGCGAGTTGGTTCACGACTTGAATGAGGGAGAAATAGACCTCGAAGATGTGCTTGTACTCCGAGTCGATAATGGTCGAGATCACTTCATACCCGTCAAAGGCACATGGCTTCAATCATCGTTCTACCGTACGCTGGATGAACTGGTGCTGGCCCCCGAAGGTGGTGTACGGCAATTCCGTCAGCATCAAAAAGCGAATGGCTCAGCAGGAGACACAGAAACCACAAATTCAGCTGCTCATCACTCGGCACCTAAGGAACTGTATACGCTCACCGAGATTCTTCCCATTTATATTGAGCGTTCAGCAGCTGAATGGGGGATGCTACACGAAGGGGAAACGCCGCCGTGGCAATGTGAGAATGGAGGAGCGTCTTGGCCTTTTGGCCGTGACACTTGGACCTTGCCCGAAGGCGAAGAACGGTCCGAAATGTTGGCCGGAGTCAGGGAAGCATTGGACACGGCAAATCGGTTGGATATGAATTTCAACCTCGACGTACCGAGCATTGTTCGACTGGAAGTGCTCGCCGAAACGCTGGTGTCCTTCCTTCAATCGTTGAGAGACGGAATCATCCCTGCTGGGCCATGGGCCGAGGTCGAGAGAAGGCTGAGCGCTTTGGAAAAGGGAAAGACACCGCTGACACCACAAGAGATTCAGGATATGGTCATGGATGCGGTGTCTTCTTCTGCGGTGCACAGCGTGTCGCTAACGTTTATCACCTTCTTGCTCGTCAGAATCGTCAACGAAATGATGATGAACAGTGCTCCGGCGCCTGGGTCGGCCACGCCGACCACGCCGACCACGCCGACCTCGTCACATCGCACCTCCTTTGGGCGGTCGAGGGCGTCCACCGTGTCCACCGACTCCGGACATCGTCTTTCGACAACCACGTCGGAAGCACCCAGTAAGAGAAGCCTCTTCCCGGCACTACGTCGACGGCGCACAAACAGCGTGTCGTCTTCGTCTGCGAAGTCGGAGGCGGGCACGGAGGCGGATGGGGCGGTTGCGGTTACAGAGCGACGAAAGAAGCTTGTTGACGCATACGTGGAGGTATTCGCGCCCGTGGTCTTTCGGGCTGAAAACGAAGCAAGGCTCAAAGGGAAAGACAAGAAGGCGTTGGACGCTCGCAAGAAGCGGATTCTCGAAGCCTTTCTCTGCGAGAGGCAATTTTGAGGGTGTCGATGTCTCGTTTGGACACACCTTGGATACAGCACGAGACCGGCAAGGTATCAGATCCGTACGATATCAGAGAAGGACCCTGCAATTTTTGGATTTTTCCTCCTCTTCCAAGAATCGGTTTCACACTTTCATGGAAACTATGCTGTGTATCCTCCGTAATAGAGAGTCAGTGCCACCACAGAATAGACCACGGACGGGAGAGCTTGGTATGGTGGGCATTGGGCTCTCAGCCTTGCCAATGACGAGGCTGGACTAAGTAATTACACTTGTACGAGGGTCACGATTAAGAGAAGAGGATCCAACGACAGAAACTCAGTCTGTTCTGCATGCCATGCGGAAACCTCAGCTGGGAAGTACTGCGCATCACGCTGCATACACGATTCCCTTCTCCCGTGCGACGAGGCTGAACATGTGCGAGAGCATCCTGGGCACGTGACATTGTACCTAATATGGCATGGCGTTCATCGCGCAGCCTCGACATGATGTCATAAGTTTTCGCCGACGGCACCACCGGCCTGGCGTCTTGCATTCTTTCGAGGACCTTATTCTCTCGTACTGTTGTCGTGGTGTCAGTCAGCTTTTGGCAAAGACGAAAAAAAAAGTCGCTCACTCGCTCGCTTTGTCAGTGCCAGTGTTAAGAGTCAGTCCCACGCCCCCACATCCGACTTCCACTCTCCACCCTCCAGGGCGAAGCGGTCCTTCCGGGAGAGAAGGCGATGTGAGCGGTTTTTCGAAGGGTCTGGTACTTGCTAACTAGGCGGGTAGGTATGTAAGTAAGTAGGTAGATAGGTAAGGAACAAGACCGCGAAGCGATGACGTAGATTTCTTCTTTGGGCGATGCGGCGAGGCGATTGGGTATCTACCAGCCTACCTAGGTATGGTACTGCGAGATTATTGTATAGGTGAGCATGGCATGAACGTACGGCGTGGAAATGTATGTGTGTATGTATATATATGTGGTTTTTCACATCTGCAAGAGCGTTGAATACATTCCATTCCATCACACCGATAACTCCGGTGAAAGACCATTCGAACCGACAATAATTCCAGTAATACTACCTACCTATCTACCTACCTATCTACCTACCTACCTACCTACCTACATAGGTATAAAGCACCCAGACACCTCAACCGCCACACGTCACACGTCACACGTCATTGTATACGTACCTAGACTCTGAACTCTGAACTCGCACACCAAGAGAAAGAGACAGAGAGACAAAAATGTCCACCCTGAAGAAATACGTCCCCAACTTCCTCCTCCCCACCGACCACCCCAGACAGCCGGGCCGCATCTTCGACGTCCCGTCCCGCGGACACCTGTTCCACAAGGCCAGGCCGGAGGCGGGTAACGGGGCTGGCGGCGAGGAGAGCGAGCGTAGAAGGAGTTCCGCCGCTTCCACCGCCAACAACGACTCGAGGAGGGAGAGCTGGCATCCCGGCATGGCGTTTGAGGGGGTGAGGGCGAAGTTGCACTTCTAAAGCTGCTGAAACGGAAAGAACGGGGAGAGATCTATATCACTAGATTGGGTTGTTAAGTAGCAAGCGAGTTGGATCTCTTTGTGGGAAGAGTTTGAGCACATCCGAATCGAGAGGGGGTTCATGTATAATAATTCGAATCAACGAACGAACGAATGAACGAAGCGTTTCACGTGGAGAGAACAAGACAATGCCATGTCAACAAGGTTCATTCCGCTCACTCTCTTCCCCTAATATGACTCTGGGCATCACAGCTACCTACGGACACCAGGTACCGACTGGTCAGAACTGGTTGCTAGCTCTCTCATCAACAGACTTCCACTCCAAGGGTGTTTCGAGTGGTGTTGGTGTCGTGTCTCCTTCAAGCCATTTGTCGCAATGCCCGCCCGCTCATATTCTGAAATCAGCTCTTCGAGGCAAGGACCCTCAAAATGGGGGGTGACAAGTGTATCCCATATCTTTCCTCGCTGATACTTTTCCCACAATCAGCTTCCGCGGTCCGTGCGTTACTGGACACCTCCGAAAGATGCGATGCAACAATCTCGTGCCTCTCCAACTCACCACCTGAGCTCCACCGCTTCGTGTTCGCAGGAACGCCAAACGTTCACTCCAGCAGAACATGAAAAAGTTCATTGCGTTTCCCGAGCCGAGACGTTGAGCCCAATGATCAATCACCATAGAACAGCCAGCTCGCGTGAGACATGAACCTACCCCATACCAATCTTCCGTGAAACAAGGCCCTCATGGTCGGAGGTAAATCACTCCAGGCTGCTGAACAATTTCATGCTCACTCTCCTGTTTAAAACCGGCCGCCTTCTGGTTCTCCCACATAATGTCCGCCTGACGCTCCATGTCTGCAAGAAATTTCTTTGACATGGCGTATGGAGAAGGAATGAATGCCACAATGTGATCATCAAGTGTCTTTGCGGTCTTGAAAGCATCGAAGTATCTGGAGAAGTCGGCCTGGGTGATCGAATTGAGTACAGCTTCTCGACCAGCAACGACACCACCAGAAGCAGTCCCTGCCAACGCATGTGACAAGCGCGGCTCGACTTTGTCACGAATGTAACCGACAAGTGCTTCGACGTGGAGGGAAAGAAGTGGCAATCCGTCAGCGCGGACGAGAGAAAAGGAGCCCACCCTCTGTGAGGACTTGGGGGATGACCCAAACCCATTCGTGCCCGCATAGTCTCTATCATTCGTTCGAAATCTGTGCATTGAAGCTGTTGTTTCCTGACGGCCAGTGGTTGTCGAGGTAATATCTCGCAGGAGAAACAGTGCATCGGCGCTGTCAGGACCAACGTCTGTGGGTTCATTCTCTTCGTCCTGGGGAATCCAAGCGCCGTACTGATTGCGTTTTGGTTTCGGTGGAACGTGGGACCGGATCAGAATCGGAATTCCCAAAAGGTTGGCAATGCCACTACCCTCTGCTTGGAAGACGGAATCGCAGCCATCGAAGACCTGTTGCTGGTACTTTTTTTGAAGCTGATAGCTCGCGATATCTTCGGGGCATGCGATCGACGTCGTCACAAAGTGTTTCTCCAGAAGACACGAGTCTCTGTATCCTGAACGGTATGCTGAGCTGAAGAAGTCTGCGGCACTTCGTGAATCGCGCATATCGACATCCCGAAAGTAGTCGTGCCCACGAGCGCCAACAGTGCCACACAAGAGAAGTATTGGACCTTTGAGGTATTTTGAGCAGGCTCCTGACCGGGTGAAAGCTTGCACTGCCAGGTTCGGTGGCTCTTTGGACGTATCGTCCTTGAAGAAGAACCTGAGAAGATCTTTTTCATCACGACATGCATCCCGCGCTTGGATGCTGTTGTGTGCCAAGTAAATACAATCAGTCTCCCCAGCATGGTCAAAGAATGGCCTCGAATCAAATGTCTCAGAGCCTCCATGCACGATCCAGGTCTTGACCCAGACAAATTTGGGTGGTTGCTTGTCGCCAGGGAAGACGAGTGCCCGCCTAAAATCTACCAAGCCAACTTCAGGGAGAAAGTCGTAGAAAATACCGTCTATTCGACCGTTCGCTTCTGTCACTTGAGGTTTGGGTTCCTGGAACGATGAGCAGATGATTTTATGATTCTTCCAGTCAAGCTTTTGGCAGTCTACCAGGAGAATTAGCATTCAGCTCGTCAACGTAGCCTTACTTTTCGTACTCTTGGAGCAATAGCGGGCGTCTTTGCAGTTGGGGCACACTTTGGTTCCGCGGCGTGGACACATAATACAGGTAGCCTCGAGAGGAAGCGGTCTCAACTCCATTGTGGGAGACATTGGAGTAGACCTTTTTGTTCTGGTAGAATCCGTCAGTTGAATCATCATCAGGGCATCATGGAGCGTGTTTACCTCGCAGTATTAGAGATTCGATGACGAAGCGCTCAGCCTGCCAGCTGAGCTACTATCAAAACTTTTTTAGTGAGGTGATTTTGATGATAGAGCTCTTTAGAAGGAAGGGGAAAGTAAGATAGAGAGTGAGAAGAGGGCGGAGAAAGGGCTCGAGGAAGAGAGCTTGTGAGAAGAGGAGAAATGGTTGGTGCTGAGGGTTTTCAATTTCACTTCGTCTTTAGTAGATTCAAAACAATGCCGCACCCAGGTCAGGTTTGAGTACTATTCTCGGATACACTTGGCGTTGTTCCCTTTCTACAAAACGAGACTTCGCCGTGTGTCCTGGACAATATGTTCCACTCCTTCGACGCAATAGGGCTGCTTTGTCTCTGTCTGAGTTCTTCCATGGTGATGTGCAGATATCCACAATCAACCAATTCTTTGTGGCGAATGAAGAAAGCAGAGGCCTATCTTTCTCTAGGGACTCGAGCCAGCCCCTGGTCACCGATGCGTCTCTGGGTGCTGATGTCGGCTTCGCTCAGGACTCTTGGTATCGGTGGGGACGTTGGAGGGGGCGACGGTCATTTCCAGGTTCTCTAGGGCGAATAGCCGAAGACGGTGGTGAAGGAGAAGAGGAAGATGAGGGAGGACAAGAGATCGATCAGTTCAACAAAGTACCTGGTAGATAGGGCCAATTGGTACTCGGTACATGGTGCATGGTACATGGTAAAGTGAGGTGGGAGTAACCCCATGTGTGTACCTGTGAAATGACGTCATTCTTGGCACTCTGCGCAGCCTCGTCTTCTACCTCAGCCTCGCCCCCATTTCGTCTCCAGATTTCTTCTTGCCAATCAGACTTGACGTGCACAGAACTTCCTCGTAACGTTACTCAACTCTTGCAGGTATCGAGTACTTGGACTGGCACATTCCCGGGGCAGAGCAGCATTGATGCCTCACCATTTACATTTCGTTAAGCAGCGACCTTCAACCACCAACCATGCTGCATCACAAGTGCCTAAAATCTTTGACGCTGTGGATAGCGCATCGATCTCATCGAGTACAGAAAGTATATCCAATCAAACCACGACCTCTGAAGCCAAGACAGACCCTCAGTCCGATGAGGTGCCCATATACTATGTGAACAACGTGGCATACAGGCGACAGAAAGCCAGTACCGAGAACGACCCTCTGATCGACACCACGGCTGCCCTGGCACTACATTCCAAGAAGACAGCCCGACTTCAAAGACGACAGCAAAAGAAGCAGGCTCGGAAAGTGCGGTCCGAGGTTCAGTCGTTCCTAGATCTCCCACAGGAGTTACTGTCGATGATACTGAGCTTCCTGCAACCTTCTGATATTTTCCATTTACTTCGCCTCAACCAGTCCATGCGCATGTTTATTTCAGATAATGAGCGAGCAATTGCTGATGACATCATGAACCGTCACTACTGGGTCCTTAGGCAGTGCTTTCCGCCACCTGTGTCACTCGATCAAGTTCCTCCTGTAGCTCGACCAGCGCTTATGAATGAGCAACGGCAGGGCCGGGGTCGAATCCACAAGATCCAATATCAACACATCAAACAGATCGATCCCTCGAGTGTGTGCACGTGTATGAGTTGCGTCCTCTCCTGGAACAATCTCAACATTGTCCTCGACCTTGCTCATTGGCAAAAGAACTTGGAAAACCGCGAACCTTTACCAATAATCCCGCCAGGACGCAATCCAGATTGGAATGTGAAACTTCTGGATCGACATGCTGCAATTGTCACGAAGGCGACGAGAAGCCCGCTCACCTATGCACGGATCCTGCAAATCCACCTCGACACAACTACTCGCACGATAATCCGGTTTGGCAAATGGGAAATGAAAAGAGACAAGACGCGAAGATCTGAGCCTCGACTGTATCAGCTCACTGATGCAGAAGTCGCCGCGGGGACTGATGAGTTTCTCGAACGCAAAGGACCACCCAGCTACCAACCGCTTTATATGCGCGATAATTATTACACCGTTGGGGCATTTGTGCCACACCGTAAGTGGGACAGGGACGAGCAGAAGTGGTACTACTATGCAAAATGGCCGCGTCCACATGAGAATGATTTGAACTGGATCGTGGCGAGATTCACGCCGAAATAATAATGACGAAGAAACGAGCCTGCTTTGACTGCGGTATCTTTCCCAATTGATACACCCATGTTTAGACTGCATGAACCGCCCGTCCGACACGAGACTCGATACTTTGACCATCATCGAAGACTACCTGCCGACAGCTCTGAGATGCTTACAACATGGTTCGGCCATTCATGTTAGGCCCGAGTGACCGGATATCGGGCCGTTACCGGTCATGAGAAGCACTCCACTATCTGGTTACAGCCAATAACAAATGACGATCGTCCTTGTGAATGAAGACTAATTTTAGCAAAGACTGAACCGTGACCGCCTTTTATTCCTGGTGAGCCTATATGATACATGTTGGTCGTATACAGAGACGCCTCTGACAAGATCTCCCTGGTTTTTGTCAGGCGATTGCGGCATGTGTGGTGAAGATTGTCCTGAGGCAAAGGGGGAGACAAGATCGAAGAGTTTCTCTTCGACAGGATGACTTCCCATGATGAGTCTGACGGACATGCGCGCAAGAGCGGGACACCCTTGCACGCGACAGCACAGGAAGTCCAACACATTGACTCTGATGCTGTTCAAATAGACGTTGTGGTGCCAAACAAACAACTCGAGTCCGAGACTGAAGTTACCACCAGCGTCGAACGGATCCCAACAAATGACAGACCGTATTCATCGTTCACAAGTCGACAAAAGGCCATCATTGTCCTGGTGGCCACTCTCGGAGGAAGTTTCAGCCCCTTCAGCACTTTCATCTACTTTCCTGCCATTGATACCATCAGCCACGCCCTGGGTGTGAGCGTCTCCGATGTCAATTTGACCATTACCACGTACATGATCTTCCAAGGCATCTCGCCATCCTTCACTTCGGCCATAGCGGACGACTATGGTCGCCGACCAGCATACATGATCGGATTCACCATTTACCTCTTTGCCAACCTCGGCCTGGCCCTTAACAAATCCTACGCGGGCCTCCTGGTTCTGAGATGTGTCCAAAGTGCTGGGAGTTCTGGCCTCGTGACCCTGATGCAGGGCACCATGGCAGACATTGTCACCAGCGCAGAGCGAGGCAAATATATTGCTATTACCAGCCTGGCTAGCATATTAGCACCGAGTCTGGCGCCCATTCTCGGCGGTGTACTGGCTCAGCATCTGGGATGGCATTCAGTCTTCTGGTTCTTGCTGATCCTAGGTGGGGTGTATTTCGTGCCACTGGCGCTCTTCTTTCCAGAGACCTGCAGATCGGTGGTTGGAGATGGCTCGATTGAACCGCCGAAGTGGAACAGATGCCTGACGAATTTGTCGAAACAGCAGAAGAAATCGGAGGGAGAAAGCGGATCCGAGAAAGGCACTCCTCCCGAAGACAAACCTGAGAAGGAGAAGCCCAGTTCGCGACGACGGAAATGGGATGTCTTTGGCTCCCTCACCATTGTCGGTGATCCGGAGACCACGATCTTGCTCTTGTACATGGGTATTATCTATGCCGGATTCTATATCGTCTCAACCAGTCTCACTGTCCAGTTTCACATCATCTACGGGCTGAGCAGCACTCTGCAAGGACTGCTCTTTATCCCGCAGGTGGTGGGCACGATCTTGGCGACGATAACCAATACGAGGCTCCTCGATAGAAACTTTAAGAGACACGCGCTCAAGGCTGGGCTGGAGGTTGACCGCAAGAAACAGGGCGACTTGATCAAGATGCCGATCGAGCAGGCCAGGCTGGAGATCGGAATGCCCTTTTTTGCCTTTGGGGCGGTCTTCATCGTCGTCTACGGATGGCTTTTGGAGAAGCGAGTCCACATTGCAGGACCGATTATCATGCTCGGCGCCATAGGGTACACCACGATGGTCGGGTTCAACACGATCAGCGTGTTGATCATTGACTTGCACCGGAAACGAGCAGCGACGGCCAGCGCAGCGTCGAATCTTGTCCGGTGCCTTTTGGGTGCCGGGGCGAGCGCTGTTGCTAATCCGATGATCGCGGCGATTGGGAACGGGTGGACTCACACGCTTGTTGGGTTGGTCGAGTTGGCCACACTGCCGCTCCTGATGGTGACGATGAGGGCGGGAATGAAATGGAGGGCGAAGAAGAGGGAGGATGGAGAGAAAGAGAGAGTAGAGACTGTATGATAGCTACATTTAGACTACTTATATACTGCGGAGCATATCCATCAGGGTATACCTCGTATAAAAGGCAGTCTATCTTTCCAAGAGGAGAGAATTGGCTCCATGCTATGTACCGTACCGAGTACAGACCTCGGACGGACAAGGCTGTAATCAAAGCATCCATCCAATCACCAAGCGCGAGGCTGGAACTCCACTTCACATGCGGACGACTACGAGGCTGCGCGAATGAAAGCTTCGGCCAAAAACTGGGGACATTTATTGAGCATGGTCATGCCACTCGTCCTCCACCTTGAGCTGCCACACTCTCACTCAATCGATCAATCAGCCACTGACTCATTACCACTCTCATCCTACCTACCTACCTCCTTCCCTCCCTCCACCTCTCACTGTCTCTCCGTCTCCGTCTGAATCGACAACGTCGCAGCTGAAGCTTCGCTCATCCTCGCCTCCTCGTCCTCCGCCGCCGCAACGATTTCCTCAGCCAGGTGCATTCATTGACTCCTACACTCACACCACACACCACACGCACGCACACACACACATACACACACACCGGTTCCGGGAGAAGAAGGAGAAATAAAAACCAAAAACCTGCATGCCCACGAACCTTTTGTAGCGGTGTGACGATGGCGACGGTTCGCAAATTCCTCGAGCGCACGCTGCGCGGGACGAATCTGGAAATCTTCAAGGTATTTGTTCCCCGTGCTATGCCTAGTACATACATACCTACCCTACCTGTCCACGTTTGAATCTCGTTCCTCTACCTATATTATCACTCACGCCAATCTCACTTTCACCATCCCCATGTCCCTCCTGGTATTGCCAACGTCAATGTCAACGTTAATGTGTGTGTCCGTGACAGTTCGGACTCTACCTCTCCTTCCCCATCGGGTACATGTACTACTTTGGCACGAACCTGGAGAATCGCTTCGCCGTGCCGGGCTTCTGGCCCACGCAGGACCAGTCGCACAAGATCCCCTACGACAAGGACGAGATCCGCGCAGAGATTGAAAGGCATCGCGAGCGGCTGCGGCAAACGCGCCAGAGCGATCAAAACCAGGGCCAGGGCCAGAGCCAGAGCCAGAGCCAGGAGTCGCAGCAACAATAACGCAAGGGGGGCGCTAGGATAGCAGGTCAAGAGATGGCTTTTTACCCGACAGACAAACAGAGGGACAGAGGGACGGGAATCGAAGTGAGGCGAACGCGTCAAGCGACTTGACGACGAGCATAAAGAGCAAGAGATGGTCGTCTGAAATATATTGGGCTTCGCTTCGCTTCGATGTCCCGTCCCGTCCTGTCGCGGCACCCATCAGCTGCAGCCAGAAGAAGCAGAAGCCAGCCTGCACAGGGTATCTACAGCTCCATTCCGCATTCTACAACGATTACATGCATGGCGTCGGCGCATCACCCCTGGGCAAGGGGGGAGAGTCAGAGGGGAGAGGGGGAAAAGGGCTCTGCCTCCCTCGCTTTCTTCATTCATGGGAGACCTCATGCATGGGGAACTGTTCCCTTGTACAATAACTACATACATTTATACGTCCTTGCGGTGGTTATCCTCCCACGAGGCCAAAAGTTCGAGCGAGGTACATGCACATATGGACCAGTTGGCGGCGGAATTATGGCCATCTTGAAAGACTGGCAGGACAGCTATACAAGGCAATGGTGTTGCGGTTGATTAAAAGTCTGTATCTATATCAATACATGGAAGCAGTCCACTCAATCTAAAACACGCTTCACAAAGGTTCGAACCGGCAAAATCCAGGGCGCTCGCGGCCGCATGTCTGGAACAATCAGCGCGTGGACGCCATATCAAGATTGTTTCCCGTTAATGACAATATCTGGCAGCGATGCGCCGCGTACATTACAAATTTTCTCTCTGAGTGCCCCGTTCTGAACGCCATTACCATGTGTACTGCTCCAATTAAAGCACATAGGGGGTATCATCAAACAGTCAAAGTTCCCTCAAGGTTTCCCGGGCTGCTTCCACCGCACGCAAGGTTGGAGTCACCACCGACTCTATGGCTCCTGAAGCAACGCGCAAGCCATCTGCCGTGAGAGCAGCTGCTTCCTGTGACAGGTTTGTTGACGACTTGTAGGCGAATTCACCGGAAATATAGTAGCAGATACGGTGGTAAATGATGACGAGGTGGTTTGGGAGGTAGAGCGTTGCAGCCGTCACGAGTAGCGAGACCAGCAGGAACAGGATCAAGTCTGGACAAAATGAAGTCAGAGATCTGAGCGAGCAAACGGAGAGAAGTAGAGCAGGAAACATACTGAAAATGCACTTTTCCGTCGGGGTGAGCATGTAGAGCGAGAAAGTGACTTCATATTGGTATTTCTTCAACTGCACCCAGTGCAAGAAGGACGACATCTGCGATCTCTTACCCTCCTTTGCGACTTTGGCATAGTCGGTGACAGGCATGGTAAAGGCAAAAAGAGGCATCGGCATGAGGCTCGAGCAGGACAGTCACAGGGGATTGAGGATCGCGACTTGCGGTGGTCGAGGATATATGAGGTTCCGAGTGTTTCTTCGGGCGGGTAAGTTGAACGGAGAGTCTGAAAGCCCGAGGGGAGGTAACAGTTGATCCAATGAGGACAAGGGTCTCTATTGGAAAAGGTCGTGGTAGGTAATGAGGAACGAGCGCGGCGAATGGTAAACGAGGGTGAGGGTGAAGGGCAAAGTTGGCGGTGGGCGAAAAAAAGGAGGCTCGGCCCAAAACTCAGCAACGCATGACGCTGAGTGAGAAAAAGGGCTAGGGCGAGAGAGGTAGCAGAGGCGTGGTTGTCAAGGGTGCAGGAGGTATTGGATAGAGGCAAAGCGAGTGAAGAAGCGAGCGAAAAGGAATTTCTCTAGAAGTTGAAGGGGGAGATTTCGGTGTCGTGAGGTGCGAAGGAGCGAAGAGGAACCCCGTTGGATCGAAAGATTTCTGTGCAAGTGACGCCAACGATCGCGCCTTTGTTTGGCGGGCTGAGGCGCCTTACAAGCAATAAGAAGAATTAACGCGCTGAGTAGATGCGAAAGGGGGAGGGGAGTGGGGGTGGTTTACCAGTAAAGTTTAGGTACGAGTACAAGGTGCAAAGGTAGCTTTAGGATCGCGAGATAAAAGAGGGACCTTGTGAGTGGATGGCACAGGGGGGTTTCCCCGTGGCGTGAGCATGGATTCACGGCTACGAGTACGATTAGTTAAGAACAGTTAGGTGGGTGAGCGGGTGGGTGATTAGCTAGGCACACTAAAGAATGTAATAGGCGGCGGGGAGGCGCTCATGGCACCTGGAAATTCGGTGCTCTGGAGTCTGGACTCTAGGCTTTGGAGGGTAGGTAAGCCTATTCTTCTTAGCCTCCTTGGCCTCGTTAGGTAATTTCGTCCCCTAGTCATCACTTTAACCCCCGTGCCCCCCTCGCAAGTACTGGCAACTACACGGGGTCAGGAAAGGTACGCCCAGTATGTACATATCTCTATACCAACCACATCGTAGCATGCACCGATCCATTTTGCACCATGTATACCAAGTCCACTGCATAGTCTGGTCACATCTTCTTACTCTCGTACAAGCTCTAGCTTCTTGTCCTGAATATCTTCGCCCCATCCTCCACGATCTCATCTCACGTCTCACAGTTCGGCACGGAGACGATTTTTTTCCTCGACGACCGTCGGTGACAGGCTCTTTCCACCGCACCTCATAAGGACAAGGACAGACACCGAGTCCGTGCCGGGGTCATCTTTGTGCATACTTGGCATGAAATGCCCTCTGGCGGCTCGGAGCGGGAGTCATCATAGTACCTAGGTAATCTCAATCTCGTTCTCATTTGCTTGATTACTCGAAGCTTTTCAGGCATCAGCATTGCAAAACCCCCTCTGGGTGCCCCTTCTACTGCGGGCTGGCTTGCCTGAACAACACCATGATGCAACAAAAGGAGGTCGACTCGACAGAGGTGTGTAAGTCCATTTTGCACTGCCTCGCTGACTGATTGATCCACCACCTCTAAAATTTATCCGGCCGTGTCCGGCTATCTGGGTCTCGGGTTCATCGATGAATGTGGTAAGGGGTGTTAGTTTGTGCTTGTGGGGAGAGGACGGTGCGTGAGTATTGAGAACTCCCATCTCTGAAACGGCATGGTCCTTGCGTGGTTTTGTTAGTTCTAGCTTGAGGACGGCACAACCATGAAGGAGTCGACGCCGGGACCAAAAGCCCAACCAACTTGTCGTGCTTCAAGGCTCTCATGGTGAACGCGTGCCACATGCACAATCGAGTTGCTCGTCATTCAACGGTGAACTAAGAATTGGGCCTAAGTGGCTGGAACGTGAGACAATCTCACAGCCTTACATCCAAGTTTCCAGCCTTGTCCGAAGAAGGCTGAAAAGGAGACATTAACCCCTTTTTTTTCCATATCTTCAGGCCTGCGGCCCACCAAATCCCCCGACGCCCGAGTGATTCGGTCTCCATCTACTGCGTACATACCTGGACCATCGCTCAGCTGAGAACAGAACGAAAGGCCCACGGGAATGGCTCCGCCGGAAGCAGTGAGATGCATATGGGAGCTCCTTCTAGCAAAGACCGTCGAATACCGCGACTACTTCTCTTGAGGTAGGAAGTGAATCCACAGTGATATCGTTTGTTTTGTTAGGTCGTGACAATGTTCTGTGCTCTATCCATGCATCTATCTATGTCTTTTTCCTCCAGACTCTACTCAAAAAAGTCCAGCCCCATGCACGTGGCTTCTCTACTACTCTAGTTCCCCAAAGATCGCTCATACTCGGGGAGAAAGAAGGGGGAAAAGAGCCAGCTGCGAAAAGAAGAGCGTTGAAGCTTCTCCTACCGCAGTCTGCTCTTGCTCAATTGAATCATCAAGCCTTGCCATCCGAGAACTGCACGACGGCCCACTTCCCACTCCACGCCCACTTCCTCGCTCCGGAATCGCCGCCGCCGCCCTCGGTCGCGCGGATCTCTTCGTCCTTGCCTTCAGGCAACCCGACCACGACGTCGGCCTTGCATGTCCGCAGCGCGAGCACTCTGAGGCCCGACGACGGACCGAGTGGGCCGATGGCTTCCGTGAAGGGCGTGGTGGCGGGCCAGGCAGCCTATAGCGTCGTAGACGTTTCGCGTTAGTTTACGAGGTGCTCTCTTTGCGACTCTGTGCCGTGCGTGGGCAAGTAGTAAAAAGGGGGGTGTGGATTGGGGGGTTTATGTCAAGTCCCAAGCGGGAAATAGGAAGTAAAGGGGACAATTGAAGGTGAGAAAGGGGGAAAGGGAAAAGGGAAACATACATCTCCAGTCAACTTTCTGTAATTCAAATCTCCCTTGAAAATCACCAGTTCGCTCTCCTTGAGATCCTCGACCAAACTCGGCGCCACGTGCGGCATGCGCCAGAAGCTGCCCGCGTGGGTCCAGAACCGGTTCGGCCGGAGGATCAATCTGCCCTCGCTGTGCAGGTCGCTCCAGTCGTCGAAGAGGAATTTGATGTTGGCAGCCTCTTCGTCGGACAGTGGCGCCGGCGATGATACGCCGGTACCGTGGCTGTGGTTGTGGTTGTTGTCGATCTTCTCGTAAAACGCTTTCGGGTCCGCCATGGCTTGCAGCAGGGCTTGGAAGTCCTTGGGCACGACGTCGCTGACGAACCACGGAATGTCCTTGGGGTGCAGGACGACCTCGGTCGCCAGGCCCGTGGCCAGCAGGTACCCCGCCAGCACGAGGTCGACGAAGAGCTCGAAGCCCGCGTTGTCCAGCACGATGTCGACGCGACGCTGGGCCTTGCCGGCGCGGTGGGCGGCGTTGAGCACCTGAAACGCCCGGCCCAGGTCGTTGACCAGGATGTTCTTCTCCGACTCCTTGCGCGCGCTGCTGCCCTGCAGCTTCTGGATGTCCTCGTACGTCAGGCTGGTGAGCAGGGACAGGTCGGTCGCGTTCCCCCACAGGCAGATCTCGGCCATCTCGACGAACAGCAGCTTCTCGGCCTCGTCGATCTGCTGGGGGTCCGTCACCCCCTCGGCGACGGGCGCCTGGGCCTTGGACGACCGGATCTGCGTCATGATCCCGCGGTACTCGGCCGCCAGCTCCAGCACCGCCGGCCGCGACGATTTGAACGTCTCCATCTTCTGCCGCTGGAACGGGTCGTAGTGCCGCCAGAACTTGGTCTTGGCCGTCGAGAACAGCGTCGCCATCCGCCGGTACAGGTAGCATTCCGAGAACAGCCACTCAACATTGTGCCACGTCGGCGGTCCCCGCGCCGCCAGCTCCTGGTTGTATCCCTCAACGTCCGGGAACCCGTCGTCGGGGATTGGTGACAAAGTCCGATTATGTTGCAGCTCGTACTTCAACGACCCTAGTGTTGAGATGATGGATTTACCCTCGGCCAAGGCATCTTTTTCCGAGTCTGCCAGCTGAGAGACGGTCCGGTGCACATCGTCTATGGCGCCTGTGACTATGGCCGGCCATCGCTCCCGTGCAGATTTGTGAGCAAAGGACGTGGGGTCGGACGTCTGGTAGGTTGGGACTTTGGGATCGTACTCCATTGAGCCGTCTTAGGCAGAGACACACTGTCAGAATCACGAGTGAAGCCCTGTTTCCCTTTTGCCTTCTATGCGAGCAAAGATCTGGGGCAGAGTCTGGGTGATATAGAATTGATGAACTTGGCCATGGCACAGATTTAAGTTTTGGTTGAGCGAGCCTCGCCCAAACTTGCCGCATGCGGTAATGCCAAGCACCAATAATATTACGAGGTTGCGCATCGACGAGGCTGAGGCTCTTACACTGACGACAAACGCTCTGTATAGAAGGGAACTCGACGTGGTCATATATCACGAGGGCGAATATCCCACGACTAGTCTCGCCATCTTTTTCTATATATTTATTTACCGTATGTTATCTCAGCCTCATCCAAAATCCATGCGTAGTTCAATTGCCGGCTTCGCTTGCACATTGTCTTCCGAAGTCGCCTCCTGTTTTTGGCCAACTCCAGCGGCACGCAGTAGGTTTTCCAAATCTGAACGCTGTTCATCGTCCAATAAACCGACCGTCATTTTGAACGCTAGCTGATCAGTCGCCACCAACTCGAGCAGTCTTGCTGCGCTCTCTCTCCGCACAGCGTCCGAGCTACTGCCTTTGGGGATCTGTTTAGCACGAAGCAGGATCAACGGCACCAATATGGGCATGGCAGCAAATCGCCCAGGAATTTTGATAGACGCCACGGCCGCCACCAGAGCTTGTGTCAATGCTGTCTTGACATTCTCTGGATCCTCTGCTTCCGGGTCGCTCACGAATGGTACCAGCCGCGACCATAGGATTCTCCCAACTGCATCATCGCAAGGTGTTTTCGGATTCGTGACAAGCAGCGACCGCATACAGCCAGCCGCGATTTTGGCAAGACCCACGTCTTGGAGGCAATCGAGCAGCTCTGAGAGTGATTTTGTGATAAGCTCGTCGTTGGCTGGAATGACCGAGCTGGCCGTGGTGAGCAATATGGTCATGGAGAGCAGAGTATTCTTGGCACAAGTGATCGCATACTCGTTCTCTCGTCGCTGGGCCACAGCCAAGATTGACAGCATGCGGTACAGGCAGCCGCGGATGAGCCTCGAGTTGACTTCATCGGAGCCGGACTGAACAACGTCCTGCAAGAAGGCTTTAAAGATAGGCATGATCTGGGGGAGCACCTCATCCTGACACACGCCAGTCGCAAGAAGGGTACAATAACTGTGGATGATACAGGCATGGAGATCCGCCCGAATGATGGCGGGAAAGATTGAAGCCACATCCACCAGCGCCTGGAAGCAGAGTTGCACGAGGGCAATGCCATCGTCCCCAAGTTTTCGAAAGGCAGGGCCAGGCGGATCTTCGAGGGTCGGTATGAGACCTGTCAAAACTAGAATGATGATTCTTGTCAGTTCAAAGAGCTGTTCAATGTCGTCTGAGAGCTTTTCATCCCGATCTTGGGTCTTCGCTGCGACGTGATCCAATGACAAATTCCGGGCTATTTCAACGAGGACGCTCTGTGTCTCCCGCGTACTCGTGAGAGCAAGTCGGTCCAGGGTATCCGTGGTTTCATTGAACACTGCCTCCTCGTAGATTGCATTGCCACACACTTCAGGAGTCAGGATCTTTCTGAGAGCCTGCAGGATTGATAGCGCCTGCGAAGGATCTTCCCTCGCCTGTGTCACCAGGGCTTCAAAGGCGAGCCCAAAAAGGATGAAAAAGAACGCCACGGGTTCCTCACGGAAGCTCATGTCTCTTCCAGGGGCGGCAGCTTCGTCTGCGGGGCCGTCGACTGCGTAGTTGCGTTTGTTATCGAGTGCGTCAAACACAGACTCACTGTCCTTTTCTACAAGTACAGCAATGGCATCCACAATGCTCAGCCAATTCTTCTGATAAAACTTCAAGCGAACTTCTCGATTGAAGGAAGCGTATCGTTCGTCCAAATTACCGCCCGCAACCTCGCCTCCGAGCGTATCCGAAATTTCTGGCTCAAAGCGTAAGCCAGCAAACTCTTGTAGCGATGTCAGCCAAAGTGGCGCAAGTTTGGGAATGTATGGCTGCAGGATTTCTTCCAGAAACGGTTGCTCGGAACTTGCAAGTTGCAGCTGTGCCCAGCCAGACAAGATGCCCATCTTAAGCATAGCCTGTGCATTTGGGCTAAGGTTTTTCAGATCGCCAATTGCTGGTTCGGGGACAGGTTGAGTCAGGTTGTCGACCCCCATGGCAAGAACCTTGAAAATACGGCCCATACGTTCCGCGTTGGTCACTATCCCTGTGGCAACAAAGGTAGCGCAAACGCCAATGGCCTCGGCAGCTAGTTCTGGAGACGAGTCCGCAGCGAATGCTGGCGTTAGAGCTGAGCTGATTTGGGCTTGGTACTGCTCAAGCAGGGACGCCTCCAAGAAATCAGGATCCGGAGTCTTGCCAAAAAGCTTGAGGATCTGATCAATGATTCGAAGACCCCAGACGCGAAGCTCGACCACGTTGGCAGTCGAAGCCGAAAAGGCAACGCGAATCACATCCGCAATCTTGCTCTGCAGCACTTCTTCCGCCGAAATGACTCGATCTGGCGACATAGCTGCTTGGATGATGTCCATTGATTCGCTGAGCAGTCGCATAGCAAAGTCTCTTGTCTGCCAGCGGAGAAACTCTTGACCTTCTGGTGCAGCGTCGGGCGCGTCACCTTGCGCGGCGGCCGCTGCAGCGGCAAAGCCGGCGACTTCTTCATCTGCCAGGTCTGGCATGGCCGTCTTTGCTGTAGCGACGCGGGATGGTGCCGAAGCCTTTGTTCTTGTCCTGGAAAGTATGCTCTGACATTTGTCGATCCATGCGGCTGTGTCAACGAGGATGGTCTGCTGCATCCAATTCTGTAGCATTCCCTGCAAGGACTTGTTTTCCGGGTTGTCGTCCAGACGCGCCCACAGATCATCGCCCAGCTTAGAAGTCGCTACGCGCGCGACTTCGGAGGAATTTCTCTTCATCAATTCCCCAAGACCTTTTATAGCAGCGGACTGGAGGAGGTCCTCGTCAGACGAAATATTCGCTTGCAAATCTAGGACGTATTTAGCAAATTGAAGATGCGCCGGCGCATACATGCAGAGATGGCGAAGGCATTGGTAACTTGCACTCCTCAATCGTGCCGAAGGCTCTTTTTGCAGGTAGCCAATCAGTACCAAGATCAAATTGCGCGCCTTGGAAACATCTTGCAAGTCAGGCCCCAAGACGTTGATGATGCTGTCAACACATTGAGCAAGTGCCAGAGGCGTGAAAAGCTCAAGCTCCAGATTAGATGTCGCCACAGATACAGCTTCCTCGTTGTGAGTGTCACTTGAGTATAGTTGAGCAAGCAGTCCCAAAGTGCTCGTCGCGTACGTGGAAAACGCCAGCCCAGCAGACTCCGCAACCAGAAGCAGTCCTTTGAGAGCCCAGTAATGAACGATCGTGTGACTGTCACTGCATAATGATAGGAGGACCCCGACGATAGACTTGATGTGAAGGCTGGCTGCCATGGCGCCTACTTCTGAGTGAATATATCCGAGCGCAAGAGCACAACCAGCCCGAGCGCTCGGATCGCGATTCGCCACAATTGTGTCGATGAGGACTTTGACCTCCCGGTTAGTGAACTGGGTCCCTGCGAGATTGCATATGCGGCCTATAGCACGAGCAGCTATGTGTCGTAGGATGGGATCGGAGTTGCACAGGTATCGGTCCAAAAGTTCAGTGATGACTTGTCCCACTGCCCCGACATGCATTTTCCCAGAGTTGTATGGGGTTTCGTTATTCGCAACTGCGAGCGCGCATAGGAACGCGAGGGCGGTATTGATTTGCATCGCTGCCTTCCTGCCGGGTTCACGTTGCAGAGGCTGCGAGACAGCGGTAATTAGCTGCTCCACGGTACTCTCTTGAATTCGGGGAGATTGAAGAGGCAACGATATAGCGAAGAGCTTGATTGCCAGATTCACACAAGATGTCGCGGGCGAGCTTATCTCAGCCTCGTCGAGTCGATTATCTGGCCTTGAGAGTAAGGCGGGATCGTGTTCAACCGCTGGCAAGGCAGGACACCGGACTAGGATATCTGGTACAGAAATCTCTTGTTCGGTGTACGTGTCAGTGCTCGGTTCATTATGATTCTCAAACGGCAGGTAGGTATCGAAACTGTCTGCCAGGTTGCTAACGCCAAAGCTCCAGTTGTCTTCTGTGGCCCACAGGCCCTCGAAGTTGCTTGCAGTATTTGCCAGTGATGCTTCTAAGCTTTTCAAGACTGGCCGTTCTGGATCGGTGAACGTCCTCATCGTAAGACCTATCAAATCCGAATGAGACACAACATCGCCTTGGTCAAGGTGCTTCAAGCTGACTAGGGAAATGAAGCTTTGCAGTACACGTCGGCGGAGCAATATGGCGAAATCCTGTAGCTGAAGGGTCGGTACCAATCGGTGAGACACATCCTCTGACTCCCGCGCAGGTGGTAAGCTGTCGAGGAAAAGGATAGTATTGTGCAGCATGGCTGAAATTCGCTTCGACCCATCTGTCGTGACCAGACCGCTGCAAGAGGAGAGAAACATGAGCAGAGCACTCAGAGCACATTCGCGAACATGGGATAAAAAGCTCAGCTCCAAATGACCTCTTTTTGCGGCATTTTCGTGGGTCAACGGAGGAGGCAAAGCATTTCGCCAGAGCAACATGAGTTGGTTCATGTGAACTTTTACAAAGCTTGGTCCCAAGCTCATCAGTCCCCCAATCAAGGTCCATGCGACCTGCACCTGCATAGCTGAAAGCCGCAGTTCGGCGGCTGCACTTGACTTCAATAGGTCGGTTGCAAAGGTGAAGATGGCAGAATACGTCTGGACGGAGCCATATAGGGGTCTTTGGCGTGCACAACTTACAGCAACTGCTATGGCTGCTGCAAATCCAATTGCTTTTCGGTGCGGTTGTTTGGCCTCTGACGGCTGAAACTCCTTTTGTAAGTGTGACATGGCATGCTCGATAGTGCGCATGAGCTGATTCGGGCACGCAAGAATGAAAGCCCTGAAGCATTGAGCGGCATGGCTTTGTACCGTGTGGTTCGGGTGCTGAATGACCTGAAAAAGGGCTTCTCTGCATGAATCTTGGAATACGCTGGCAGCTGGTCCTAGGCGCAACAACAAGTCTGTCAAAGTACCCAAGGCGCCAGCAAGAATCCGCTTTGACGGTTCGCGTCTTTCCGGCAGCACTTGAGGGTAGTTCTTGATAACATCATTAATCAGGTACCGCGCCGCGTTGACTTGGGCGTTCTCCGTCAACAGGACCGTAACATCGGCAAGGATCCACTGGACCAGTTTTCGGGTGAGGAGCAATCGATGGCGGTTGAATGATATGGTTGGGTGGTTCAAGAGGTCCGCATATGTATGAACAGCTATCGAGGCATAATTCTCCTCCAACGTTTTCCGAGGCAGTAAATGGAGGAGATATTTGTAACAGATGGCAATGCCTGCACGAGATCTGTTCGTTGTTGACGCACGGCAATACTGCTGCGACAAAACACGAAGAACTTCGTCCAAAGAAAGTGTCAGCCGCATAGACGCTTTCACCTGTCCCGGCGAAGGTGAGCCGGGCCGTTCAGCCTCGACTTCCTCGTCTAGGTCGTCTCCCGGTTTCTTGGACCGTTTCGGTTTCCGCAAAACCGGCACCTCGGCGGAGCCGTGCGAAGAATATGCTTGATTCAGCGCAGCCGCCATGGCGGCGGCGGCGGCATGCCTCACGGATGGCGCAGAACTGTCAAATGCTTTCCAAAATGTTGTCTTGAGGCTGTCAAAGTCATTCGAGTTGTTGAAATAGCTGGTTTCACTGACTAGGCTGCGGAGACATGAACACGCACACCTCTGGACAAAGGTCGATTTGTCACTTGTTGCAGCGTGTCGCGCTTGTTTCCAGATATCCCGCGCAACATGCTCATCCAGACTTCGCTTGATTCCAATGATCAGTCCGCCGAGGGCTCGGAACACGCACCCTCTGACTCCGGCATGGGAAGATTTCAAGAGTTTTAGTATTGTAGCAACCGTAAGCCCCGAGAGACTAACAGCACTGTCTCCCGCGGCGCGAAAGAGGGCTCCCAGACAAACCACGGCCGCATGTTTGGATCCCAACTCCTTATCCGTTTTTCCTGCGTTCAAGATCGCCAAAAGATCGTTAATCGTCTCGTAGAGTAGACTGTGGCTGCCGCGACTGAAGACATCTGCTAGGATTCTTCCGAGGCCATTTCGAATCACGCGGGACGGGATTGGAGAACCGAGTCCAATGATCTTGATGACTTCCTTCTTGATCGAAGCTTGATAGGGGGGTAAAGCCTCTGCCGACAACTGTTCGACATGGCGCTGAAAGTCGGAGACAAAGGTTAACAGGTATAGGTCTTGCTGCTCGGTCGGGAGGGCGTGAAGCTTCGAGACATCGAGTTCAAGGTTGGAGGTGCCATTGACCGCAGGCGCAGTTTGCGGCGCGAGAGCGGCAGAAGTTGTCGCCATTTGTCAAGGGTTTGAAAGATGCGAACGCCCTCGATGGACGAACGCTACGATGACCACTCAGTAACATGTATGCAAAGCACGAAGAACGCTCAAAGTCTCTGTTGGCCGTGCTCCAGAACTTCAGCCTGCCAACTGCATGTCTGTCCTGAAGCCATTTACGTGCCCAATCCGTCGCGCGATTATTATTTTGCGCTAGAGTGGCCGAATGCACCGCCGTAGACTTGGCAATATCCCTGCGGCGGCGGAGTATTTCGTGGTAGTGGCAAAATTGATCACCGAGTTGAGAAGACGAATGGGTTCCTCTACAATCTTTACCATTCACTTCATATCGAGCACATGAACAATGTATTCACATGAAATTCATACCGTTTGTAGTCTGGAGATTGAACCACGCAAATCTTGTCTTATAGTTTGATGCCATATCCGAGTCATCGGCTACAAGCTATTTCTTTGACGAGGATCGATGTTGCAACATGTTCAGTTATTGTCCTAGCTGCAAGTTTATGAGGTGGTCTTCTTCAAGTACAGGCTCTGAACGTTGCAGTACGCCTTGAGACCAGCAAGACTCCATTCGAAACCGAGACCGCTCTCCTTGTGGCCACCAAAAGGCGCGTTGGGGTCGACCTCAAGATGGGTATTAACCCAGACGCTACCAGCATCAATCTGTCGGGCGATGCGAGTGGCTTGATCCAAGTCGTTAGACCACACCGAAGCACCGAGGCCCATCTTGGTATTGTTGGCGCGAGCAATGACATCGTCTTCGTCAGACCAGGTCATCAGCGGGACAATGGGGCCGAATGGTTCCTCGGTGGCGATTCTGGAGTCATCCGCGGGCTTGTCGATGATGGTAGGCGTGATGAAGTAACCGGGTTTGTCCTCGTTCTTCCCACCAACTGCGACGTTCCACTTCTCCTTTTCAATGTCGCTGAAGAAGGTCTATTCAAGACGTTAGAGAAAGAGGGTACAACGACAGGTGAATTGTCCACGCCCGGCACAAAACATACCTTGACTTTTTCGTATTGCATCTTGTTCTGAATGGGTCCAAGGAAGACTCCCTCCTCGGTACCGTCACCAACCTTTAGTTGCTTGGTGAACGCAACCATGGCATCCCTGAACTGGTCGTGGATATCCTCGTGAACATAAATGCGCTTGATGGCCAAGCAAATCTGGCCCGAGTTGAGGAAGGCAAGGGTAGCAATCTGTCGGCAGTGTTAGCGACTGGCCCTTGGAAGGAGATGAGGTCAAAACTGGGTCATACCTTTTGGGCAACGGCGTTGATATCAACATCCTTGCAGACGATGGCCGGATCTTTACCACCCCTAGAAATGTGAGTCAGCCCCAGGGCACACAGATGCGTGAAGTTTCACACTTACAGTTCCAAAGTCACTCGCTTCAAGGTCTTGGCTGCGCTCTCCATAACCTTCTTTCCAGTAAATGTCGAGCCAGTAAAGCTGATCTTGTCGGGGCCAGGATGGCTCGTAAGCCAGGGTCCCAGGTTGTCATCACCGCTCAGGACTTGGAGGACACCAGGAGGGAAGAATTGTTGGCCGAGTTCGCCGAGCTTCAAGTCGCAGTATGGGGTGAAGGGCGATGGCTTGATGATGATGGGGTTGCCAGTCAGGAGTGAGGGAGCAATCTTGCCGCAGGCGAGATGGACGGGGAAGTTCCACGGTACGATGCCCACGGCGACTCCGAGAGGTGTATAGCGGACAATGATCTTCTTCTCGTCGTTCTCTTCCACCACCTCCTCCTTCAGTTCGAGATTGGACAGGGCTCGGAGCCAGTGGACACCGGTCTGGATCTCGCCAACGGCGAATTGAAGCTGTGGTTCATGGCACTTAGTATTCGGAACGCTCGACCATGCCGGGGAACTCTTACTGGCTTTCCTTGCTCTTGGGTCAGGAGCCTTCCAAAGTCATTGGAGTACTTGTCCAGGGCATCGGCGAAGGCCAGGACAGCCTCTTTTCGCTTCTCGAAAGGAGTCTTGGACCAGGTCTTGAATGCTTCCTTGGCAGCAGCTACAGCATCATCGACATCCTTCTGGGTCGAGACGGGCACTTCTGGATTGGGCTTGCCAGTCGCGGGGTTGATGCCGTGTCTGGTTTGCTCCGTGGTGGTCGATTTGCCATTGATGGTGTTGTAAAAGCCGTTGAACACGTCAAAGCCTGGACCTGAGATCGAACCCATCTTGAAAGGCGGCACTTTTTTACGTCAGGTTTTGAAAAGACTTACTGGCACTCAAGAAAACAAGGGTGGAAAGAGGGATATATCGTCAACAGAAAAAGCCACTGCAGCGCAAACTCTCTTTATGAAAGCAGCGTCGACACTACAAAGACGAGGGGCAACACGAGCGCGGGGCACTGGGTCCGGGTCAATCACCCTCGGAATAATGCCACGAAGATAATGAGGTTTCTAGAGGCATCGACGGGGATAAAAAGTCTGGATGGCTCGCAAAGTCCACCACGCGGCCGCACCCCAGCTACACTTCTCACACGAACTCGACCCCTCCTGGGCCTCGGATGCCCACTTTGTCGACGTAAAAGGGAAAGGCGAGCATTCCGGACCGAGGTTAGCCTCGTGGCGGAGGTGGCCCAAGGTGGCCTTGGAAGGGCAAGCTAGCCTTCTAGCCAATGGAAACCTCATACAAAAGGAAAAAGAAGGAGTCGTCACTGATCATCTCCCTGGTTCTGACTCTTCATTCCTCATCGCTCCCTCTAAAGTCCGAGTCAGAAAGCACGACTCGTGGCTCGGACAAGGCCATGGTCGAATCGTCAACATCAAGACAAGGTCAGAAGCCAGGTCAGTCGGGGACCAGAGGGACAAGACCAGACATTAGTCACCACTTTCACAAGAGGGACCAGAACTTCTTCGACTGGGTCGCCTTCCCCTGCTCTCCCTGTTGTTCGGAGGGTGGTGACTGGGACTTTTATTACCAAACTCCCGAACGGTCCTCGAGTCATTGACAATGATTCATGCGGTTGGCATAAGCCACCAGTGGCCTCCATACAATCGTCGCTCTCCCCGCAAATATTTCACTCTTGCAGGTGATACTGCGGGGTTTGTTAGGCGAGGCAAACCGAAAATGGGCGACATAACAGAAATGATACCAGCTGCGAAATACTGGCTACCCTTGCTACCTAGGTAAGGAGACTTCTTGGTAAGAGGATCAAACTATATAGGTGAGGACAGGCCATACGATGGTTCCAGGCTTTGCGGAGGTCCATCCGTTCTGTGGTGGTCTTTTCTTTGCTTCTCTTTTCCATATCCCTTGATTCCAGGAGTATCGAAACTATTCACACAATCTAGTCTCATCGCAATGGCGACCATGGTAAGCCGAGTGTTGCGACTCCAAGAGTGTGCCTAGTACTCAAATTGGAATATAGACGGCTACAGCCCCTGCCCAAGTGCAGACCAAATCTGGCACGGGAAAGGCATCTGGGAAATCCCTCGTGGGCGAGTTCAACTGGCATGGTATGTCTTGCGGGCAGGAGAAGTCTCTGTTTACCGGCCGTGATGATGCTCACTGTTATCTTCTCTATTCAGATGTGCTCGTGCCTGAAAACGCCGGAGCCGGTCTCACCAAATGGCATTACCAACGTCGAACCCTCGTGCAGTACGCATGCTTGTTCGCAGCAGGCCTCACGTCGTTCTACAAGTTCCAGTCCCCTGCTCTCCGGGCGGCCGGTCTGGGTCTTCTCTTCCCGGGAGCTGGTCTCGTCGCCGTCTGCACGATTCCTTCGATCCTGTCGTTCGTGGTCTCCTGTGCTCTGATCCCCTTGGTTCTCTTTGCGTGGTTCGGGATGGGCGGCTTGGTTTTCCCCATTGCCCTCTGGGTTGGCACCGCCGCCCTCTCAGCAGTGCTGGCAAAAGAGTCTGTCCTGGAGCTCGCCGGCCCCTTGATGTCGGCCGTGTGCGTAGGTGGCATCATCTACCTTGCCTATGCCTGCCAGCGGGCCAACGCCGAGGCACGGAAGAAGCGAGCAGCTCGCAACAGCTACCTGGTCGAGGAGGTTCAGAGAAACCAAACACACGCGGCTGCGGCTCCCGAGCCAGGCACGCGGGAGGTCGACGAGAAGACCCTGCGCTTCGTGCAGTGGTATCTGGAACTCGGCCTGACCCCCAAGGATGATTTCTCGTACCACGACGTGATCGACCAGTTCCAGACGTCGGCCATTCGATACCAGCTCTACGAGGCTGTCAATTGCCTGGGGATGTACCAGAACGTCTACTGCCCCAATTTCCACGGCTACCTGTCTCAGGCACAACGCAACGCCATTGACAAGAGGTGGGTGTCCTCGTCACAACTCGACACGGCCTGGCGCTAACCTGTCCCATCTACAGCTTTACCAAGAAGGTGATGGAGTAAGTAGTCCGATTCTTTTTGCGAAGTATATCCCCTGTTGTGGGCATCGCTCATCTTTTCCTCCCCCTCCTTTCGCAGCTTCTGGAAATGGGAGTCCATGGCCGGCAAATTCAATGCCCACGACTGGGACCCGTGCAAGAAAGACAACATCATGGTGACGGGCTACATCCTGCAAGCCGTGGGCATCTACCAATCCAACACGGGCGACGACCGCTACACCAAGCCCGGCAGCATGACCTTTGAGATTACCGACTCGCTCAAGTTCCCCTACGACCTTCGAGGGGTGGCCGACGCCGTGTACAGAAACATGAACGAGGCGGCGTACTGCCTCTACCCTTGCGAGCCCAATTGGCTCTACACGCCCTGCAAGTAAGTTGGTCGCTTGACCCCAGACCCTCGATCTGCTCGACCTGCCCGACCTCGGTGGAGTCATGTCGTCATTTGTAACTGATATGTTGTTCCTGCTCAGTCTGGTTGGTATCGGCGGAATTCTCCTCACCGACCGTCTTCTGGGGAACAAGTACGGCGAGGAACTGCGCGGGCGGTTCGAGCACGCCCTGGAGACCGAGTTCAGCGAGCCAGATGGGACGATCCTGCCGATCCGCAGCGAACTTACTGGCTTCACGGTGTGTTTCTTTCGCCAGTGAGATGTTGTGCGTGGACTGATGTCAAAAAGATTCCTGGTCTCGCGGGCGCCATGTCCGACATGGTGAATTCGATCCTCTGCGCCTCGTATCTGCCTCACATTGCACACCGAAACTGGGGTAAGTCTTCATCACTCCCCTCTATCATCACTTGACCCTACCACGAAAACAAAAAGAAACACGCCACTAACCATTTCAAAACGCTTTGTCGGTATTTAGCCTTTGCCAAAAAAGAAACTCTCCGCTACAACGACCAGGGCCGGTTGGAAGTGCGCAACCTGCTGGGCGCCGACATGCTGGACGCGGGCAACTACAAGTCTGGCGAAGGGGCGATCCGGACCATCTGCGCGGCCGCGGCGGCCGAGTACGGCGACGAGGCGATGCGGGTGGAGCTCCTCCGCCAGCTCGACGACGAGTACCACCCAGTGTTTGCGACCAAGACTGGGGCGCTCAAGAACCGCGGCGTCAGCACGCTCGCGCAGGGTACGACGCTGCGCGCCCGTCTCGGTCGCTTCCAGGACTGGACGACCATGATCCAGCGCGGGCCGCCGGCGCATGTCTTCCGCGCTCCGATCCTCGACGCCGTCGCCTTCCCCGACGTGCTCGTCGCAAAATGCTACAGCCGCGACGGCGAGAGCGTCGATCTCGTCCTCTACAACGGCCGCGAGCCCGGCGTGTTCCGTCTGGGCTTCACCCGGTGCGAGCCCGGTCAGACATATGCCCTGATGGGCCAGGAGGCCGTTGCTGGGCAGGACGGCACCGTGGCGTTTGACGTGAGGATTGACGGGCGGACCGAGGGGCGGTTGGAGCGCGTCAAGGCGAATTGAGTGAGGATATGTCGTTTGGGGAGAGAAGGGGAGGTTGTCTCTTTTCTTTTCTTTTCCTTTCCTGCGTGCAGTACAGTGTAGTGCAAGGCAATGTAATCCCTCGGAGAGAGATGCACAGGTGATGATGGCTTTGGACCTGAAGACAAAGACGTCTCAACCCAACAAGTTCAGTATGATATACCATTCTTCTCGTCCAAATTGACGCTGGCTCAGTTCTTGTGTGAACAATTCCCACCGCCCGTGCCCGGATCTGGTTCAGCCCAGCCTTGCCTAACCGAACATCCCATTCAAACCATACGTAGCATACGAGTAAGCGAGTTAACGAGAAGAGAGATCAACGCCTATGAATTAGTTACCGTACATGAACGCATCGGTACCTCGTCCTTTGCTTTGCTTTGCCTTGTTTTGCTTTGCAAAGCACTGTTTTTTGAGATGAAATGAAAGAAGAAAGGGGCTTTGCGATGCGAGTAAAATAAATGGCAAGATAAGAGGGAACTCAGTACTCTCACCCGTTGATGAGTATTAGAGTCCGACTCACCGGCCGGAAGGATCTATCTAGGATCAGGGACCGACAAGTACGAGGTACATACGAGGTACAGTAGAACAGTGGTGATGGAATACGAGATAGTAATGTCAATTAACGGGTAGGGAGTTGATTCGGTTCGATTGGAGCTGAACTGAGGTGCATTGGGCTTGACTGGGCTTGCAGTTGGCAGCTGGCAGCTGGTCAGCGATAACGACCACAAACGCAGCCAGCTGAGCAGCCAGCCTTGACCTTTTATCACTGCATGTACCTCGTACATATGTACGTACATGTACCTACCAATACCTACCCAGCCACAGTCTGCCAGCCTACCAACGGCATAGGACATCGTGGCCAGACCCTACCTGTGCAGGTGTGCGCAGGTGTGCGCATGCGCTCCTTCTCCTCGCGTGTGATGCACCTCGCATGCATAGAGGTCTGAAAGCACCGTGCCACCTTACCCAGCTTCCTAGCTTCCTAGCTTCCTAACCTCCTAGCTTTTGACCGCCCGCCGTCCGTCAAACCCGCCTGGGCAACACACAACTCCGCCCATTGCCCATCGGATTTCCGTAGCGCATTTGTTGCATTGTGCGGAGAGTAGTGCGTCAGTGTGTCAGTGCGTCGTGTGCCTGACTCGACATTCGTTGGGCTTCACTTTTTCCCTTTTCACTTTTCACTTTTTCACCCCACCCTCGTATTGATACCCGTCTATCTCCCTACCTACCTACCAAACCTCACTAGATATCTTGGCAAAAGGGAAACAAGCTGAAAAGTTCCAGTCCACCTAGACGGAGCTTCGGTTCCTCGGGGTTCCCTTAGGTTCCTTTGTGGAGGCGGAGAGCTAAGAAGTCAGAGATCGCGTGGGATTTCTTTCCGAGGAAAGAAAATACTTGGACAGGACGAGAAACTCGCCTTGGATCATTGGAGGAGGGCCGGCGTGGGCGGCGACGCGGGTAGCGATAAGGCTAGGAAGGAAGAAGCTGGGGGAGGCTGGAGGCCGCAAGCTGGACACGGAGATGGGGATGGGGATTGGGATGGAGCTTGAGCCCATCCTGATCCTAGAGCAACAGGGAAGGTACCGAGTACTGAACCGATATAGTGCTTATCAACGAGCGGGAAGAACAAAGGATTTTGCTTGATAAGAAGAGAACAACGGCAGAACCCAGGGAAGCCTGACACTCTGATACTTCAGAAACTCTGGGGATGCAAGGATTGCAATGATTGGGGCCAATCGTCCGATAAGCTGGATATTCCAGCCCAAGCATCGACTGCGACTCTCGTACCGACTCGACGGAGTATTCGCATCTACTGCAAGGCCACCAGCTGGGAGAGGCTTGCTGTTCGTCGACAATTAAACGTTCCAAAGCATTTCATAATGGCCCAATCAATTATACTTGTATACAAAATCTACCAGCCAAGTCATGCATCCTATACCAAGCCCGCCTCTTCCGCACAAACTCGCACCTTCTCCGGCGGAGGAATGCGTCAACTCCACCAAGCAGTACTTAATATGGCTAGGATCTTGGCCTTGGTGCCTGAGTGCCTGGGAAAAGCTTCCTCATCCTCCTCGCTCTGACTGGCCCACAACATGATCCACCGTAGTAGCCAGGACGAGATCTTGGTTCTGCATGTCTCACCGTGTGACGTACAGCTCTGTGGCTTTCCATAATTGCTTCATTTCATCTTGGCCAACAGGCACAATGTCGCAATGAAACTTTTATCCACGGATTGCCACCGTAGTCTCCACATACCGAGCATGGTGTCTTGTGTCGGAGGTATCTTCCCAAGTTGGTTACCTGTTGAGATGTGGCGATGTCGTCGTTTCCAATTGATCACAAGGAAAGGTGTGAGATGTGCACATTTCCGCGCCAGTCTTTCGACACAAGTCGGTGGTCAACAGCTGTGATATTATCCCCAAAGCCGTTGCCAATTCCATGTTGGCTAGATGGGGACTCACTGTGTATCGCCGTGTCAGTCGTCGTTGAATGCGCTGGAGGTTCTTCGGCCATTGGCCGTTTTGTTGCCGGGTTATATTTTGGAGGCTCAGGTCCACACGGGACCCGTAGAATATGGGTTGACATGGACTGATGGTTGTCATTGCCTTGATACCATATTACACGCTGAATCGCTTCGTCGCTGTACATGTAGAATCACAAAGAGATCACATCCATAGAGAGCACCTTGTTGTAAAAAGTGACGTTCGTCGCCGAATCAAGGGCCTCGGAACCGAATGCAATATATCCAAGATAGTCTAAAAGGTATTGTTAGCAATGCACCGAGAGATTTGCCTCAAAATGGATTTCAACAATCGCTCACCATTCACAGTAGGCCCTCCCAGCCCGGTCAGACCTTGCAGCAAAGGGCCTATATCGGCGTTGAAGGTTTGCACGCCAGCCGCAGCATCGCTAGCCACCCATGAAAGCACGCTTTGGCCGAGACCATTGACACCGGAATAGAGCGAGAAGGTGGTCCCGTTGACGACTTGGGTGGCGATGGCTCCTTCTGCCAGACCAATTTGCTGCGTCGACGCACCAAATTGACCCAGCCAAATCATGACTTCGTACTTGGCTTCCTCGACGTTGGTGGCCTTGTCCGGATCGGAATCCAAAAACATATCGACTGCCACATTGGCATCCAGTGCAGCAGCAGTCAGGTCGGCGATGTTCATAGCCTCGGGCCTTTCATCGCCAACTCCATAGTACCATTCAGTCTCAAAGTTGATAGCAGAGACCTGGGAGATCTCGATCGGAAACACATTCGAGTCGAGTTTGATATTGGAAAAGGCGTGAACGGGCTGTGTGGGAGGGCCACGGGGAAACTGCCACTGCACATCATCTGTCAGAGCCGCGCCACGACGACAAAAATAAATTGAGAGACATGACTTACAGTGATCGACCACTCTGGGGCGGTGGTCTTGGTCGGATAAGAGCCATTCTGTTCATCATCAGCATCACGTGACAGGAATTGGAGAACCGCCGCCTGATCGGCACGATCCTGCACGCAGTCTTTGCAAAGCGAGACGTACGCTCAATGTGGTAACCTGGCAACTGTCGTCAGTGTCATGTTCATCGTCTATCCCCAGGTCAACTGCTTACATTCATACACAATGCGCCTGGTCCAGTATAGTCGTCGGGGAGCGCCCATTGGTTTGGGTTTCTGGGAAGGATTGAGATTGTCAGCTTTCTGTTATCTGAATAGTGATTGGTCGCGGCCTTGATTTGACCGACAAAGTAGCGTCGGCGGTCGGAAGGTATATCCACAAGCACCAAAGCTGGCAGAACCGGACAAACTCCCTGCAGATAGCGGATCCTTGCCACGCTGACCAAAGCCAGTCCCGACTGGGTAATGGTCCAGGTACACGAAAAACCTTGACAACTTAAAGTTGTCAAACATGACAGGGGTACTGATAGTTGCGCGCGCAAGGACACGCACACCACTTGGGTTATTGGGAGAAGATGATAAACCACTCACAATGTATATTCTTGGCCATTTGAGAAGGGATGGACACCGAAAGCCTTTTGACAATATACTGATGACTTGACCGAGTTGTCGATAAAGGGGTTCGACGGGAGTCCTTTGGACTCGCGATATGCTTGAATGCCCAGTAGTACGCTGATGGTGACCGCGATAGGGATGAGGACAAAGCCGAATGAGACGAGAGACCTGACGCCCATGTTCGCGGCCGAAGGCGGGTGTCTGCGCTGAAGGATTGCTTGTAGAAGGGTGGCAGCAAAGAATCGACTGACCGACCAGGCGAGGTGATGGTGAAAAATGAATTGAGTGACCTTCGAGACGGAGAATGCCTTGATTTGATAGTTAAGAGGAAAGAAGAGTGATGACGCCGATGGATGGATGGGGTGAAGGAGGATTCGATGGTTGGGGGGACTGCGCTGTGAGGAAAACTGCGAGGGTGAAGAGACGCGTGCTTCCCGGTTTCCCAGTGCAGCAGAAGCCGGAGAATCAGCTGGATCGATCCGGGCAGTGCAGCTGATACAGATGCAAATAATGCAGCTTCTGGCGACAAGGACAGGCGCCGGCTCGTGGTGGTTTGTATGATGGGAAACAATGTGGCGAGTGATAATTTTGTTTCAGTCTCGGGCAAGATTTAAAAAAGAAGATGGTTCGACCACAATTGACCCGTCGGATGGAGCCCGTTTCAGCAAATCTTCTGTTATCCGCAAGACATAACCTAGACAAGTGCCCTGTCTGGGTGTCTCTGCCGTACCTGTCGGCGTCGCCAGACTGAGAATTTGGGAGGATTGAAGGGGGTTGAGCAGCTGGTTTGTGGCCATTGGGGGAGCGCGGGAGGGGTGACAGGGGGAGCACCGGCCAGGAGATTTGCAAGCCCTTGGCGGACCAGTGGCACCCCGACGCACCAGTGGCGTATGTGGCCCACCCACCGGATCCCCTTCTAGGCCAGATCAAGTTTTAGCGCGTCCCAGCCCACTCTCGCTTGTTTGGGCGTGCTTTTGGCCGCGCGTGGTTGGTCTTGTTTTTCATCTTCACGTCCCCCTGGCCCCTGCTGCTAGCCTCGTCACTTGGACTCGCGGCTTGCCAATTTGCATGTTTTTCCCAAATTGCCTTGCCTTGTTTGCCCAGCGCGCCCCCCCGGAACAAAAGGTTGTCAAGATTCTTAGCGACTCCGTTCAGGCACGAGTCCCTCGTAGGCAAGGCCCTCGCTAATCCGTACCGCCCCCGTTATCATCGTCAAAAAAGCCTTGTTAGAAGCTCTTGGGCTCCATCTGTTCTCCGTGACCCTGGTCTTTCCCCAATAACAATCACATCGTCGGCCCCCTCCCCAGCCTTTCCGGGTTCTGTGCGCTGCACTGGCCCATCGGCAATGTCACGGTGGTGATCTGCTACTGCTTCCCACTTACGGGCCCCAACCACTCCACTATGACATGATAAGGTCGTTAAAATGCACACCTACTTGGATTGTAGCGCAGAAAACAGACCAACGCCTCTTCCTGGACCAAACCCAGTTTATCGTCTGTCAAACTCTGCCACTCACCCTTCACTCTTCTCGTGTAGTCCGTCTCGGTCCTCTCTACCTATCCCTCGTTTTTGTATAATCACAAAGTCAGACAGTCGTTGGAGGTTTCAACTCAGGTTGAATACCCTCGCTCATACATTCGTTATTCCTCCTACCCACGCTTAATACAACCAAGGGGTCGGCAGATCACGTCCTGGGGAAGCGGATGATGAAGACGCTCGTTCAGTGACACGACATCACGCATCCCGGGCCACAACCTGCTCAAAGCTTCACCCTTGTATCCTCCCTCTCTCTCTCCCACACCACCCTCGTTTTCCACCACAATGCCTCCTCTACGTAAAGGGGATCGAAGGAGATCCGAACAACCACCCATGACCGAGTTGTCGACGGTATCGATGCAGTCCACGCTACGAGAGTCTCAAGAGTCATTCATTGAAAAGCCTACAACGGTTCATCCGGTATATGGGAGATATAGAGAAAGCGCGTCCATCGAACAGCCGACGCTGGCGCGGAGACCGGGTTTATCAGACCTCCACAACAGAACCCTCTCAGATCTCATGACCGAGAGCATTGCGGACAGTACGTTGGAACCACCGAATGGCGGATATCCGTCGTTTGCTCCCAGCGCAGGCTCGACCTGGTCAGAGTCGCAGACGCGTAGCTCATCTCCTTATCCGGTACCGTCACCTTTCGTAAGTCCGAGCCTCTTTTACAGAGATCAGGCCCACTGACCGTCTATAGCGAAGTCAAGAAACATTAAAACCCCTGGTTCCCGACGCCCCCTCGACTTTCTTCAAGAAAGATTGGGTCAAGGAAGGATCAATCGCCCAGCTCCATTCCAGAGACGACAAAGAGTTCCTGTCGGGCAAGAAGAGATGGCTTTTCCGCTGGATAGCACCACTTCTCTGCCTGATTTCCCTCTCTCTGTATTGGTTCTATTTCGGCCTGCGTATTGCCTTTATCATCGACGCCCAGCATCACTACGCCGCCCCGTTCCCTCTGGCCTGGGTCTTTGTGGCCATCGAGATATCCATTGCGGTGCCGATTTTTATGCAGACTCTGTGGTCCCTGTTCATCTTGAAGAAACGCCACAGGCCAAAGCTGAGGCTCGTCGGCAACGATGTCCCCACGGTCGACGTGTTTATCACGTGCTGTGGTGAGGACGACGATCTAGTTCTCGACACGGTTCGTGCAGCTTGTGACTTGGACTACCCTCAAGACCGATTCCGCGTCATCCTCCTCGACGATGGCAAATCAGACCCGCTCAAGAACGTGCTGGAAGAGATGCGAGAGACATTTCCCAACGTCTATTACATGCGGCGTCCAAAGTTCCCCGGTGTTCCTCACCATTTCAAGGCTGGCAATCTGAACTACGGACTGGACGCGGTGCAGAGCTTGCCCGGCGGTTCCTCGGAATTCATGGCCGCGTTAGACGCCGATATGATCCCTGAACAACAGTGGCTAAGAGCCGTGCTCCCCCATCTGTTGATCGACGACAAGATGGGTCTCGCCTGTCCCCCGCAGCTCTTTTACAATGTCCCCAGAGACGATCCCCTTTGCCAAAGTCTGGACTTCTTCGTCCACGTCTCGGAACCGGTCAAGGACGCATTGGGTGTGGCATGGTGCACCGGGTCTGGATATATTGCTCGAACTGTCGCTCTAGCCCAGATTGGCAATTTCCCCTGCGGATCGCTGGCCGAAGATGTCGCAACGAGTACCCTGCTGCTGGGTTCTGGCTGGAAGACGGCATTTGTTCACGAGGCGTTGCAATTCGGTACTGTGCCAGAAGACTATGGCGGTCATCTCAAGCAACGTACCCGGTGGGCCATCGGCACGGTGGATACTGCCTTCAAGCTTCGATTCTGCCTCTGGGGCGACAAGGTCAAGCACATGACTTTTGCGCAGCGGTCGTCCAGCTTCATCTACGCCTTCCTCAGCCTCTTCAACATCTTCCTGACCCTCTCCATCTTTGCCATGCCGATTGTCCTGATCGCCAACAAGCCTCTCGTGGCATACGCAAACGACACCCAACTTCGGTGGTTGATCCGGGCTTGTTTTGCCAACATGGTATTCAACCGACTGTGCGAGTTTGTCCTTTTCATCCCCGCGGGATATGCCACGGGGCAGAGAGGCAGTCGGTACCAGCTCTGGATGGCTCCATACATCTCCCTCACCATCATCCGATCATTTGTCCTTCCGACCTGGCTTGGTGGACAAAGGCAAGCTTTCAAAGCCACCGGTTCGATCAAGTCTGCGCTGAACGAGCGAGACCCCAAACTACGAGCTCCAATGTGGCGACGAATCTGGACAATCTGCGTCAACTATCTCGCCGGCTTCCACGTGGCCTATGTGTATTTTGTGCTCGTGGCGGTGACCCTATCATCCTATCGGACGTTCCTGACCCAACACACCACAAGGGGCAAACTTGTCGGTCTCTTGACCCACGCATTCTGGGTAAGTTTGTTTCTTGCTCTTTGCCAGATATGTACTGACTGTGACACAGCCCCCACTGGCGTGGTTGATCGTATGCTCGTCCTTTTGGATCCCCTTCACCTACGCGTGCGACCCTCCCAATTGCCCGGATCGAGAGGAACTCTTGGTGCGCGACCCAAAGACCAACGTCGCACACCCGACACCAGAAGCGAAGAAGATTGCATTTGCCCCGCAAACAGTCTTTTTCGAACTTGAATACTCCGTCACCACCGCGTTCACCGCGTTGGTGTTTGTGGCGGCATTTTTCTATTGAACCACACAGCAAAAATTTAATGATGCAACGAGCATGTCCATGATTGTCGCCATGAGTTTGCGACAGTCCAAAACTGGATTCATTGAAGCGGAGCTACACACATCCACCAGGCATTTCGGTGGCAGCAGCCTGGCCTGGATTTTGTACATAAAATGGGGGAGACCTCCAACATAGACATACACGGCAGTCCTGGCGTTTTCGATATATGACGGAAGGAGGCGCTTATTGCTCGCGGCGGGTTTGGATGTCCGGACGGACCAGGAACAATCTGAGGATTGTCAGAAGGATCCGGGTATTAGGTGCACGAGGGGTGGATGTGCAGCCTATCTGATACACCATAATGACGGTATAATAGGGGCAAAGGTGTTTGAGCTATGAGGCAAACATGGAGAAGGTGGTCCCATGAGATTGAATGGGAATTTAGCACACTACCAGCATCTAGTAGCGAATACTGTAGATGTATACAGTTCGTTGTAAATACACTTGTCTTGTCATCTTGCGGCTTGAGTTGTAGTGGTTGTGATTGCATTTGGGTGAGGGTTGAGTTACAGCGTCGAGAGTACACCACAAGAACATCTTCACCTCTTCACCTCCTCAACACAACCGAGCAGACTGTCTAGAACTTGTTCACCCGTGTCGATGCAGTGTTTCTCCGCCTAGCCACCTCACATCCTACTTGATGTGACTCGACACACACAGCATATGTCCATATTTACTCAGCACGATCAAGGACACGGTCCACGCGCACATGAATCCGCATCCCTCATCCCTCATCCCTCATCCCTCATCCCTCATCTTCTATCCCACGGACCCAAGACCAGTGGCTGACCTGGGATCTATCTTCTTCGACCTTCGAACTCACACATCACTGACGCCAGCCTGCCCTACCTCCTATAGCTTCGCCTGGCCTCCGACGCCCGCGCCACCAGGCTGGTTCGAGACAAAAGACCCATCCCGCTCTTCCCACTCGTTCAGCAGCGTCTTCTTGACTTGCATGAAGCGGCCTGTTCCTCTCCTGTGGGGTGGGGATGTCGCGTCAGTCAAATACTCGGCGGCACATCAACTGGAGAGGGTATCCATCCATCATGGACATATGGTGCGAGATATCAGGTGGAAGAAGAGGAAGAGCGCAAAAAAGGGGGGAACTAGACTCACGCCATGGCTCGAAACTCGGCCGTCTTGCCGTGCACGCCCAGCGACGCGAGGTCCTTGTACCGTTCGACCATGAGGACTTGGTCCGGGGCGTTGTTGTTCGTCATGACGCAGTATGTCAAGGTGCCGAACTCATTGGCTTCGACCCAGTCGCAGAATTTTCTGGCGCGAGGGGTGCGTCAGTGATGGCTCCGCTGGGCATTGGATGGCAGAGAAAGGAACGAAATAGGAGGGGAAGAAGGATCAAAGCGTACCCGAGCACGTCAACCAGCCCGGCCTTGCTGGCCTCACTGTCCTTGCACACGAACTTGGCCAGCATGACGATGCCGGCCTTGGGCGACTCTTTCTCGTTCTTGCGCGCCACGAATCCAGCGACCGGCGTCCACTCGGAGATATCCATGTCGTTTTGGACGTCGTACAGGCCCTCGCGCGCCACGGTCGTGTGGTACTCGCGGTACTCGGGCGCGGGGGTCGTCTTGACCCTGTCGAGAGCGGCGCGCGACGTCCAGATCTCGACGACCCCGAACATGGTGTCCTTCTCGGCCGCGGGGACCATGCCCATGTTCGCCTTGGGGCGTGTCGCCGGCGTGAAGATGGTGCGTGTCGTGCATTGTGTGCTGGGGCGGCGGAAGAAGGGTGTCAGGCCGGCGTTGAGTTGGAGGGCCTATCCCAGAAGGAGAGATGTCAGTATTTCCGAGGTGTTGGGGTTTTGTTCGCTTGGTTGAGATGGGTGTAGGGTGTATCCGATGGAGTTTTCAGACGCTTGGGTCAGACTGATCGAATAGGTCACTCTTCCTCGCTATGCTCCTCCACTGCCTCAGACCAGGAGATGTCGGTTCCAGTTGGAGCAAGACACTCGGCCCAGATCAAATCTCGACACGGAACATGCGTTCGAAACAAAGAAGACGCAAAAGGAAAAGGACGAGGCTACAGTACCTTATCCCTGTTCTCGGTGCTCTTGGGGTGTACCAGGGCTAGCAACGCAAAGGGCTTGTTCTCGGACGCCATGTTGGGCTGAGTTGAACTGAGTCGAGGTGAGATTTATTTCGTTGTCGTCTTTTCCCTCTACCGAGTACAGCACGGCCTCTCCGCGAGGCTTTCTTGGGTGTTCGATCTGAAGGAGAGAGGATGAGGGGAGACAATATCCGTTGTCGTTACGTTGGGCTCGAGGATGTGGTACTCTCACTTCTTTTCTCAGTAATGACTCAGTAATAATGATCCTACTTGATCTGATCGCTTCTCGAGGTGTAATACGATTGATTACTATGCGAGTTACGAGGGACAGGGAAAGCATCGGGTATGTATGTATCCACTGGTGCCAGGACCACTTTGGGGAATTGCCTCGGCAATGGAAGCATTGATATCGCCGTCGCCGTCACCCTCGCCATCTGAGTCGCTTCTGCCACTGGGACACTTTTTGACCGCTGTGATCTCTCTAGTAGCGGAGAGTGAGTCAAGTCGTTGACCACCTGTTCGAGATATTCTGTTCCCTCGTACCTCATCCCTCAAACCGTGCCTGATTCCTTTGATGGTCCTTGACTGGTAGGGCTCATTAGGACGGAGAATGAAAATCGCCGAACAGTGCCGAGTACGAGGTAGATGATTCGCTCCCTCGCTCCTCACTACTCATAACTCACTACCGAGTAATTCGGTCCTCTGGGACGATATATATCTGGGGTAGGGTTCCGCGTCTCTACGAGTCTACGGTATTGGGGTTGATGATATCTAAATAATACTAGGGGACCTAAAGGCCAACTCCGAGGACATCCAGCGACTCGTACTGTTAATTGCCGAGTACATATAGAGATTGTTTGAGCTCTCACCATGCCCTCCGACATTCCCTGGTGAATTTGAAGTCGAGCATTGCTCTATGATTTGTCTACTTGTAGGCTATTTCCTGTAGGTATCAAGGTGTGTCCCGGGGTACAGACAGGTTCTTGGTATGGACAGGTACTGTAGGTAAACTCCACTTGAGTAATTACTGTAGTGTATACCGAGTATATAGTGAGTGTCCGAGGGATGACGAGATGAGGGCGACGAGACACTCAGAAACCCCCAGATATATAAGTCTACTAGGTATATACGTAGATACCGAGTCCGAGTAGATACTGTAATGTCTCATTGTTTTCTATGGTACCAATCTTCTAGACAGATAGATATACTTCTCTCTCTCTCTCTGTCTCTCTCTCTCTCTCTCTCTCTTTCTTTCTCTCCGTTCCTCCCCCATTCCCTTCCCTCCCAACCTAGCCCCCCCACTCACACCCCTTTAGGTACACCTCCACACCGTCCTGCAGCCTAGAACCCTCCCAGCTGCAGCCAGCACCTCTATCGCCCAGTGTTTATCGGCAACGGATCACAACTGTCTCGAGTGCGTAT